CCAGCTTGTCCGGTGAGAACTGAGGATCCGCCGGCTCGCCGGCCAGGTTCTTCGCCAGAGGGGGTGCCATCGTGGCATTGTCCGAGAGGGAGGTATCAGGCGGCGTCACAGCGCGAGGTTCGGTCGTCTCACCATCGCCCACTGTCAGGTTGCCATCTTCACTCATTTGCCAAACATTCCACGTCGCGGTAATCTTGACCTCGGGAATTGTCGGCAGCTTTGGGGTAGATTTCTCGACTGCAGGCTTTCTGCGCGCCGGTCCCCGAGCTCGTCCTTTGCGAGCATCGCTCAGCGGAACCTTCTCAGCAGGGGGTGTCTCTTCCTTCTTTTCCTGGGGCTTCGGCCCTTGCGGGCCAAGCTGGAGACGGGAGTTGAGGTCGGTTAAGAACCCAGCCTTCAGAGCTGCGATTTTACCACCGCCGGGCCGGGCTGGCACTGCAGGTTTGGGCTTGGCCGCTGGATCTTTAGCTTCCTGATCATTGCCGCCATGAAAAGCAGGTTTGGCCGGTCGGTTCGGGACTTGAGGCTTGGGACGGTCAGGAATCTGGGGCGGCTGTCGCTTCTCGGTCGGTGAGGCGCCTGGCTTCGTGGACGCGTCCACTGAAGGAGGCTGTTGCGGACGTCTTGCAGGCCGGGACGGAATAACGGGTTTTGCCGGAACCTCGGGGCTTTTCACCTCCGGACTCTTCGCCTCGGGACTCTTCACCTCTTCTTCCGATGGTTCTATTGTGGTGACGAGTTTGTGACTCTCGGGCGCATCTTCCCAGATATCACGACTCGGGAATCGCTGTTTTGAAATATCCGGTCGGGTGGCAGGCTTCTCCTCTTGGTCCTCGGACTCTAGAATGTGCGAAGCAACTTTATGGGGATCAAGATGGCTCGTCTGGCTTCTGCGGAAGGACTCTTGCTCCGGAGTCTCGAAGACATCCTGTTTGGGAATGTCTGGCGTGGAGACGGTGGCATGAAGCTGCAGGCTGTTGGGAGAATCCTCCCAGATATCCTGACTAGGAAAACGATGCTGTGACATGTCGGGTCGCTTTTTGAAGCGCTCAGCGGCCGGGAGGACGTTGTTCTCCTTCTTTTCATCCTCGGGGAACAAAGGCTCGTATTCCTCGACATCCTCGAGCGGCGTGTGGGTGTCTTCCCGCTCGTCGCGCGAATTGAACCTGGCAAGGGTTGGCATGCCATGGAGGCTTGTAGATCTACTGTTGGAGCGACTATGGGCTGCGCTCGGGGTACGACTTCTACCATCATGATCGAAGCTTTCCCTTCGCCCGAAGGTAGGCGATACAGCAGGGTGTTGGAAGGCGGATTCCGGGCGCACCTCATCGGCAGCCAGAATGGGTTCTTCATCCTCTGCTGCGTCTTCTCCAACCCCACGGGTCAGAGTCTCCGGCTCCGGAGTCTGGGCAAATCCATCCGGATGGTGCAGGTGATGGTATGGTTCATCGACGTGAATGACGTCAGGCTTCTCCTGAGAAGCCTCTTGCTGGGCTTCTGATTCTAGAGCGGCCGTGGTTTCCGTGCGTAGAGGGGAATCGACGGCAGGGCGCGAGTCACGACGGGACTCTGGCGGAGGGGGAGAGAAGTGGTTGGTGTACTGGTCGCTGGCGATGTATCCAACCTCTTCTTCCGGGGTTCCGGTCACGGCAGGAGAAGTTCCTGGGCGTCGAAATTAGCTCAAGGCCTATACTGCCCGCTTTGGATAAAACCTACCAAGTCCCGAACCAGTCACCGCGGAGCCACGAACGATCTTATTCAAATCATCGCTGCTCAAAGCCCAATCGGGCCGGGGAGTCCCCACTCCGGGCCCGTATTGGCCCTGCTCCTCCTTGACGTACTCTTCAGGATGCTTCTCGTACCAAGCTTTCTCGAATTTGTCGTTGGGCTGCACCCCGTGTCCGTGAAGGCCGTAGCTACCGGGTGGGAGAGAGGCTTCGCGGCCACTGCGGGTTCGGTTGTGAGTGCGACCCGAGCGTGAACCGGCAAACTCGGCTTGATAAGGACTCGGAGAAGGCGCCTGGACATCACCGGCGTCGCGGTACATGGGGACCCTCTGGCCAATCTCCGGGATTCCATGCTCATCGACATTGAAAGACTGTCGACGCTCGGCGGATGCGGTCGAGGATTCGGCTCGCGAGCCGTTCCGAGAGTGCAGCGAGCGCGCAGAGCGGTCCTGCTGCTCATCCGGAAGGGGAGAAGCAACTCTCCCACCGATACCCGCCGCGGCAGCCTGGCGCGAATCCGTGCGAGTCACGGCCTGCACCTTGGCCTTGGCGCTGGCATTCGGCAGCGACGGTCTTGGCGCATGCAGTTTGAGATCGCTGCCCACGTTGCGAGTTTCCGCGGGGGTTGTATGGTGGCCTTCCGAGGCACTACCGACATCCAGGTCTTCATATTCGATGCCCTCTTCGCCAAGGGAAGGTATCGTTACGCTCGGGGGGCGCTGGGGCAGGTCGTTGGAAACCGTGCGGCTCAGACTTGCGCCATTGGGCGGTTCGTTCAAGGGCGACGGGGCGTAGCTATCACGCAGAGGAGAGATCGAGCGCTCGAAACGACGAGTGGGGCGAGGCGGGATTTTGGGTATCTCCCCGGAATTGGGCGCAAGGCCCTGCTGATGAGGCGACCTCGACGGCCGAGGAGGAACAACGGGGCCTGTTTGCGTGGCCATGGCGAACGAGGGAAAATATGCAGTATAAGACTGGAGAGTAATTAATGACACTTCAGAAGATACGCGTTAGTGCGGCTAGGCCCGGTAAAATGCAAGAATCAATCAATGACACAAAGCACAGTCCTGTATGTACGTGGCAGCTCTGTGCTGGAAGCAAGCTTTAAGACCCAATTGACAGGGGGCAAGGAATGTGAATAGCAGTCCGCCGGTTGCCCACTTCCTTGGTAAAGTAGATGGGAAACTTTGCTAGAAAAAGGGGACAATGCAAGCAAAGCGCAGAAAAGTGGTTCAGCGGTTGCGTAGATAAGATATGCCAGGGTGCTGCATATGAAGCCGATAACACTCTTGGCTTTCACCGCCTCAAGCTCTTGAAGACAGCTGTTTCGCATTCCTCTCAAGCAGGCCGATATCATGCTGACAGGGTCGGAACGATTGATGATCTGGGATAGATCCCCGGGAGTGGGAAGAGGGACTTACCAAGGGTTGGTAGTAATACAAGGATCAGCGAGTTGAGAAGGTGGCAGTCACGGTCAAGTACAGTAGAGTCCAGATAGATGCGAGGACTTTTCGCCGGGGGAATGAATAGAATTAAGGGGGAGGAAGAGAAAAGCAATTGGATCAACCAGCGAGAGATATTCCGATGAGGAGGGCAGGTAACAAAAAACAAACGAGACAATTAGGGGAGGACGAGCGAGATCGCAAGGATATATGGAGGGGGGGGAAAAGGGAAGAAAGAGAAGCAGCAGCAGCAGCAATGATGTATGACTAGAGAGGCATTCACCCGTCAAGTGGCCGTAAATTGCCAGTCTAACCGCTTTCTTCCTGCCACGGCCCACCGCCCGGAGCGCGTGACGTCTTCGGTCGCGAATCGAGGGAACCAACGACGTTTCGGCCGTTGCAATTACTACGGAAGAGTCGATCATACATCTTGCAGCTGCCATGAACTCTTGTTGAATGAGGGATTTTTTCATTGGTATGCAGTTACCCTGTTCGACCTTGTGTACACTTTGACTCGGAGTACGAAGTAGTTACAATATTGAGGAAACAATAATAAAAATGGCGCAAGGCTACCAGTCCAAAGTCGACGAGGGGGCGATCCACTCCGCCGACCTTATCAATAGGGGAGGATTAATTCCCTCCCCCTTTCTTCCCGGCGACAAATGATCACCTAGAGTCCAAGGTACTGCTCGTACCTCCCTGAAACAAGAAGATGAAGACGAATCCTACCAGGCCCGGCATGACCATGGTCCATTAGCCACGACGCCACGAATCTGATACCCGATTTTGGAGTTTCCCATCGTGTGCCGTGTGAATACTTTTGACCACTGTTACCTACCGAAGATTTAAGTGTAAGCTGTGTCAAGAGGTCTGGCCCTAAGTTCAGTCTGCTTTTTCTGTTCTTCTCCTTTTTTGTCCTTCTATGGTACTCTTATACCCAAACCGAGTACACTGTACTCCGTACTATGCATACTATCACAGCCTTGGGGCGCTTTCAACGTGGTTGCGCTCTCTGTCTCACGGTTGCATCGACACGATCACGATCAATCAAATCTCCTGCGGTTGAACCCGTTCAGACACCTGCAGATAGCCCCCGTGTCTTTTGAGTTTCCCGCTGACTGTAGTTGTGTCATTATGAAGGCTCCCAGGACGAACGCAAAGGAACTCCCAGTGTCTTCAACCCGGGCCTGGATACTTGCATGGCCAATGGCACTTACTCGGTATGTCATGACCAGCAGGGGTAGGTGGAGTTTCCTTGCGCCCAGGCCAGGCCGATCGGTTCAATTTCCACGGGATCAGAGCCTTAATGTCCTGTCCTTATCAGTGCGATGTCTTGCACTGATAGGCAGCTCCCATCCAGGTGGTCTTTTTGGGTAAGTAACTACAGCTTCATGTCCCGCCTGATTATCCCTGTGCTCACATTCCATCTACTTGCATTGACAACAATAACTGCGCTGTCTAGATCACTTATCGCGTTCTTGTTCCGCATCACGGTATCCCAGTAAACTTCCTTCGTGAGAATGGAAAGCATAAAAAGCGCGGGGTAACGACACAAAGCCCCATTGATGAGGGGAAATGACGTAGCACTGAACGCTCTTGAGAGGAGCCATCGTCATTGTCATCCTTCTTTCCAAGGCTCCGTATAAACTAGTAACAGAATGAAAGGAGATTCTAGGCAGCCAGATAACAAAGAGAAGGGGGGAACATGAACTCAGAAACAATCGGCCTTGACGGTTGGTGCGGACCGCTGCATTCCAGGATCATTGATTCAAACGGCGAGAACATATCCGAGAAACATAAGCATAAATATGTTTCAGATTTATGTATGTCAGGCCTGCTGGCTCAATGGTAGAGCATTGCTCTCCTATCTTTCCCCAAAAGGTTGGAGCGTTAGGCAAAGGTTGAGGGTTCGAGTCCCTCGTGGGTCGTTGCTACCAATTCTTTTTTTTCTCTCTCTATAGACTCTTCATTTCTTTCCTTCTCCCCCCGCATCCATCATCCATGCACGAATACAGTTTTGCTCATTACTCTTTCTTTTGATACCCGTCTTTATCAATTTCAGGTGGATCCGATACCAAATTCTTTCCCTCCCTCCCACCCCCGGTTTCCTACTTGGTCAAAAAACTCAATCAAGGAGCTCACCTTACCTTTTCCCTGGATTCCTCGGGTCAAAACAGGTTCCCATCCGTTACATGTGCCACTCTCTTCTAAGAAACTGGGAACCGGCTAATGGTTGTGCTGTCAATTCGAATGTTAACTTGCAAAATGCCTGGCAGCTTCGCCGTTCAGCCATCAGGCGCCCTGGCATCATGCATGGATAAGTCAACCTTCGTTTTGCAATGGATATCAACGGGTAGTTCGATAATCAAAAGACCGAGGCAAGTGGCCATGCGGCTGTCAGGATTAGGTTGGTGGTGATATCAGACATTGAAATCCGGGATTTCATCTAAATACAGAGACTCTAAAAGAGATGGTCCAGTCCGACTTGACAATATAAGAGCTGCCGACTCAACGTCAATCTTTCGACCAAACATCGCCTGAGAAAATCGGCTTTCCCTGTCGGAGGACCGCTGCGATAGGCATTAAACTGTCGACATTCGCATAGAATTGCACGGCGACAGGTTCGCGGAGGGTCTGGGAAGTCCCCAGGGATACAAACATGGAATTAGATACGAGCCTAGCTGGGTATCCGGAAAATGCTATTGTAGTGGTTGGAATGAGCTGCAAAGTATCGGGTGCTTAGAGTCCGGACGAATTCTGGGATTTGCTTCGAAATGGTAAATGCATGGCTGCGGAAGTCCCACGAACTCGCTTTCCGCTTCAGAGCCATTGGCGAAGCCATGGGATGTCATACATGCGCGGCAACTTCCTAGACGAAGTCGACGTCTTTGACCATCAGTTCTTTGGCAAATCAAGCCGTGAGGCTGCTGCCATGGACCCTCAGCAACGTCTCCTTCTTGAGGTCAACTACCATGCACTGGAAAGGTCGGACTATTTCAGACCGGGCCGAGAACGCGATAACAACGTCGGATGCTACATTGGCGGGTTCTCTAACGACTACATTGACAACCTCGCCAGTCATCCCGCGGGTGCGTTTACAGCGTTAGGCTGCCTCAGGTCATTCCAGTCTGGCAGAATTAGCCATTTCTTTGGTTGGACCGGGCCGTCCATAACGTTCGACACTGCTTGCTCCTCGTCCACCGTCGCAATTGACGCTGCATGCAAAGATATCCTGCTCGGGGGCTGCACGGCTGCAATCGCCGGTGGTGTTGCCGTCATGACAAGCCCCTATTTCTATCAGAACCTTGCAGGTGCTTCGTTCCTCAGCCCAGATGGAACACCGCGTCCGTTTGATGCCGGCGCTAATGGATATTCGAGGGGAGAAGGCGTTGCTGTTGTTTTTCTCAAGCGACTGAGTGTAGCCTACCAGGAAGGCGATCCAATTCTGGGGGTCATTTGCTCTTCGGCTGTGAGACAAAATAGTAACAACTCCCCAATAACCGCCCTGGATCCCTTGGCACATCAATCTTTGTATAAACAAGCCCTAGCCTCGGCCCGAATGCAACCAGAAGACATCAGCTATATTGCGGCTCATGCTTCTGGTACTCGCACCGGGGATGCACAGGAGTATACTGGAATCAAGGCGGTATTTGGCGATAGTGATCGAGATGGTCCCCTATTTGTTTCCTCTGTGAAGGCAAACATCGGGCACACTAAGGGAGCCTCTGGGGTGGTAGGACTAATCATGATAATACTTATGATGCAGAACGGGGAAATAGCACTGCAGGGGAGGTTGGAACATTTGCGCCCGGAGATCGAGCAATCCCAGGGAAATATTGTGATCCCCCGTGACACTCAACCATGGAAAGCATCGCCCATGGCCGCCTGCTTGAATAGTTTTGGCGCCTCGGGGAATATCACGGCTTTAATTGTGAAGGAGCCACCGCGGCATTTGACGGAACAAGAACGACAGATTGGGGAAGCCTCAGCTTCTTCTTATCCAATATGTATATGTGCGCACAATCTGCAGAGCCTACGCCACAATTGCAAAGCAGTCCTTGAATGGGTTTCAAACAGCACTGGGAACGCCAAGTTACGGGATATCGCATTCCACCTGTCGCGCAAAGCAAATCTATCTTTGCGTTATCGATGGTCCACAACTGCAACAACCGTGTCTGAACTGGCAAACAGTGTTCAGACTGTTGATGCGTTTGAGGACCATGATGCGCTAAGTTCCAAACAGCCGCAGCCAGTCGTCCTCCTGTTTCCGGGCCAAACAGATACCACTGCCTATATTGACCGACACATCTATGAGACATGCGTCGCTTTTCGCCATCATCTCAATGAATGTGATCAAACTCTAACAGGTATGGGAGCGGCGAGTCTCTTCCCTGGTATATTTGAAGATGATGAATGTGACAACGTTACCATTTTGCACACAAGGACTTTTGCGATTCAGTACTCATGTGCCAGAACATGGATTGACACTGGACTCTCGATTGCTAGAATGCTTGGTCACTCGATAGGACAACTAATTGCTCTATGTGCGTCTGGTGCAGTATCCTTGACTGAAGGTGTCAAGCTCGTTCATGGTCGGGCACGTTTAATTGAAAGCAAATGGTCGTCTGAAAAGGGGGCCATGTTGGCAGTAAAAGCATCATACGCCCAAGCTCAAGACGTTCTCGAACAGTGCTGCCAGGCTGGCACTCCCAATGATCTTGAAATCTCCTGCTACAACGGACCGCCTAGCTACGTGCTGGCTGGAACAGAGAAGGCGATTAAGGCAGCGATAGAAGTCCTGGAAACTAACCAGATCAAACACAAACACCTCAAGGTCACGCATGGATTCCATAGCAAGTTGACGGACCCAATACTTCAGGACCTTATGCAACTCTCGTCCGAACTCACCTTTTCGCAGCCCAGGATCCCAGTGGAGACCTGCTCATTCTCGACAAGCTGGGAAGTCCCTACCCCTGAGTTAGTTTGCGACCACACCCGTGGCCCAGTGCACTTTGAAGCGGCAGTACAGAGAGTGACGAATGGACTCGGTGCCTGTACTTGGCTAGAAGCGGGATCAGGGTCCTCAATCACCAGTATGGCCTTTGCTGCCATGTCACCAGAGACGCGTGCTGATGACAAGTTCCTCGCGATTCAATTGAAACCATCCCAGTCAGCCAGATCTCTGGCTGATGTGACTAGACAGCTATGGGATGATGGCCAGAATGTCCAATTCTGGCAATTTCACGGTGCACAATCGTGGAACTACACGCGCCTCAGCCCGCCACCTTATCTATTTATGAAACATCGACATTGGCTGGAATGGAAGGGCTCAAGATTTACACCATCCGAGCTTCACCGTACCAATGAAGGGACAAATTCCACTGGTGCCGAACTGATTCATATGATAAGGACAGATGAAACGGGCAAAGGTTCTGCAACGTTTGCAATTAACATTCAATCTCCAGAATGGCTGTTACTTGTTGACCAGCATGCACCCGGCGGAACCGGTATCTGTCCAGCTTCTCTGTATAATGAGATTGTTACTAGGGCGACACGACAGGTCAGACCAGCAGAAACGCGGTTTGGAAATTCATTCGGGGTTGTCCAGGATCTCGTTATATCAAAACCCATGGGACGATCGAAGGGCAATATGCTCAACTTACTTCTGCAGGCGACCTCGCCAACAAGAGAAGTATGGAAGTTTAGCTTCAATATCGACAACGAAGACGGTCACGGCCGAAGTCGACACGGTCCTCACATACGCAGCGCGACAGGGCTTATCCGCTTTCCCGACGGTGAGGGTAACCCGATGATATATTTGCAGCGAGCATGGGATCTGATTACTCTGGATTCGATCTGGGATGCAATCGAACAACAGGGACAACACTGCGCCGGGAATTGCAGTATTGACGGAGATGTGATCTACCAGTTGCTAAGGCGAGTAGTCGACTACGGCAAGGTATATCGCGTCATCAACAGCTTGCAATCGGGCCCAAAGTATGCAAAAGCCTATATAAAATTGCCGCAGGACTGGCAGCAGTACTCGAGCATGCATATCATTCCCCCAGTGTCAATTGAGGGAGTTCTGCAGGTTGCAACCGCACATATTAATTTATTCGGGCCTCACATCCGCACAGCTGGGGTGTTCCTCTGTACTAGCATCAAATGCATTCAACCTAGTCAGCATTTCTCATGGGAGTCATTTTCTGCTGGATGGCACGTGATCGCTAGGACGATCGACGAAACTGACACATTCGTGGAATATGATATAATGGCTTTCGCAGCAGATACTGGACGTCTGGCGTTATTGGTCCACGGAGTCGAATTTTCGCACGCTTCGGCCCAATCTGTGGATGGTTTGCCGAAAGTCGCTATTTCTAGTCATGACTCTATCCCAAACAGCCCTTCCCAGGAGTCATGGAATGGGACTAGCACAGAGTCCGATCCGGGCTACGGCTCCATGAATGAGTCTGCGAATGGTTCTGGAAATGGGCACGTTTATAAAGAAGAATAAATTTCATCCACGGCCCTCCATGGCATTCTTCTTGAGTTCATAAACATTCCCACGGAGGGGCTATCGGCCTCAACCTCTCTTGGAAGTCTAGGCGTCGGCTCTTTGGCTATGAGCGAGATACAACATGTGATCAAAGATGAATTTGATGCCGATCTTCTGATAGCGCAGGGCAAAGGCACTATGGCTGGAACTCTGTTGAACATGATTAACAGACAGCTTACACCGGATAGTAGCCCACCTCAGCAATCGCATTCGAAAGAAAATTCGCCGGTAGCTTCTCGCTTGCAGGGACTGATTGAAGATCACTTAGGCCTGTTGAGCACATTGGCTCTCTGTCTTGCCTTGGTGATTTGGGGATTGACTCGCTCCTCTCCCAGGAGCTCACCAGGGACATTGAGAAGGAGTTTTGCTGTCCGATAGACGTCGAGATGAAGCCCGAAACTACTCTCACTGAGCTATGCACAATCCTTTCATCTGGGGCCACCAAAAATGCCTATTATCTGGAAAGCTCACCAGGGTCATCCGTGCTTGAGGATAAATCATCAGTACCAAGCGAGGATGTAAATGTTCCGCCGCAAGCTGTGTTCGTTGAAACACAAAAGCGTTTCCCAGAGCTTGCGGCGCAGACCTCGTAGCTGCATTTCTGGCAAAGAGTTTACCCAACGCAGTGTGAATTGGCTCTTTCCTGTGTGGTGGACGCGTTTGCTCGTCTCGGTTGCGATTTAAGGACCATTCAACCAGGTTGTCTCCTTTCTCCTATTGACGTGGTTCCGCAACATTTCAAGTTGAAGTCTACCTTGCATGAGATTTTGCGGCATGGAGGTATTATAGACTATACTGGGGAGGGGGGTTATATCCGTTCTGAAAAAGGCATCAGTACGCGGTCATCATCCTTCCTCCATGAAGAAATAACTCAAAAATATTCCTCAGCACTGCCTGGAACATGAACTCCTTCGCATCACCGGTCCTGAATTGGCTGGATTTCTGTCGGGGACCATCGACCCCTTAAAACGAATCTTTGGAATTCCCAAGAATCGCCAGCTGTTAGACGGTATTTATTCCAAGGCTCCGATATTTCGTACAATGGACCTCATGCTGTGCGATTTCCTGGACCAGCTAGCAAACAGCCGTCAGAGAACCGGGTTAATTCACATCCTCGAGCTAGGCGCTGGCACTGGAGGTACAACCACGAGTGTCCTTGAGACGCTCGTTCATCGGGGCGTCCCCTTCAATTATCATTTCACGGACATCTCAAGCTCTTTTGTGATGGCGGCTCGACGAAAGTTTGCCACATATGCGAGCTCTAATACTTTGGGATCGACCAGAACAGCCAGGAAAGAACCCACATACCCCACCAGAAGGGTGACCGTGTTTTCGATCGAGTCTTGATACGTGGGATTCTGATTTCGGTACTTACGCCAAAGGCACTGAATAACTGCCTCCGTGGCTAGACCTATCGGTTGAGCAACATGCCAGAGATAGATTGGCCCCGATGCACAGTTCACGTCCAGCCGTCACCAGAGGAAGAAATGAGCAGCTCCGGAGATGAAGAACACTAGAGTATTCTTCAGATAGCGTCCCCATGTAGTGCCCTGAGAGGCACCCAAAAGCCGTGTTGACAGCAACGAGGCAAATGCACTGTATGATCGGTACGGGAGTTTATGCCAAAATCTTGTCCAGAAACGGCGGAGGGTATACGCTTCTATCATATTTCCGAACAACGATGGCCACTGCTCAGCAGTATCAACTCCCAGGCCAACGAAGAGGATGGCGCAAAAGTTGTTGATACGACTCCAAAATGAGCGAAAAAGGAACAACCCAGTCAAAGACCACCCACAGACGGATAGTCACTTCCCGGGAGGTGTTGGTTTGTCCAGCCAGCAATCGTCGAAAGAAGACGTGCTTTTCGGGCGAATAGTCAGATTGTTTGAGGGAGATCATACGCCGCAGACTACGCCTGCAGATGTAGAGCAAAGCGTATCGCCCTACTATGCGCGCTGCCCGCTGGAGGCAGAATTTCCAGCGTGACGAGTTCTGGAAACGATTGTCTAGAGTGGGAGGGATATCGACTTCCCATGGGGTACCAATGCCCCGACAGTTGAACACCATTTTCAGCGCAGCTCGCCGATTGGGAAGGAAATGAGATCGATATAGCATTATGACAGTCGCCACAAAACCCATCTGTTGTATGTTCGTAGGAGGTGTCTTGTCACAGCGGATATACAGCACAAAACACATGTCCCTGTGTTTTATGGGTTTCTCTATATCTCATTGCAAATGCAAAGGCACTTTCTCTGCGTTATCTCGACATCTTCTAATATACTGATCTCGCGATGAACCTAAGTCACCAATAGCTTTAGGGCGAAGATGATCCTGTAATGATCTTCATCTCCGTGTAGAAATGAGCAGTCAGCGAGAACCAATACCAAGCTGGGTTGGCCCTTCTCGACGAGCTAAAACTCACTCCAGGAGACCGCATTCTCCCGGGTATTGAGTGGGATTGCGCGTATTCTGAAGCCGGGCGGTCGAATAGGCATGGCAACCGCTTTAAGAGTCCCAGACTGGCCTACAAGCCAAAATGCAAGATCAATTCCACTAGTCATAGTAATGAGTGACGAGCGGATCATAAGAGGAGTTTCCATAAGCATCCCCTCCATAAGTAAGATACCCCGACACCAGATCCGGCGACACTCCACGGGTGATTTTCGATGCGTTTCCCATCACCCAGACAGTCTGCATGCCATCCACCATATGCTGCAAAGTATGGCAATGAACCATCCACACGCTATTCTTATCTCGTCAGCACTACTCCTTTCTGCATCAAGGACACCGCAAGTGCGCAAGAAAGCAGGAGGGGGGGGGGGGGGGAAGTTGATAGATAGAAACATACCCAGCATTCTGCACCCTCAACCTCCAAGCCCTCCACCCCTGACTCGTATACTCATTCCCCATCCCAACATCCTCTCCCGTGGTATTATCCCTAAACAAAAACGTCGTGTCCCTCAACACCGGCCGATACCCCTTCAACCTGCGTTCGTTTTCCGTCGCATTATACGTCCCCCGCCCACTGCCTAGATCATACACGTGATCGCCGTGTATATGCCACGGATGCGTATCGAACCCTCCAGAGCGGCCATTCGGCTCGTTGAGTAGGATTATGTCGACAATTTCGCCGATCCGGGCGGGGTAGACGTTGAGTGCTGGGTCGCGGCCGGAGTGGTGACGGATTGCGTTGTTGAAGTCTGGGATTGCGCTTTCGTGGTTTTGGTAGATTTGGACGAGGTAGGGGGTTTCTGGGTGAGAGGTTGATTTGCGACTTGTGTTGGTGGCTTCCTCGCGTCGGTGGCGTTCGGTCCAGGTGTGGTTGTTGACGGTCCAGGTAGATCCACTGGGGGAGACGAGCTGTGCAGACCGGAGGACGATCTGCCGAGTGACTTGCTCTGCAGGAGGGAAGTTATTATCGTTTAGAGGTTGCAGGGTATATTCCATCCAGGACTGCGTGTGGATGGGCAATGCCAAGGGTTTCTGTGCCGGTGGATGACTCGGAATCGTATGATTATCGCCATCTATATAGTTATTAGATCCGTTTCCGAGCCCTTCGTAAACAAGCAAAGCATAGAACGTATTCCGCTGCTGACGAAACCGCGTCTCGAACTGGATCCAGAACTGCGATCTTCCGGCCCGACGCAGTTCGTCTGCGGACTTGGTGCGCAGAAGAAAATCGTATCGTTGGCCCGAGCCGATCTGGATCATGTTTGTCGACGCAGGCTCCGTGTAGTGGCTGTCGGCTGCGATGATGGTCAGGTTGTCGTGGTCTTCGATGCCGAAGACTAGGGGGCTTAGGGCTACGCCGCCGATGGTGCGCATGCGGTACGTCTGGTCCGGCTGGACGGTGATGACTGCCGGTCCGCAGGGTCGTGAAATGGACGGGTTTGGTTTGGACCAGGGTTGGGAGGTTTGCGTTTCGTTGGCGAGGAGCCCGGGGTAGTTTTGTCCGTTGACGAGGATGGAGGCTGCTTCGCCGGGCCTGTGAGGGTTAGTATTCATTTTGTTGGCACTGGCATAGACATGTATAGCCTTGATGGAAGAATGAGGGGGAGGAGGGCTGTCATGTACCAGGAAAAGTTCGCCAAGGGAGCGGTTATGCCTTGGACGACCATCGAGTCGGTGTAGTTGAACAGCTCGGTGAGAAAGATGGTTTTCTCGTCGTCATATTGATACGGAGGAGTGCCAGTTTGTTCCTCGACAATCAACGGACCGGTCACGGAGACGGCTTGGAAGCCAACATGAGAGTGGTAGAAGTAGGTTCCTGCCTCGCCGATGTCCGGACGGAGTTCGTAGTCGAAGTAGTGTTGGGCCTGTGAATGTTCAAGTCAGTAACTAGAGCGGCACAAGACACGAAAGAGAAGTCACCTTAATCGGCCATTGACTGGCCTGAGGAGTTCCATCACTGTAGGGTGCCACGGATTGACTTAAACCATGCCAATGCTTCGCGTCTCATCGTTAACGGAATTCATTTCATCCAAGTAAGCATGCTCACCATGGTCAAATTGTCTGAGGCGAAATCATTATAGACTCGTACCCAAGAAGTCTGATTCTCGCGTAAATGAATACTCGGACCTGGAGTCGTGCCTGGAATGATGGAGATCGGTCAGTGGTCTGTCAAGTGACATAGAGAAAGGGTGCATCCAATACGACGAACCATTGACGAGGGCAGTCAATCTGCTTCGACACGCAATCGAGACTTCTCTCTCGCTGACTCGCAAGACGTAATGCGGTTGGAATGTGCTGTCATGTCGGATTTGCCGTGCGCTCATAGCACAGGATGCGAGCATCCCCACCCATAGCTGGATCGCAAGAAAGAACTTCATCGTGTGATTGCTTGATCCTGTAGACGTGGTGTAGCGTGGAGCTGCTTGGCTGGTTCATTTCGACTGTTGAGGACCAAGGGTCCTTTTAAACTATACACCTGGATGAGGAATACATCAGCCTGATGCTCCTGGAGGAACATCTACGGGATATCAAAGAGACAGGCCCGATCGAGACATGGAGATTATGGATATACCGGAGAATAAACGCAAATCAAGGGTCGGAGATAGTACTGCCATGTTAGCAACATTGGTGCCTATGGTTATGAATGCTAGGCCTCATTGATCTCCAAATATATTCGGGCGAGATTTCCTAAACCGTGCTGGCATCAATAAACATAGCAAGTCCGAGACTCGGCGATAACCGATAGGCTGCTATCCTGGGAGTGCATCTCGCTCTGCTCGGGAAATTCGGGGGGCCAAATCGTAATTTGTTGTCCTGTAGTTAGTGACCAGTTCGCCCACGCCAGTCTGTTGGGCCAACCGCTCGGAGATAACCAAGTATGAGCAGGAGGAGCAACATGATCTGATTTCAGGGCTGCCGGCGAAGACAGGGGAAGTCTTGTTAGAGGCTGTTGAACTTGGTATAGATAGCCAGTACAATTGGCGAAAGAGGCCCTGCACCTTCATTGATGGTTCCTACAGTCGCAATGATCATTGATACCATAAGGCTTCATTCATCATCACCAGGATGCTAAGGGTATTTCGCCAGAGGGCTATAAAAGTGATAATAAGAGTACAGAAATCTAGTGCATAACAGACAGAGCATGCCAAGGGGGAGTAAGAAAGAAGGCACGCACAAGACAGAACAAAACACGAACCATGGCATGCTCACACCCAAATCGAACCCTCTGCTCAAAGCTCCTTCCTCCGCCCAACACGCATAAAAGTACAAAACGCCTTTCGGCAGCATCAATAGCAGCGGAATCGGTTTCAATTGGTCATAATCATAGCGCCCTTAACGAAAATCTATTTTCCTTGATTTTTTCATTCCTTCCGGTTGTTTCGGAGATCCCTCGAGTGCTTCAATCGGCGACAAACAAGCGTTCGCTTGACTAGTTATTGGCGCGCAACCACAAGATTGTCCCACTGAAAGATATACGTTGAGGCAAGTCTCTCGCTTCTCGCTTTCATATAGCCTAAACAATCATTTGCGCGAGACCTTGGCCACCCAATGTCTTGCTGCCCACGAACTCCTGGCTCTTCAGGCCGGCCAGCGCGTAGAAGAGAGCCGCAATGATGAGGAACACGGCCGCCGCGATCAAGCTCGACGCGCCGGTAAGAAGACTGAGCCACTGGACCGTACTCATAATTGCGTACATCGCAGCGCGCATCCAATTGGTGGTAAATCGACGAATGAAATTGTCGAACTTTTCGGATGTAGGGCAGATTCGCAGCAGGAAGGGCACTTCGATGAAGACGATGATAAAGGCGGACACCCTACGCACGTCAGTATCCCACGATCGGAAGCGAATGAATACTCCGGGGCACGTACAGGCAGATGATACTAAAAACAATGCGTCCGGCATTGAAGGAGAAGATGTTCGCGATTCCGAGAGCGAAGCACAGCACGATGCACACCACTCCGGTCCTAAGCAAAGCTAGTCAGCCCGACATGGTCGCGAAAGCAGACGCCCTGGGCCAAGTATAACAGCTAGTCCTGAACATTCCGTCCGACGCGATGCGCGGTCGTTGTTCCCCAATCCACCAAGTCATGTCGATCCAAACGGCGCCAAGCAACCCGCCAAAGAGGCGCAGGCAGCCATTTATTTTCTTCACGGTCGGTTCGAAAGAAGCGCAACTTCGAAAAGAAATAACAGGATAGGGAAGGGAGCGAGGTGTAGATAGGCCACAAACCATTGTCCGTAGATGCCTAGATAGGTAGGGGTCAGCTTCCCTTGCATTTGTCTCGATGAACAAAGAATAAACACAGGAACATCATACTGAAGTTTCGCGAGCGGAATTCCTCAGCCAAAGTCATGGTGACGGGCGAAAGTGAAAGCGATTTCTTAAATATTTGATAGCGGAATATTCAACGGTAGTAGATCGTGCCAGGTTAGGCTAGGGAGGAAAGACGTTGGGGCGATCTGGATAGGGTTGGAGGTAGTAGTGGATGGGGTACAGCAGTAGATAAAGAGAGATTGACAGTTGCCACGGATGGGCGATGGGCCAGCTTGCCTGATCTGGCCGATCCCCTGACCGCCTGGGCAGAATCCCCAGGCACCCGTGTTGCCTCAGGTATTCCGTTGTTAACTACAACAACGGAACTTACTCCGTACTACTCACCTCCATTGTGTCCGATCATGGATTCCACAAGCCCCAATCCCGGTCACTCTCACAGTCATAGTCGCAATATCTCAAGGTGTAAGTCTATCGGCATAATTCACCTCAGGTCTTGGCTAATCGCTCCCAGCTTCTCGACCTCGTAGTTCCACCAGAGGACCTCTGGATGGCCCGGACGAGTAAGCGATGTCAATATCGACTCGCGCTTGAAAAATCGCGCTAACTAATCGAAGTCCCTTAAGCTTACTGGGTACGCCGCAGAAATCAAGTGTGACCGACCGTGGTGGCTTCTCCGGGGAATCATTTAATGCTCTGGATCCGCTAGTTCCAGACGAATTGCCCGCGGACTCGGTGAAGGACCTGTCGTACCTTCTGCGCTATGATGTCTATCACTCTCTGTCGCAGGTCGACATCCCGCCCGCATTGCGCGCGGAGTTTGTTGCGCCCGCATCGGATGAGTCGTTGACCCAAACCCTCGGCACGCTGGAGAAATTGCTATCAGAGGGCCATTTTCTGCTGGCAGCCTACCTCAGTGGAACTATTCTGACCTCTTCATCAATTCCCCCTACCAACATCAAGCTCATCTTCTCGCTTTTCTACACGCGGCTAGCGTGTCTGGAGCTGTCGGGCAACCCTGTCATTGCCGCGCAGGAATCCAAAGCCCTCGAGGATCTGAGCTCAACATTCTACTACACAGAGCCACAGCCCGAGACTTCGGAGCCGGATCAGAAGCGTCCGACATACCCGCGTCATATTGTACCATGGCCCCTACGGGTGCTGGCTGTCCGACTTCAAAGTATCGGCTTTGGCGACCCACGCAGAGGCATCGGCGGACTCTTCGAGATCGGCCTGGAAGCTAGGAGGGAAATTATGCGACCGGACATATCCCCGGAAGAACGACAAATCTGGAAGGAGAGGTTGTCAGATCTAGGAATCAGGAGCGTGAATGCCCTTATCGAGATGGGCGATTTCAATGCAGCCAGAAGATCGTTGCACAGCTTGCAAACGTCCCGTACTGAAAGCGAACTCCACAAAATGAGAAAAGCGCTTCTTTATCTTCTGATTGGCGACCTCGATGCCGCACAGAAGCTTGCTCGTGAATCGGACGACACAGGGGCCATCTATCCACCCCTTCTCAGTATGGCCGAGGGTCGATATGGCGACGCGGTATCTGAGTGGAAAGCGCTTCTAGATAATGGCACCAAAAGGCCCGACGAGGCGATGATCTCACAAAACATGGCAGTCTGTCTACTGTACACAGGGCGATTGAACGAGGTTTTTCATCCCATATTCCTAGCACCTGGATGATATTGCTAACTCGCCATAGGCCCGGGAAGTTTTAGAATCCTTGGTTCAAACGAATCAATCTTTCTATAGTTTGGTGTTCAACCTGTCGACTGTCTACGAGCTCTGTTCGGACAAGGCTGATAAGTTGAAGACCACGCTCGTGGACACCGTCGCTCAACAACCGGTTACTGGAGACGTCAATTTGGATCGTCCGAATGTGGATTTCAAGTTGTGAGCCTGCTTGGAAGGATGTTCTTTGATCTATACGGGTATGTCGGCCGCATATCATCCTCAAGCCAAGTGTCAGTCTCAGCCTGTGGTATGGTACATTTCAATAATAGAGAGCAAACGCAACGTGCTTCACATGAGCCGTCATGATGCATTCTCTTTGATTGGCACCAGGTTCTTTTCGGTTTTCTGTTTGGGCTTTCTAATGATAATTTTGTCGCCTTCTTTCTGCCATCCCAGCTTCTCCGTCTCCGCCAGCTTCTCCCAGGTCCAGCTGGGATCTCCGGTGCAGCCCTCGGTGATCCACTGCGCGCTGACACTGAGGTACGCCCGGCCAACCGCTTTCAAAGCGTGTCTCCTCATCCGGTCCTCGGCCCAGTCCAAGACCGCGCGCATTGAGGAATCCACCTCTTGTCGAACCTGCCAAAACACCACCCAGTTATCATGGGCTAAGGCACTTAGAACGCGGTCAACGGTTTGCGACTGAAATTGATATTGACTACGAGCTCGGGCGCGCTGTTCGAAAGCGGCCACCAGGTCATCCTGCCGACAAGCCAAGTCCAGGATCAAGTATGAAATGAGATCCTTCAATTCGGACTCGGGTAGCGGATGCGACGAGGAGTGAAGATGCTCCAGCAGGTAGCGAAGCGAAGGGAAATACGAGGGCGGATGCTTGGCTCGGATCGACAGTTTGATGGAGAACGTGTGGACCTGCTGGGAGAAAGGCACGGGGACCGAGGATGCGGTGGCTAGAACGGCCTCTCGGAGCTTGCGAAGAGATAGAAGCAGCGTGGACAGCTCCGAAGCCGGGGAAGGACCGGAGGATTTGGAGCCGGACTGCGCCAGAGAGGCCGGGGGATTCTTAGTCGCGTCACCCGACGCATTGGTAGGAAGCGATGCCCATGCAGCATCCAGATCTTTAGCATGGCGAGCACAGAACGCCATATACCGTTCTACAATCCTAGCATAGTAATCCTTTTGGGCCTTGTGATCTAGCAATCTGGCAACGTGGTCAGGCGGGGATCGTGGAGACCGGTTCCATGCGGACATACTTGCGATCCCCTTTCGACACAAACCCCACCGACTCCAGCGAGTCCGACACGGGCACGGGTTTCAGACGGCTAACGGGCCATTTGCTGTGTTGGGGGCGAGCTGTCATGATTCAATTCTGCTCAAACTGTTTGTTGCATTGGAAATCGGGGTGTGAAAGGGAAGAAAGAAAGCAGGAAGGAAGAGAGAGAAGCGGGAGGGGAGGTTCTCCGACATGTTTGCATTGTTTGTCCGGCCCAACAGGAAGTTCCTCTGTTGATCCTCAACAACCGTCCAAAGTCCCATCAACCTCCCGGTGAGGCCGAGGCTGCTTGCTCTGTCATTTTTTCCTTGTGCAGTCGCTCCTCGGTCCTTACTGCGCGCTGAGAGATATTTCTATTAACTTTGCCGATCCCCTGCGCAAGTGTTCGATCTATCTCTCTTCGGTCGACTTGCCAGCGCTTCCGGTACCTCCAAACTACTGCCTGGTACTTCTGTACTAGTTACATACAAATACTACCGTCTCTCTACCCTCGCTCCCATTTTTCTGCTGCAGTTAATTCAGAAGTACCCTACTGCAGGTGGTCAATATGCCGACTCGCCAGCGTTGCCCCACCGAGAGTCATCCGGTCAGCCAGCCAGCGGCCGACGATGCAGCTGCTACTACTATCCTAGGAAGCAAGCCCCCTCAGGTCATCAGAAAGCTTCTTCACTGGGATGACCTGCCTCATTGGCAGAAGGATAACCAGCACATCCATACCGGCTACCGGCCCGCCTCGTTCTCATTCTTGCTCTCCCTGCAGTCGTTGACCTATCTTCACAACGAGACGGTGAACATCTACTCGCATCTGGTACCCTCGCTGTTGGCGGTCCCGGCCGCCGTCTGGTTGCATCGCGTCTTAGCGCCGAGGTATGAAACCGCGACCCGTGCGGACCTCGTGGCATTCGGATGTTTTTTTGCCGGGGCGGCGTTCTGCCTGGGAATGTCCGCAACGTACCATACTATTTCGAATCATTCTCCGTTGGTGGCCCGTGTGGGCAATGCCTTTGACTATGTCGGGATCGTAGGCCTGATCGTGGGCAGCTTCGTTCCTAGCGTGTACTTTGGGTTCTATTGTGCGCCGGATTTGCAACGGGTGTATTGGACGATGATCTGCACCCTGGGTCTTGGCTGCGCCATTGTTTCCATTCTCCCTTGGTTCCGGACTCCTCGGTGGCGGCCTTTCCGCGCGGCCATGTTTGTCGGTATGGGCCTGTCAGCAGTGTTCCCCGTGATCCACGGATTACAATTGTATGGGCTAGACCAAATGATGCGCCAGATTGGCCTGGGATGGCTCCTCCTTCAGGGCTTTCTGTACGTCCTAGGAGCTGGGATATATGCGGCTCGAGTACCAGAGCGATTGCGACCCGGCACATTCGACCTTTGGGGCAGCTCACATCAGATCTTTCATGTGTTGGTGGTATGCGCCGCCGTGGCTCACCTGACCGGGCTGCTGAGGGCGTTTGATTACAGACACAGTGGGTTGGCTGACAGTTGTCTCCCTTGAGCCTGGACGGTCTGGTTCGTTCAATTCAGAGGGGAAGCGAGCGGGATTGGGTGGTAAAGGCTCTCCAGATCACACGGGCGGTGTACGATTAGGGGGGGTGGTTGCTTGGTGAGAGCTACAATGTGACAGTCAACAAACTGTCGCGCAAAACTGGTTTTTGTTTTTTCTTCGTGAGATGAGAATCTTCGCACGATGTTATGCTGACGGACCACCAACGATACGAGATTATTTTTTTTTTCTTATGGTTTCCTTCTGTCCGCCCTTTCTTCTCCTCTTCCTGTTGCTGACATCACGGTATGCGTGCAAGGGATGAAAGTCAGAACTCGGGAGATGAGCAAAGCAAGGCATTCGAGAGATCCGATTACCGACGGTTCTATTTGAGGAAGGAAGCGTGACTTGAAGAAAAAAAAAAGAAAAGAAAGGAAAATAAACCCAGACACGCCCACCAGCTTTCGGTTCTGGAAGCATGAGCAGGGTTTCTCCAAAGGATAAAGTCTTCACCGCTCGATTGGGATCTTCATCAGGACGAATAGAGATTCATTCTTGCACCGGTTACAGCTCACATGGTGTGCTGGCCTGCATGCCGCTTGGGAAGAAAAAAAAAAAACCTAAATGGTTCTCACCATTGGATGCTACGTCAGACAACAATGGCTACTCTGGAAAATTGCAAGTTGATTGATGCAATCTGGTCGATTGCCTAGGTCATGATGGTTGCACCTGAGCTTATTCTCCCAGGCTCCTCCCCCGTGGAGGAAATTACCAGCCAAGTGGCTCCCGCTTATTGTCTCCTATCAGGGGTTATTTGGGCAAAAGGGCCAAGCAATTTGGCATTTGCCTTTTTGGACAAGTAAGATTTGGGGGTCAGTTGGACTTGCCTGTGAGGAGCTGCAGGCAGGGTTACTGGCCACGATTGCTGGCGTCTCCATGCGTGGTGGATCAGATGAAATTTTGTCGGGTTTCACAACGGCTGACTTCATATGCGGTTCCCGTCAATTCACAAATCCAGATACGAATCGTGTTTATGCTCGCGTTGCATTATGAGGCCGCCGAGAGGGAATAGGAGGCTATATAGAGTCTTAGGTTTGGGACATCAATGTTAGCGCCGATCGTTGTTATTCATTTTCTGATCTTCGGACGAAGTACATGCTGCCAGTACATGCTGCCTAGTTTAGGGAGAGGACGACTGTACAGGGTAGGAAGGGTTCTTTTTGACCGCAAGACCATATACAACTGATCTAGTCTAGCCCGTACCTTTTCTGACTCCTTCCATTCTTCCTCTCTTCTCTTCCCATCTCCCTCTCTCCCTCTCATCGTCCATCCTCTCTCTTCCTTCCGCAATAAATACCCTCCCTCAACGCGATGCTTTCCGAAGCCGATCAGAACACAGGCAGCACAGGAGATACACCCAAGCTGCGAGCGGCGTGCGAGAACTGCCGACAATCCAAGGTGAAATGTAACTTGGGAGCGAAGAACACGTGTATCCGGTGCCTCCGCCACGGCCTGTCGTGTCGATATCGAGTTGCCAATCGGTCGGGCAAGCCGAAGGGTAGTAAGAACCGGGCTACGCTGAGGAAACTGGGCCAGCTCCCCGAAGGCAAGCCCGTATTACGGGGACCTGATAGCGGACCGACAGACAAGGGACTCCAGGTTATTGAGCAGCGGTATGGTTATGGAATGGACCGTATGGACCATAAGGTAGACTCCTATGCTCTTTGCGCGTTCTTCAACTTCCCCTAACCTAACATTACTATCTTAGACGTGGGAGCCAGAAAGCCGCGAGAGTCTATCGGAGAGTCCTCGAAGCCAGGATGCACACACCACCCTGCACTCATGCCTACCGTTCCACGAGTCCGCCAACATGGAATATGCATCGTCGTACGGCGACTCCCTGCCACCGTCCGGCAGCGACCCAATCGCCGCACATGCGTCCATGTCGCCGACGTTCCTGCAAAAGGAGTTCATCACCAAGGGCCTCACGAGCTTCCCTCTCGCCGTGCACATCCCCAGCGCCTTCCAGCCGACCTGCGAATGCGGCGAGGCTCTTGGGTTCCATACGAACCGTCTCCGACACATGGTCGCTGACCCGCTGCAATTACGCTTCGACCAGAGCCTGCAAGCCATCCAGGCGGCGCTGACAGTGTGCCGCGACTTCCTCCAGTGCACCAGCTGCCACAAGGACAATACCAGCTTGCTTCTGTCCGTGTCTGCGCTCGACTACACCCTGCAGCTCTTCGACTACTGGATGTCCTACGAGTTCACGACCGGCGGTGTCGATCGACTGCCGCCGCCAGGCACGGTGCCTGTGACGGGCCCTCTCCCTGTCGGGTACGGCGAGTACGAGATGGGGGTGGAAGAGACGCGTCGCGTGCGACGGTTCCTGCTGCATGGGCGACTGCAACAGACGCAGGAGGTGCTGCGTCTGCTCAAGGAGGTGGTTGAACTGAGCATGTCGGGTAACGGCGAGGGATTGGAAGGGAGCTGGCTGCAGCAGATTATTCGGGGATATGAAACGACGGTGGAGGCTTTTTTGCAGGGGATGATACCATGTATTTGCCATTGTCATTGCCATTAACTTTTTTACTTATTAACTTGGTTGTTACTTAACTTGATATACCTAACTTACGTATATATCATTTTCTTTAATCTGCTATCTTTTATCTAATAGAATCTAGGTGGATAGAGGTGACCAAAAAGTCCCGTCGTTTCTCGGTCCAGCCGGGCCTCGGCAATTCCGCCCCCCTCACCTCTACATACATGGACATATAACCCTTCTCAACCTATCCTCAGAACCACCCCCCGTAAACACAAACCAGACCATCATTCACAAACCCACCCACCACAAAAAGAAATCCAAAGAAAGAAAATGACATCCCGTCTCTCCCAACTCACCTCCCACCTCACCTACCCCCGCGGCCTCCTCGCCAACCAAGTGGCCATCATCACCGGCGGCGGCCAAGGCATTGGCGCAGAGACGGCGACCTTGTTCGCGAACGAAGGTGCAAAGGTGGTTATAGCTGATGTGGATCATGGTATTTCCCTCCCCTTCTTTTCCCTTATCACCCTCTTATAATAAGTCCTATCCTCATCCCCTCTCTCTCCATATGATAACTCTCTCCCTATGATAATATAGGTAATGAATACTAAGAAAAAGGAAACAGACAAAGCCACACAAACCGCGACCAAGATCAACTCCGCTGGCGCCGGAGACCGCGCGCTCGCCGTCGTCGGGGATATCCTAGACGATAACTACCTCGAGACGCTGGTGCAGCGGGCCGCGGAGTTTGGGGATGGGAAGATCCATATCATTGTGAATAATGCGGGGTTTACGTGGGATGGGGTGATTCATAAGGTATATCGTTCCCTTCCCCCCCCCCCCCCCCCCCCCCCCCTTCTTTTGCTTTAGTTTGAAGGGGAGGAGGTTATACATATGTTGTTAGAAAAAGATTGACTTGACTAACAAGTTGAAAAACCCGGGATAACAAACAGATAACCGATAAACAATGGGACACGATGCTTGCGATTCACAATACCGCGCCGTTTAAGCTCGTGCGGGCTGCCGCGAAGTACTTCCGGGTTAAGGACGGGGAGCCGCGCTGCATTATCAATATTAGTAGTACGAGTGGGTTGCATGGGAATGCGTATGTGCTTTCTTTCTTTTCTTTTCTTTTCTTTTCCCTTCACTGCCCTACCCCTGCCATGCCCTGTCTGTGCTATTCAAATAAGATGGGTACTCCGGATCAATCTCTACGACTATGTCTACGTCTATGTCTCCGTCTATGGATCTGGATATGGATCTGGATATGGACAGGATAAGATTCATATTCATGCACTATCATACTCTACACTTCCTACACCTACGCCCTTACTACACTACTCCCCTCCACTAACAACCATGCTATATGATATATGAAATAGAGGCCAAGCAAACTACTCCCTCGCAAAAGCCGGCCTCGTCGGGCTCACCAAAACAATAACAAAAGAATGGGGACCCGCATTCGGCGTCCGCGCCAACACGATCGCCTTCGGCCACATAACCACCCGCCTCACCGCCGCAAAGGAAGACGGGGCGTTCATCACCACGCCGGACGGGACGAAGGTGGCGCTGGGGATCCCGGGGAAGCAACTCGAGAGTCGGAAGGGAGCCACCGCGGGAGCAGCGGCGCAGTATCCGGATATTCCGCTCGGCAGGCCAGGCAGTCCGCAGGAGGCGGCGAGGTCGGTGTTGGCGGTGGCGAGTCCGTTGTTTGCGTATGTGACTGGGGAGACGATTCGGGTGACTGGGGGGAGGAATACTTAGATTTTCCGTGTCTGTATAAAGTGACTTGGGGCCATGTGTTTGTATGACTGTGGTTAGTTTCAATGGGTAAGTAAAACAGCAAGACAGCGAGCAATCAAGGTCTAAATCAAATGGAATTGATATAAAATCAATATCAATGGTCTGTTCCATTTATAGAACCGAACTGTTCGAACAGGCTTGCCTTGTCAACAAGTCCTGTCCTGCATGCAACTAAGCGCCCTGTAAATGGGGCAGTGGACAGCAGGGACAGCAGTCTAGACACTGACAGAGCCAGCAGAGCAGACAGCAAAAAGTCAAGTAAGTATGTCAATGTCAAACACCAACGGTCGCAGCTAACCGCCGCCCTGTTTACCTGATACTCGCACGGTTCCGTAGTACTCCGTATAAACAATCGTCACATCTCTATTTATATCATCGTATCACAAATCACAAATTATGAGGTGGTTGGTTTTTCTTTTTCGGTTTAGATTTTCCGGCTCCCTGCAAGTCAAGTCTTGCAAAGTTGCAAACACTTCCTGCATGCTCATGGCCCCAAACAGGGTGACGATTCCTTCGGGCCGAAAAATTGGACGACGGAGCTGAACTGAACTGAAACGAAACGAAACGTACAGTGTAGTGTCCAGAACGTCTGACAACAAGGAGTATGTAAGGAATAATAACTCCGGCGTCACGTATCTTATCAACAAATTATAGAAAGATGAGAAGAGAAATGATCAAAGATGAGATCAAAGATAAGAATAGAAAGTCAAAAGAAAAGAAAAAGATAAGGAATCAGGTATAAGAATCAAATGAAAACGCCTCGGTAAGGCCATCAAAACGAATGTCCAACAACTCCATGCAAAATCAAATAAACAATGCTTTCTTGGGGGTATTTCTTTTCTTCTTTCAACCCTTCAAATCCGACGCCAGTAAACACCCTGCAAATCAAATCACCCATTCATCAAAATTGCAACAAAGACATCCGTAATCCGTAAATCCCACAGAATTCCACCCAATGGTAACATATTAAATACTGAAACATATTCCACGGTTTCTGTTGGCAGCACATGGCTGGCAAGAGGTATAAAAAAAAGAAACAAGTCCAAGAAGGGCAATCCATCCATCGAAAGAGGCGAGGGGAATATCCTCGAATCCGGAAAAAAAGGACCAAACAGGAAGAAAAAAAGAAAAAAAAAATTAGACGTATGTGCAAAGGTACCCGGTCTCCAAGGCTTTTCGCTCTGGAAATAATACAGTCGCTTCGGGATGCAAGGTGGAGTCCAGAAAGAATCGAAATATCCCGAGATCCAAAGGTCCTGGGACAGGTGGAAATCAATGGCGTGCAATCGTAAACCTGCGTTAAATGTGCTGGGGTATGTATAAAGGCAATGTGTTTTTGTTCTTTTTGCTTTTCAAATGTTCAGTGTGAAAATCGGAGCTAACACACGGGAATGGGAATGGTAAAGGGTGGCACGATGAGAGGCTCAGGGAGGTCACTGCATGCGACGGAGTCCGCCTGCGGGAAATCATCTTTGCAGTCAACCTCGGGATCCAGTCCGACCGAAGACATCGACGACACGCTGTCCAAGTCCGTGTACCCTTCGGTGAACGAAGAGGCATCCGAGACGGCGGATTCCAGCGAATCCGAGTAGTGCGACGATGAAGCAGACGAGGAAGAGGAAGAAGAGTTGTAGACATTCACCGGGACATGGTCCGGGACCTCAGCGTGGTTCACGCAGTCTCCCGGAAGAGATCCGTCGACGGGCCACTGAGTCACGGGGTTCATCGTGAACTGAGGACAGTCCAAGATCAAGTTGCGAAGCTCGGGAATGGTGATCCTCTTCCTAGGGTCACATTCGAAGATGCGGCTCAGGATACAGATCATCTCATCGGACAGGGGAAGAATGGACTTGAGGAACATGGGATCCTTGAGGTAGGCCCGGAAGGTGGAGTCCTCAATGGAGGCACGCTTCCAGGGGTTACGGCCGCACGTGAGGTTGACGAGGATAACACCCAGGCTCCAGACGTCATTGGGTGCGCTTTCGTACCAGGACATGGGTCGTGGATTTGGTTGTTGACATTCTTGGAGAGCTCGAGGTTAGCATGACAAGAACCAAAAAAGCACAAAGAGCAGATAGAACATACCTGGTGACATGTAGAACGTAGATCCGCAACCAAAATCCGAGGTAAATGGGTCCGCAGTAGCAAGGCCAAAGTCAGCAAGTTTGACCGTCAATCCCTGGTCCGTTACCAAGATGTTCTCCGGCTTGAGGTCCCGATGATAGATCCCGACGGAATGGCAGAAGTGGACGGCATCCAGGATTTGGAGATATACGCGCTTGACCAAGGGGTCGTTGCCGATGAAGTTGCCCTTCTCGGTGATGCTGGAGAACAGATCACCCTCGGGACAAAACTCAATGACCACGTAGGTGCAGTCGAAGGAATCCATGATGCGGACCAAGGAAACCACATTGGGATGTTGGCTGGCCAAATGATGCAGCTTGATCTCCCGCTGCTGGTACTTGAGCTGCCGGGGATCCAGTCCGGTCTTGTTGAGGGCCTTGACAGCATACAGGACATTGGTATGAATGTCGACGGCCGTGTAGACGACGCCATAGGCGCCGACTCCCAAGATACTAGTCAGCTCCAGCCGGTTGGCCAGGAGCAATCCCAAACGGTCTTCCGGGGCATAACAGCGGGCGATAGGGGGAGAAGGGGGAGGAGTCGGTAGCATATGAGGATATATGCCTACCGGGGGAGCGGGAGGAAGCATGATGGATGTAGAAGTGAAGGGACGGTTTGTTTTGTTTTTTTTTTTTTTTTCTTTAAATCTTATTCCCTTTTAAGGATAAGATGTTCAAAAACAAAGGTAATCCAGAGGGAACGTCCACGCCGGGACAAGTTGTCGACAAGAGATCAAGGGACCTCTAAAGAATTCCTGGGAGTAATAATAGGGTCCAAATCCGGGATGGAATCAATCCAAATTAAACCAAGCAGGCGGTCATATATAGCACCAAAGGAGAGAAGTAGTCGCCTGGAGTCAAGGAGCCATTGAAGGAATGGAGTTGTTGTGAGCGGACAGAAATCAAGCAATCAAAACCTCAGGACTGGTCCAAGTTCGTTGGCGATGATGATTCAGACGGTTGCACAGACAGGCGAGCAACAAGCAAGAACACGGCAATCGGGAATCCCAGGAGGTTAAAATCCGACCGGTCGGGATGGGTTGGGAGATCCTTTTTGTATGTTGTTATGCAGATGTGTAGAGGGTAGAGATGTGTCCACAGCGGATAGATCGATCGGACAGAAATGGGGGAAGAGGGGGAAAAATGTCCAGAGTATTATTGGGGGGAAGCGGAGGTGTAAAATGATATATGTCCAGAAGTCCCAAAACAGAAGAAGAAGTAGTAAATCAATCCAAACAGGAAAAGGAAGGAAATTAAAATAGGAGGGAAATAAAAACACCAGTAACAGGACGATGGAATGTGATGGATGGATGGCAGGGAAGTCAAAAGGAAATAATAGAAAGGAAAAAAGAACACGAGCACGAACGAACTAGAAGGGAGAGAGGAGAGGAGAGGGATTATGGGAAGGGAATAATAAGTAGGTTCAAGAGATGGCGAAGATAGACGGATAAGGGAGGATGGGATGGGATGGGAATGGGATGGCAAAGGGGGGGGACAAGCACTAATTTCCCCCCCAAAATAAAACAAATAATAGTCCCGGGGCAGTCTAAACCACTCGTGGTCAAGAGAGGGCAAAAGGAATTACCTCAGAAGAGGGTCATCAGCGAATGCATTCGAATCCGACCCCCGTTACATGTTAAGCATGCACCGCCGGCCCACTGATTGGAGACGGGAGGAGGGGGCGACTCCATCGGACTAACAATGTATGATGCTTAGACTAGTTTAGGTCCAGCTACAAATAGGAAAAGAGGGGAACCGACCAGCTCCACCGACCAGGTCGGGACCTCCAGTTCCCTCTTGAGACTGGGAACTGGCGAGGGGGGCAAGTCTGGTACCGATGGAGCAACGGGCACGCCTTTCACAGCCGGATGAGTCAACGGGGCACGGTGCGTGGAGAGAAAGAAAAAGAAAAGAAAACAAAGACAGACGGTCACAAGGAGACGATGGCAACGGCACTGGCCGCCGTGGCTGTAGGAATGAGTAGGAGGTGGACTCGAACTTTCTTTTTCTTTTCATTTAGTTACTAGGAATCGATCCCATGATGAATGGTAAGTGGCAGTAAACCTCCGACTACTCTTAGGGATTCGCCCGGTGGACGAGGGTAAAGAAGGCAAAGAAGGCAAAGTTGCCTGTTCGCTCCGAGTGGGGAAGGGAGGCGGTGTGTGCCAGACTTTGAGCAGTCTGTGTGACAGGTCGGTCGCCTGCTGATGACGCTGAATGGCCCAGAGGCAAGCTGGCTCCACTCACACTGCATCAGTCCATGGAAGATAGATCCGCCCAGACGCCCTCGGATTGGCGGTTCACCCTGGAGCTGACATGAATGGATCAGGTTGAACAGCCTCCTTGCTCGCTTGGTCTAGGAGATTTTCGACTTTTTTTTTTTTTTTTCTTTTTTCTTTTTCTGGCCGGGAAATGAGGCTGGATCGATGGGGATCCACTTTCTCCGGCCCTCTCTGACTCTCTCTCCTTTTTGGATCGGACAATCAATCGCTGATCATCAATCATCTTGACATCCCGTTGCAACCTGGCCCGTCCACCTCAGAAGTTTGAAGTCTGAGTACCGGACTAGGTAGCCAGTACACAGGACAGGCCCGGAGGACATCTGTCCATCAACCAACAGACAAACTTCTGTTGTACCGACCAGATGCCAGCTCATTGAACTGAATATTTAGTCCTGACTATTTACTGGCTGACTCCGTACACAGTAGGCAGTCACTTACTCCACCAGATGGTATTGACTTTGGTCTTATGTTTGTTTACACTTTACAGTGTAGGCGTGAACACTGAACCGTCGGTCTGAATTTTTACTTCTTGTCGAAGCAAAAGAACCAGACCCGTCCCGAAACGGCAACAGAAAAACAAGACTCACAATCAAGGTTAGACTTGGAGTCCAGATACTCCCGTCAGAGACAGATGAAATCTGATGGTCTCGGTCTAGAAGGGTTTCCTTCCTCTCCACATCTGCCAGACCTACCGGGTCCAGATAGACCTCGGAGGAGAAAGTCTATCGAGTAGGACTTCATCCGGCGAATCAATCCAGACGGAAGATTTGGTTTGAGTGTACACCGGGTAAGGCAGGAGGCCTTAAAGGATGTCCCGCTTGGAGAGAGTGAACACTGAACAGGAATTCAAGAATTCTGATTCAATCCACGATGGAGGCCATGTAGCGTGGACAGAATGTTGACATACACCGTAGTCACCTACCTAGCCCTACTACGGAGTACACAGTCTACACACAACACAAAGCACGAAGTCCACTGTGTCAAAGTGAGGCAAGCAGGCTGCTTCGAGAACGGTCGGATGACAAGCCACGACGGCAGCGGATTGGCTGCACTGCGACGAGTGCCACGTTGCATGGACCAAGGCAAGGCAAGGCTTTCCCGTGTTCGAATCCACTTTCGGGTTGGATCTTAAGAGTTGCGCTCGGGCAACGGTGGGGAGAGTCTGGGCTGGTAGTGCCGTAGTGGTGTCTGGCTGCCAGGTGATTAGGACGAGGTCAAGTGATCATTAGTTTTTCATATTATGATAATATGATGATACTATATAATATTATGATTATGCTCATCTTAATGGACGGCCAAACTTAGAACCCACGCTCTTAATAGTATAACGATCCATTGATCATTCTCTCTCTGTACCCCGGATGATCTTCTATCTAATAACTATCGGACTGGGTAGGCCTGTTTACTTAAGGTGTAGACAGACTAACTACGCAGTTTATAGCCAATGTACAATTATGTACATTATGTAGATATACATGCAGTTCTCCATATCTACAGCAGCCATGTACTCCGTATGTACCTGTGTGCATGTCTCCCCCTGATATCATCTCATCTCATATCATATGTATCTGTCTATCATACACAAAATGACCTCATTCTGCTGTCCCCTTTCCCTTCGTTCTTTGTCCAGATCCCAGAATCTGATATCATCTCCTAGAAAGAAAAAGGGGAGGGGGGGGGGGGGGGGGGGGGGGGTGTGACCTGTTAATAGACGTGTAACATGAACTCTGCCCCCCTCATTGAATGATTGAACCTTATCCATGGACCCCTATTCACGGAGTACGGATCATATTCCATAGAGTATGGATAGGCGTTTATTGATTGATTGTTATGTACATAAAACTCCCTAGCTCAGGCTAGACATAAAGCCGATGGCGACGGCGATGGCGATGACGATGACGCAACCGCCCGCCCGACCGACCGGGGAGGAAAGAAATAAAAGACAAAAACAGTGAACAAACAAGTACCCCATGGATCAAAGACTCCAGATCCTAGATCTACCATCCTAAGTTCCCGTCCTGTAGAAAACGCAAAGAAGACACCCCATCCGGAAAGAGGGAAAAAGGGATCAAAGAAATCCCGTCCGTCCATCTATCCGGTCGATCATTAATTGACATTCAGCGTTTGCCCTGACGCTACCTACTCTACTCAGTACAGTGTACCTTAGACAGTCGACGTCACCATCTAACCCAGTGGCCACTGCAAAGGCAAAGCTAGAAGATTCGAATTCCCCATTCCATCTTCATTCGCCACCCTCATCCATGGATCGCCCGTTTTCATATCGCCCTTGCCCTGGTTGCCCGAGTCATTCTTTCATTGTCTGGGCTGTGTTCGGACGGATTCTGATCCACTAACCGTGGGAAGGCATCCATGTTTCCAATTTCCTTACACCGACGGTGGCCTCCGGGAGGTAGGAATGTGCTACACATACGTACTAGACTACGTGATCGCCTGTCAGATCGGTGGCAAGGAAGCCTAATTGTGCTGTGCGCCTCTCGTCTTCTAATTATGGTCTGACGGGGCAAAGGGAAGGTTACTCAGTACTCAGTAAGCAAGGCAGCTCATTTGTGAGGACGGTGTACACAATATGATCTCGTTTCAGCACCCTGACTGGCTCGGTATAATAATGACATAATTATATACATGATATTCATGGAGTTGCCCCCGGGGAGGGAGGGTTCGCGCTCATTCTCCACTAGGTCTTGGGCCGCGCAATGAACGGATGCTTCAACGCCTCCGCTGGCGTGCATCGCTTCTCCGGGTTCAGACTCAGACATCGATCCAGTAGATCCACAAACAGCGTCAGTTCTTTCGCCTCGCTGTCCGACATCCCTCGGATGCCCTTGCCCAGTAACCTCGTTTTCAGGTCGCGCGTGGGCTTCTTGAAGTCGAGAATCCGCGTGGTTAGTCGCCCCGTGATCTTGTCCTCTTCCGTGCTGTGGAAATTCAGCATGTCATCGAAATGCATATGAGCCAGCGATCCCTTGCGCAGCAGTTTGGGTGGGTATTTGCCACGGCATTCCATAATGGACCGCAGCATCTGGTTGTTGTTCCGTCCCGTGAAAAGGATCTTCCCCGTGTAGAGCTCGAACAAGGTGCAGCCAATGGACCACACGTCGATGGCGTGATCGTATGGGATTCCCAGGATGATCTCTGGGGCCCGGTAGAACCGACTGACCAAGTAGGGAGTGATCTCGTTATCGGTCGCGGGCGACGCAGACCCCAGATCGCAGACCTTGAGGATGTTGCGCTGCTCGTTGACCAGCAGGTTGTCGGGTTTCAAATCCGCATGAAGAATATTGCACTTGCGGAGGAGGCTGAGCCCCAGGAAGATCTGCTGCGCGTATGCTCGAATCGCTCGCAGGTTCAGTCCGACATCTCGTCCAAACTTCTTCAACACTTCACGCAGGTTCATGCTCAGGTTCTCGAAGACCATGCACAAATGTCCCTTGTGGTCAAATTGCCGCACATACTTGATGACATGTTTCTTGTCCTCCGGGTCCGCCTCGTGAAGCTGTTCCAAGATGTCGATCTCTTTCAAACCCGCTTTCCGCATGGTGTCATTCTGCCGAATAATCTTGACCGCAACCAGTTGACCGGTCTCCTTGTCCGTTGCGCGCACGACCGAGGAGAACATTCCTTTCCCAAGGTTCTGCAGGACGTGGTATCGGCTGTCGATCAACTCACCCAACCGCACGTTATAATACCCCTCGGGATCATCCCAGTTGTCCATCATGCTGATGTCTAGCTCCTGTGCCTGAGGAACGGCGGACGTAGCCGAGGCATGCGTGGGTTGCGTCGTTTCATGTGTATCTTCCGCAAACATGTCGTCGCCGTCGTCTTCTGCGAACATATCGTAGGGATCCTTGGCCTTGGGCTGCGCTGGCTCAACTGGAGCCGCGTCCGGAAGTAAGAGATCCTGCTTGGTGGTCTGCGTCTCGTCGTAGGTGGTCGCGGAGACATCTTCGCTTGTATGTTTTTGCCTTTCAGCTTTCATGTCAAATGTAGGATCGTAATCGGCGGCAGAGGGCTCATCTGGTTCGGCGCCATCTACAGGGGCTCCGGTATTAGCCAAGTCGGCGTCGGTACCGACCTTGAAATCGGGGAATTCTCCGGCGCCTTCGTTGGGCGTTAAGGCAGCGGGACTTTGCGTTTCTAATTGGAAGATATGTTAGCATGCTCTCAACAACGCTTGCAGTAGGGTCAACCAACCTGATACAGTTGTGTTGGGGGTAGCTTGATCAACGTTCGGGGTCGGCGCGGATGATTCCCTATCGCTGTCGATATGAAGTGCCTGCAGACGTAAAGGAGTCGCCTGTCCTCTATATTTAGCCCTGATAGCTTCACGTCGTTTACGGCGAGCTTGTATTTGAGCCGCCTCATCAACCTCTTCCACAGGTTCCACGGGGTCCGCGGGCTGCGATTCTTCCTTCTCATGCACGGTTCCATTTGCACTGCGAGCAAAACGAATCAGTTGATTAATCCATCGCAATGGACGAGGAGGAACATACCCATCTTCAACACGAGCTGCGAGGGAAGGCGGCTGGACCTGATCCTTTCGAGTTTCAGCATCTGGTTTCAACTGTTCAATAGATGACTTTCCCCTGTTATCCCGAGGTGCAACACTCTCCGCTCCCTGGGACTTCCACTCGTCACCCGAGTATTGCTTGGGTTTCCGAATTTCGCGGTAGGGGGAACGGCTGCGGGGGCGCTTCTCCCGACGTCGGTCATAGTCATCATTGTACCGGAGGCCCGTCGTGTAATCCTCCTCGCGGTCGTAGTCGTAGTAGGATCTCGGACGCCGGTGCGATTGGCCTCGATCATGATACCTGTCATCGGATCGATACGCGGGACGGCGCGAGGAGTCGGGGCGAAACCGCCGATCGTCATAGTCATCATCATTGCGGCGACGCTTACTCCCTCTGTACTCTCGATAGGGAGAGCGAGATCGGGAGCGCGACCTCGTTCTGGATCTCCGGCGGCGAGGCGATCTGCTGCTCACGGATGGCGAGGAAGATCTGGGCGCCGACGATGTACTAGCTCTGGTGGGACGGTCAACGCTGGTGCCATTAAGAGGAAGTTGCGACGTAGTTGCCTTCGTCTCTGAACCTGATTCGATGATCTCACCCTCAGAAGGGGTCGACGGAGACCTCGACCTGCGTGATGCCATGTTTTTGTTTTATTTCTTATGCACTCAAACCAAAGCCGAATGGAAGGTATACAGTTGGGCCTTTGGGAGTAGCTTTAGAAAGAAGACAGAGAATGGTCCGTTAGCAAGAATGCTTCCGATGACCAAGTCAATTAGGGGAAGTGTATTAGAAAGTCCAACCGGCGAGATATGCCACAGCCCTTGCCAATGATTTGACCGAGCGTCTTCAACCGAACATAGAGTGGTTTCTTTGCACGGAAGAAAGGAAAGATGCCTGTTGGAGTTGAATACCAATGGAAGCGAAATAGAGAACAGATAATCGCGATGAATCAACAAAGTGGAGAAAGCGAAGGCGAGATAGATAGAGATGGAGATGGAGATGGCACGACGGTGATGAGCGACGGGAAGTTCACGTCAACCTTCGCAGTCCCGTGTCTTGGGAGGAGATTTTGCGCCTAACCCTATCGGGCGCTAGTGTCACCCCGCAGCTGATAAGCCCGTTTTGAATTGGTCTTTTTTTTTTTTTTTTTTTTTGGCCTTCTTCTCTTTTTCCCCTCTCGGGTTGATCGATCTTCACTGCCGTCTTCCTCCGCCTCCTGAACGAAAGTTCTTCTCTCTTTCTTCTCTCCCTACATTCTACTATATCACTCTCATACCGACACAATGGGTGGCGCCAGCAGAGAAGGTAGGTCCCTCTTTGCCCTCTCATACATCGACGCCTACTGATCCAATTACCCCTCTTTTCCAGGTGGCAAGGTTAAGCCTTTGAAGTCCGCGAAGAAGGAGAAGAAGGACCTCGACGAGGAGGACCTTGCCTACAAGGAGAAGCAGCGTGCTGGTATGTGGAACTCGAGTTTCTTTTCCTTTCTTCCTACACGGATATTAACCCTTCTCGCGCACAATTAGAGGCCAAGGCCAAGAAGGAGCTTCTCGAGAAGACCCAGGGCAAGAAGGGTCCCCTGAACACCGGTTCGCAGGGTATCAAGAAGTCGGGAAAGAAATAAGCCAGCTTGGAGATTCAATGCGATGACCGTCTTTCTCTCTTCTTTTTGCCTTCCTATGACATAACGTTAGCGACGAACAACTCAAAGATATCACAATAATGGGAGATTTCACATTCTAAGCATTTGACTATTGTTATTTTCGTCTTAATCCTGATACCTATCTTACAAACAACACAGTTCACCAGACCATGTAGCAAACCACTATTACATGTCCTAATATGCAGATGAAGTCGTTCCCCGTTATGATAAACAATGAGGGACCCAATTATCGGCATCCGTTCCACAAACATGAGTCTCCAAACAAGCAAGAAAGAGATTGTCAACGCCGTCTGAATGCTGCCAAATAACAAGGAATTTCATGCCACCAGGACAAATGAGAAGCAGATGCAAACCTATCAAATCCTGAAAGAGGGTATACGCAATGTTGAAAAAAGGAGATGGTCCGGCCAATATAGATCCGGTACAAAAGGAAATTCGAAGGGAGAGGGAGGCGGCACCAGCACGGCGGAAAGAACAACACAGGAAAGAGTAAATAAAGGAAGCAAAGACAGGACGTGACGCCAAGAGCGCTGAGAGAAACATGCTGTGAATCAAATGAATGCGACGTGGTTCGACCTCTTTAACTGGTTATTCGCTTAACCCATAATCCACTGCCACCGCCATAATTGTTTCGTTCATCTCGCTTCTTCCAGGCTCTGTAGAGTTTAAGGCCGAGCTCATGCTCTTCCCGTTGGATCTCGGCTAGTTCGTTATTTAGACTGGTAACAGTTTTCTTGACTTCATCTCTGGCAGCAATGTCGTATGCGATGGAACTTGGTTGAATGACCTGGGTCAGTTCGTGGATCATCGTGTTGATATTGATTCGGCGCCGGGCAAGGCTATCCTTTCTAGCTTCAAGGGAATCAATGCGACTCTGGGCCTGTTCCTCTGGCGAGAGCTCGGTGGGTGCAGTGGAAACTGCGTCTTCGTTGGAAGCCTGCGAGGGGGTGGGTTTACGGGATGGTTTCTTGGAGGGCGCCACCGCGCTGGGGACCGGTCGTTTGCGGGACATGATCGAAGAGAAGTTTTCTGTAGACTGCGACGCTGTATCAACGCTGGTGCGGCGACTGGTCGTCGTACTGGATGCTTCGGTGGGCTCATAAGTAGTCACGCTGAAGCGGCTGCTAGGCTGCAAAACGTCGTCATCGGTGATGAGTTTCAGGTCGGCCAGTGAGGCATCAAGTTCGGGTGCTGGAAGATCCACACGTGGCGGAGCATGGCTGGAGGCACTGCTGTAAACAAGGTTCTCTCGGCTGCTAGGCAGCCGTGTTCGAGAACTATGGGCGCTGGCGCTCGTACTGGGCACGCGCTTATCTGGCGTCTCACCCCCCGTGATTGTGGTCACGACCGAGGGAACAATACCCAACGAAGAATAATCGAGCGATGGTTTTGCATCGTCTCTCAAGCGATCGTTGCTTGGCGAGATGCGCACGCGGGAGGACGACCGGGCTCGCGGCTGTTCCTGAATGGGCGCGACTATCGGTGATCGTCCACTAGGGCCCTTCCAAGGTTCACGCATAGCGGGCGGTAGCGTGTTCTCCCCTGTGGAAAGTCTACCACGGACTTTTTTCGGCAGAAGCTGTTCCTTGCCCTTGCCGAAGAGGCTCGAGGATTGAGACCCGGACGGCTGAGGATTGGCGGAGATGTGTGTTTGGAAAGAAACACCACCCGGCGCCATCTGCCCGGTTCTAGCGAAATCGCTCATTGTCGAATCCCCGGAAAAGCTATCCCATCGGGTGGCATTGGATCTCAACGAGCTTCGGGAACTTGGCGGCAGTTGAGAATTATCAGTATGCGACGACCCTCCTCGTTTGCTCAACACCGGCAGATGGCTGCTGAACTTGTAATCCATGGGTCCACCGCCAGCAGACCCCTGCTTGGGTTCTTCGTCGATCGGTGAAACCTGGGAGCTGCTGCGACTGCGGGGACCCGGGGTGGTCGAGGTCGGCGTGTCAGGAGGCGAGATGATCGGACTGATGGTCGGACTGATGGTCAATGGCAAACTATATTGACTCTCACTGAACGGGACGTCGTGCTGCGGCGTTTGCTGCGTCAAACTGATGGAACGCTGCCGCACGGGATCCACGACGGTGTCTCGCGAGTACACGGAGGAAGCGACTCGATGGCCAGACTCCGGCCGGCGCGAAGGGAAGGACGAGCCGGCAGTTTTGCTGCGAAGGGTTAGGGAGCATTCTTCATGCCATTCTTGAGTGCGAGCACATACGGTGGTACGGCGGGGAGGGTTTTGGCTGAATAGTATCTGTCGGCGCCCGGTATTTCAGACATGGAGGACATTGAATGATAGACATCGTCATTCAAGGTTTTATTGACCAGCGTCGGTTTCCCAATCACGGGTTTCTTAGACCGGTGGAAAGACATTTTCCCCCACATCTTGAATCTACGGCGAGCCTTTGCTCGGACGCTTCTTTGAGACTGGACGAACAATAGTAGTAAGTAAGGTGGATTCCATGGGTCGGCTAGAAAGGAGACGGGGCGATAATCGACAAACACACCTGGTTGGGATCGTCCTGATAGAATTAAAGCAAAAAGACAAGAAAGTAAAAAAGAAAGGGACACGATGGAGGGGTAGATTAAAAAGGGGAATATTGAAAGAATGGATGAATCAAGATTAGAGATGTACGGATGATCCACATAGAAAGACCGTTGACATGCCTGCACGTCATTCACCAGCGAGAAACAATTGGTCGGGGAGGACCGACAAAGAATGTTCTTCGGGTTGGCTGACGGGGAAAGAATGTGGAGTGAAGCCAAAGAGTGAAGGAAAGAAACAAAGAACGCGAAAAGGTGAAGAAGGCGAGGGGAAGAAAACAAGGAAGAGAAAGAGAAGCAGCGAGAAGAAGCGCGAGAAAGGACAGACAGGGAACAAGCCAATGCGCCAACCCACCACGGGCCCCTCTTTTCGCAGGAATTAGAAATTAATATAACGAGTGTCAGTCGGATATCAAGCTCTCGCCGGGAGTCGGGGGAAGGGACAAGACTAAGAGACTAAGAGACTAGGCACGTTAGGAGAGACAGCACATGTTCTTTGCTCGGTTACTCGACAAGAATAATTAAGATGAAGGACCCTGTTTCAAGCTAACTTTGGTCCTCCCCCGAAACTAGTGACATGTTATTCAAATCAGATCCATCCGGATCCTCAGGCCGGTCGTTGGGTAGCCTAGAGACCGGACTAGACTCGAATTGATTTGAGAAACTGCCAGACTAGCAGCGCGTAGTGCATTCAACGGTGAAGTTGACGAGAAGCAGATCTAAAAATAAACCCACCAAAACAAACACCAACAAACAGCCCAAAACGGAAAAGCCTCCCGCTTTGATGCCTGATCACTCAGGCACTATTTTCGAACAATACCCCGTGGCACGTGCGGTAATAATACCGAAACTTACCTTACCTCTTATCACCTGCCCGTCATTTCTGATTATCAACTTCCGTCGTCATCGCCGTTGCGGTTTATGCCATTCTTCAATCCCCAACCTTCTCTTCTCTCACCATAAACCTTCACCATGAGCTCCCCAGGTCCGCTCTCCCTAATCATCAACCAGCCCTCTCATCTCATCCAACCTCTAACCTTCATCCAGAAACCGCTGCCGAGACCGCTCCGCCCGCCGAGGTGTCAGTATCTCTATCCTATCCTGCCTAGCTAGCTTCAGCTCTCCCCCAGCTTCGCCTCTCCCAAACTGACACCAAACAGGATGACGATCGCCACCCCCATCAACCTGATCCTGCTGTCCCTCTTCGTCGTCCTCGTCTACATGCAGCTCCGCCCTAAGACCCCCGTCTCCCTGCCCAAGGGTCCCCCTCCCGTCGTCTTCCGCACCTTCACCCCAATTACCCTCCTCCCGTTCAACGGCGTCGACGATAATCCCGTTTATCTGGCTGTTCGCGGCCGTGTGTTTGACGTGACGCCTGGCAGGAACTTCTACGGCCCGGTAAGTCAGCATCCAGAACCCATCGCTTAGCAAGAAGGTTGGGCCGGGCCTGGCTGGTCTGGTCTAGCCAGTCCTCATCCGACCCTTGCGTAGCCAAGGATGAATGAATGGACCTTGGCCCGATCTCCTCTCCCTCGCTCACTCTAGTCATCCCAACCTATTCGGAGAAAGAAAAACCAAAGAAAACAGGCTAACGATGACCCATCCGGGTGGTTTTAGGGCGGACCGTACGAAAACTTCGCCGGACGCGACGCATCCCGTGGCCTGGCTCACCAGAGCTTTGACGAGGAGATGCTCACGAAAGATCTGAAGGGTCCCCTTGACGACCTGAAGGATCTGGACGAAGAACAACTCGAAAACCTGCAGTCCTGGGAGGAGCGGTTCCTTGAGAAGTACCTGGTGGTGGGTAAGTTGGTTGCGGAGGGAGATGCCGAAGCTCCGAAGTCGTGAGTTCCATCAGTCTGTGTGCTTGTCTAGGATACCATGTTGGATATCTTGGATGATTGCGCGCGTTACTGGCAGGTGGTGCGTTGGAGATGGGACCACGAACCGTCGGAATGGACGTTGGATGAATCTGCGGTGATGCATTATGGTTTCTTGTTAAAAAGCGATGTTTGGTGATATTCTCGGCAATCATATGTCAATCTTAAGTTTATTTTCGGGTGGCCTAGTCATAGGCATCCGGTTGTGAAGGTTTCATATTGAGAATGCTACTGTTACACAACGATGAAATGAGATAAAAATTTCATCAATATTAGTTATACATGAAATAACGGGAAAAGAGCAGCCAGCCATCAGATCATGATGCTTCTGTATCGATTTGAACCCAAGCATATTCCATCCGGACACAACATTACGCCGCCTCAAACAATCCACAAGTAAAGCAATCGCAGTTATCGAATCATAAGAGTCATGATAAATCACACCTTTTAAACTTCACTAATAAATAGAGGAATCGACCGAGTACTGAGCTTAAAGCTCGGACCTCTCGGATTTAACCTCCTCGGTGGCTTCGGATAGCTTATCCTTAGCCTTCTCTGCGGCATCCTGGCCCTGGGCCCGGCCGCTGGACGCACCGATCTTGATCTGGTCCAGAACCCAGTTGGTGGCATCCTGCAGCTTGGCGTAGATGGTGCCCTGAGGGCTGGAAGTTCCGTACCTGAAGTACTGCGCCTGGCGACGGGCCAAAGCACGCAACTCATTTATGTTGGTGCCCTGGTAAACGGGAATGCCGTACGAGTCAAGATAAGCCTTCAGATCCGATTGAGTCCAGGTGTCGAAAGTGGAATCCTTGGCGGCATCGGTGGCTTGTGCCATGTAGGACGTGGCCGACGCCAAGTTCGCGCCTCCAGACTTTGAGGCTTTGGCATATGTGTCCTGGGCGTGCTTCACAAGTTCATCACGAGTGATGTCCGCGCGTTGGGCCGCCTTGTCATTCAATGAAGACAGATACTTCCTAGAGTTCTGTTAGTCAAAAGTTCGTGTGATCGGTGAAGCTGGTCTTACTTCAGATTCTCAGTAGTCCAGGTGTCAAACGTCCAGGCATTATAACCGGTAGAAGCCTTGTGCTTGTGTAGTCGGACCTTCGCAAGGAGTTCGTCCCGCTTGTTACTTTGGGGAACGGGAATGCCTCGGGAATCCAAAAACCCCTTCAGACGCGAGTCAGACCACGCCTCTACTGCAGTGTCAAATGCCTCCTGCTTCTTGAGCTCGGCATCGTCAGTTGCTTTAGCATATTGATTGCCGGCCTTGCTGGTTGCGGCTCCGTAGAGCTCCGAAGCCGACGAAGAACCGGAGGCGGAAGCGGTGGCGGAAGCGGCAGATGCCTGGCTGACAAGCAGAGCGCGATGCTTTCTGGCAAGAGCAATGAGCTCATTGCGCCTGGAGCCCTGGGGTACCTTGACGTCGTGCTCATCGAGGAATTTCTTCAACTCGGAGTCAGACCAAGCTTGGAACAAAGCTTCACTCAAAGTAGCTTGGGCTGATTGGGCGGAAGCGGCAGCAGAGGCGGCAATGCTGCGCGCACGCAAGCTAGCAAGTCTAGAGTTGCGACGGACCGAAGCGACAAGCTTATCACGGGTGGTGGGCTGGGGCGCCGGCCAGCCGCGCTCGTCAAGCCATCCTTTGAGGTCTGATTCGGTCCAATGTTCGTACAGCCAGTTGCCCGGGTAGTGGGCCGCCTCGCCAAGTTTCTTCGCAACGCTCTCGTAGTTCTCACGAGCAGTGTGCAGAAGAACATCGCGCTGGCGGGGCTGGGGGCAAGGAATCCCATGTCGGTCAAGGAAGGCCTTGATCTGAGAGTCCGACCAACTATTTCAAGGTTAGCGCCATACAACAGACATATATGATCATGCATTTACTGACGTATCAAAGATCCACTCTCTGGTGTTATGCCAATGATCAGAGGTTTCATCAACCACATGCCCGATAGGTTTCTGCACTTTGGTTTCCCAGTTGGACTTGACCAAAGATTCCAGGTCTCTGCGGTCGGCAGGAGACGGGTAGGGAATGTCTAGAATTCGAATTGATTAGCGTTGTCATTGAAAGTATGTTAAGCAAGGCTTACCGTGATCGGAGAGCCATCTCTCTAGTTCAGTTTCGTGCCACTTGTTGTATACTACAATTGAGGTGGTTAGCATTCCGTATATTTAGCTAAATGCGCAAGGATTCGTAACGTACCGGCTTTGTTGAACCAACTGGAGGCCCCAACAGCCTCAAAGGATGCCAGGGCAAAGACCAGACAGGTGGCCAAGTGAAATTTCATCCCGACTGATATGTGCGACTATAATTCGGACAAAGTGGTTTGCTTCTTCAAAGACTTTGAGACTCGTGTTAGTGATGCTCGGTTGTAGGCAGTATAGCTCCACCACGGGATGCGCTGAGTGAAAGATGACTTAGAGCTCGTCTTAACTTACATAGACAGAATTGGATTCATTTAACAGTCGAAATATGGTGAAAAACGACGTCTGTAAGCAGCGGGTGGCTCAATATTTATTATGCCAGGATTTGCAACCAGCAATGGCGGAAAGGGTCCAGTACCGGCCAGATATGATCGCCGAGTGACGTAGTTCTGGGGTGTTGTGGCATCGCGAACAACGGTCACTGGCGTCATCAATTGGACGGACCTTGGTTGGAACGGATGCCATTCGATCAGTCCTCCACCACGCGTTTCCATGTCATCATTTCCCACCACACGAGCCAAATCTGGCTTGGCAGCTGAATGGTTTGTCTGCAGCCGGGCAGACAATTGTTCCAGACAAGAGAAGAGAAGGTCGAAAGAGCCAAAAGAAGGGAAAGCGGGCGATCCTGATAAGCTGGTGGCCGCTAGCCTCTTCGGGATTAGTACGAGGCCTGCCCCATTGGGAAATGCGGAGACCTCAGGTTCTCCAACTGACTGGACTGACTGCTCAAGGAAGGTGTAGTTGTTCTGCACGCTCTGTACCTTGCCGATTCTCTCTGACTAGTAAAGACTGGTCGAGACCGAGCTGGTTCCCCTTGTTCGTTGTTCTTCCCCGGATAACTGGAGGGGCCTGCTTGGGCTTGTCAGTCGGACAAGTCATCTCCTACCTGATTTGTCCCAAACACGTGCGGTACAAAGCACCTTAACTGGTCGTCTTGTCCGAGGAACTCGCCATCCCTCATCTGCGTCCCAACTATCACCATTCCATCGATAGAATCCCTTCATCTACCTACCGCTGTGACAGAATTACTCCCAGGCAGCCCCCTCATAATGGATTCAGGGAATCCTCAATGCAAGGACTTGGAGTCTCCTGAGTATAAGAACTTCATCCTATCGCTGTACGGAGCGCCTCCTGGCTGGCCGGCTAGCTAGCGCCCTGAAAGTCACGTCCCGTGCTAAACATGAAGCAGACTGATCGTGCTGGGGATTCTCCTCTCCTATCTCCCCCAACACTACCGCATCATCTCCCTCAAAACCTCCTACGGCATCTCCCCGTACTTCGTCCTGCTAGGAACCACCTCCAGCTCGTCAGCGTTGGCCAACGTCTTATCCCAACACAAGAGCTTACAAGATGCCTCCTGCTGTAGTAGTATAAGCGGATTCGCTTGCTTTGCAGGACTTCTCGGTGTACTACAGATCGCAACGCAATGTTTCTGCTTCTTTACTATGTACGTTCAACCTCGACCCTAATTCTCCCGCGTCCCCGGCAGTTGACATACTAACACTGTCATTTCCTGCACCGTTATAGACTCTCCCTCTTCGTCGCCTACTTCCCCCGCATCAGTTCCTCCGAAGCCAAAGAAAGCCCCTCCTACCGAACCGCTCTAATCGTCGCCGCCATCTGCGTGTTCCACGCCATCGCCGTGCTGATCGTCACCGTCGTTATCGGCGTCAAGAAGCCCTCCTCGCTCCAAGACTGGTCCAACTTTTGCGGGATCCTAGCCGCCATTCTCTCCTCGATCCAATACTTCCCGCAGATCTACACCACCTTGAAACTCCGCTGCGTCGGCAGTCTCAGCATCCCCATGATGTGCATCCAGACGCCCGGAAGTCTCGTCTGGGCCGGTAGTCTGGCCGCTCGCTACGGTCTGAAGGGCTGGAGCACCTGGGGCGTGCTGGTCGTCACGGCCTGTCTGCAGGGCACGCTCTTGGCCCTGGGCGTCTTCTTCGAGTACCTAGGGCCCGACCGAGGCCATCCGCACGAGCACGACAAAGACGCAGACAATGAGGAGTCCATCGGAGAGGAGTCGCAGGATCCGTCAGAGCAGACCCCGCTCCTGCAGTAGATTGTTTCTGGCGTTTATATATTACGGGGATGCGGCGTACGCGACGGTGTGTCTGTCATCTGGACGATCTGTTACGTTTCTAGGGCGCGTGGAGTTTGCCCTTCTCTTTTTCTTTGTCCTTTCTTTTTATAATTTGTGACATCGGACTTATCGGCGATATGTGCGCATTTTGAGGTTAAAAAGTATTCTGTTGTTTTGTTTAAGGATCTGGTATGGATTGGATGGACTATGTATCCTAGGATGCTGCTGGTACAGCCCACTTATCTCTCGACAGAAACAGGCTGTAGTATAAGATACTAGAAGGCAATAGAGCTGGTTGACTCCCCTCTGAATGTGGCAAAGAACCCGAGCACACAGACCTCATAAACGAGAGTTAGAAGGTAATCTCAGCAAAAATACCACGACCCCTTGGTTCTCATTATTTTTCGTTAAAAGGTCTAACTGGCATCGGTCATGACATGTCTTTAAAGATGACACGAACACGCTCTCCGTCTTATCCCACTTAGCAAACCACCGTGGCTGGGTTGACCACTCCGGTAACAACTCCAGTTGCCGAATCCAATCTATGCGCTCATCCTGCCCCCCCCCCTGAACTTCTTTGATTCGCGGTATTTACGAAGAAGAGTAGACGAGACGGAAGACGTCGTTCAGGACGAAGTAGCTGCCCTGGCCGTCGGGGAGGAGCTGGAACGTCTGGGAGTAGTTCATGGGCTTCTGCTCCTCGTCGACCTATATGATTGGAAGGAATACAATTAGCCATGGTGTATTGTGATTGTGCATGCGACAAGACAAGAAACCAAGAGGCGGGAGATATATAAAGAAGTGAGAGAAAAAGGGGGGCAGGGGTGCATACCAAGAGAGCACCGGTAACCATGACCAGGATACCGCCCTGCTCGTTCGAAGGCTGAGCGTCGAAGGTAGCGATCTGGTGCTGGACCTTCTGGAAGGGAAGAGACTGTTGAAGAGGGAGATATGCGCGTCAGCATCGGATCCTATCTTAGCAGATTATCTGCCTCATCCTATCGGACAGGGGGACACTCAATCATCGCGGAGACCGAGGGATACTAACAGTCAACTTCTCAAGAATGTTGGCGACACCCTGAGTGGAAGCGGTCTCGAAGGTGAGCATAGACTGGTCGCGCTGTTGCAATCCAAATCACGTTGGTCAGTAATTGTCTAGGTTGGCGGGACTGGATGAATCATACGTAGAGGCCGGCGAGGGTCTGGCGGTCCGAGTCGAACGTCTGGTAGTAGAACTGCACGAACTGCTCTGTATCATGAACGGATGCATTAGAATCATATTTGATCATTCGTCCGTTGGCTGGTAGTTGATGAAGAGTGTTTGGCGTTCGCTCGGCTATGAGGGATCATAGTTGCGTTGCGATCCGATCCGATCGCATAGTGATTTCGATGGGATGAGGATCTAGGAGGTGCTTAGGATCACTTACGAGCGATAGCGGTGAAGTCTGTGGAGATTCAATGTTAGCTATGTCCTGTTTTCCAAAGGGATCTCATCGACATCTCGGCTGGTGCGCCATCTTTCGTTGATGCTGGAGGGGCTGAAACCCCCGGATGAGGGGCAAGAAAAAGGGAGAAGCGGAATAGACACGGGAGAAAGGCAGAGAACGGAGGCGCAAAGACTACTTACCGGCCATTTTGACGGAATAAGGGGATCACGAGAGCGTGGGAGTAAAGGAGTTGTAGAGAGAGATGAATGGGAAGCGGGGAGACGCAAGAGAAGGGGTTGATATCAACATGCGAAGAAAGAAGTGTTTTGCGAGATAAATTACTTACATTGTGGGGCTGCCCGCCCGGTCGTAGTTGGGCCTGAATCTGCCTGGTCTGCAAGGCATCAATCCACCCTTTCCATCTTCTGGAGATATTGTATTTTTTCAATTCAAGCAATATTGAGATTATAATATAAATTCTTAAAAAGAAATTAGAGAAAGAGATTATCCAACTTCCTATATGTGACGAACTGACCATGAACCACTCTAACTATAGCTTATAGATTCTATTTTCTACAAGCTTTCCTCCTTTCTTTACGTTTGGTTTATTGTAAGATTCGTCACTCCTCTTATATACACTCTTAGATTGACACCCAGTTTGGAGGCCATCCTCTGTTGAAGAAGAAATAACATGAAATGTGACAGAAAGGAACATGGCGCTGAACCACGACAGTAAAGGGCCGACATGAAAAGTAAAGGTATATGTTACGCCAGCATCAAGACGGCTCTAATGTACCAGAGTAGCTGTGGCTCATGTCGGTCTCCTATGGAAAGAAAAAAAGCCCAAGTAAAGTCCAATCGCAACATACACGAACCCAGACCTAGGCTTGTTTAGTCTCGCTCTCCCCGCTGCTCACGGCGATCTCAGCCTTCTCGGTCTCCGAAGTGCGGTGCTGGTCCAACACATCCAGCCCAACCTCAACCTGCATCTGAGCAATCTGGTCGAAGCTGAGCTTGGGCAGCTCCTTTGCCACCTGGTAGGGCCATTTCTTCTCAATATGAGCCTTGGCAAAGATGATGTCAATCTCTTCCAGATCCCGGCCCGCAGTTTCCGTATAGAAAAACCAGGCAAATGGAATAGCGATGAAGTTGACCAGGGCAAAGAATAGATACATACCCCACCCACTAGTGGAAGAGAACACAGGCGTAAACATAGCCACGGCAAAATTAGTGATCCAGTTGGTGCAGGTCGACGCAGAAGCAGCCATAGTACGCGTGCGCAGGGGGTTGATCTCAGGTGGGTAGATCCATGGCAAGGGCAGCGTGGTAAAGGCGAAAAAGCAGATAAAGACGAAGATACCGACAATCGCACCTTTAGAGGCGGACTCCGTGCCAGGGATCAGACAACCCATAGCGAGGATAAAGCTGAGACCCTGGCCGATGAAACCGATCAAGAACAGATTCCGGCGGCCAACTTTCTCGATCATAAAAAAAGAAGGGATAGTAGCGAGAGCATAGACGGTTGAGAACACGCCACCAAGAATCATGGCCATCTTATGTTCCATGTTGAGATTCTGCTCGAAGAGCACCGTCGAATAGTAGATGGCAGCGTTACAGCCAGTAAACTGCTGGAAGAATTGGCCAGAGCAACCGATCATCATTCGCTGAAATTCCTGAGTTTTACCAAAGGTGAAAAGAGTCTTCCAGCTTGCTTTAGCGTTCTCGGTGGTTTTCAAGTCGGCCTTCATAAGATTATAATCGTTGAGAACGTCCTCGGCGTCAGGGGAGCTATCGTTGAGATGGGCCAGAACCTGAATCGCCTGCTCGTCGTGGCCACGCATAATAAACCAACGCGGAGACTCAGGCAGCATCAGCGCACCGAGAATAATAAGAAGGGCGAAACAAATCTGGAAGGCCACAGGGAAACGCCATTGGACGGAGGAGTCGACATAGGAGAGACCGAAGTCGATCCAGTAAGCAATGAAGGTACCAACGGCGATAATGGCGCCTTCAAAACAGACCAAAAAGCCACGGTTATGGGCCTTGGAACACTCCGACTGCCAGACGGGAATAGTGGCAGTGTCCATACCATTCCCCAGACCCGAGATGACACGGCCGATGACGAACTGGCCCAGGCCCCAGGCATGACCGTAAGAAGCCGTGGAGATGACCGTGCCGACGACCATAAGGGCACCACCGGCGACCAGCAACGGGGTGCGACCGGTTCGCTCGCCAAAGCATAACGTGAAGATGGCACCGAAGAAACAACCCAGTTCGTAGCAAGAGGTGACTGCGCCGCGCAGAACGTTCACGTGCTCGTCCAGAGACTTGGAATAGGCGGGATCGGTCTTGGGGGGGATGTACAGCGCGGTGAACTCCCTGGAGAATTTATCGGCGGAAATGATCCCCGACATCAAGCCCTGATCATATCCGAACAACGAGAAGCCAACAACCGAAGTAAAAGTGATGGCAATATGAAGCTTCCTGCCCCGCCAGCCGGAGGTGGTGGTCCACATGATAACGAATTTGACTCTGCCTGCCTAACCTGAGGAAGAGGTAAGATCAAGAGAGATAGAGACACAATCTGGGGCAAACGTCCGGGGTAAACTTCCGGTGCGTTCTTCTTATACCTCATTTCTCCGGGATTGACAGCCCCAGTGATTAATGGCCAATATCGCCCAACCCACGCTCGAGGCAAGTCTCGCGAGGCGTGCCGACTGCCGAGGAAGAAACAAGACCAGACAAGACATCTTAGCGGGCGAAGCTTTAGTCTTAGCCTGCCACCAGCGTGGGCCCGATCCTCCCCGCGTGGTCATAGCCTCGTGGAATTGGACCAATGCGCTCCGGGGAGAGAAGGATGAGACGCCGTTCAGCGATCGACGGACCACTCGTTACATACAATGTGAGCCACTAGATGCACCAACAGCTCCGATGCAACCCCCCTTCCCGAAGCCTCCCGTCGCTATGGCCCATGGGGGAGTGGAGGTGGAGGAAGGATCAGATTCCCTGGGGTTTAGTCAATTTGCTCGGAAGTCGCGACAAGGAGAGCCTTACACTCTTACCTGGACTCGCTTCAGTTACCCCTTTGTTCTTTATTCTGCCTCAATCTTTGCACAGACACTACAGAACCAATCGTTGCTACCCCAGGCCAAGGTTGTAAGATCGTAAGAATTGGCCCCCCACGGCCCACCTTCCATTCGAGTGGGCTTGCCAAAAGAGATTCAGTGGAGCAATTTACCGGTCAAATTGATCTCGATGTTCCCAGGTGAACTGGGGTAGTTCATCCAGGTCCGAGAGCATCGAAGATTGGTAATGCATGGGGGAGACGAGTCGTATGACCTAATAACTAAACGAAGTCCCTGAAAGTGCATAGGTACTAGTACATCTATCTATTCATGGAATATTAAACCATGCAAGGCAGATTTCAGGTAGGTATGATGTATTATGTTCACAACTTCCTCAGCCTAAAGCGTCAGGCTGGAGATTCTTTGGAGGTGATGCAATCCCTCTGTGATTCAATGCCGGTCAGTCCTAACTTCGCATAGGCATATGGCACTGGGATATCTAAATACTTCCCTTGGCATTTCGTGATCACTCCTTCCCTATTTTCTTGTACCCGAAGCTTACCAGCCTGATTTTATACCGCACACTACACTGTGTAGGTCGATTCTGCCCCATTACCTGACGGACTTCCACAAGGCTTTTGAAGCAAAAGAAGCCGCAAATCGGAACGCGAATTTCTTCTCTTCGAAGACAGGCTCCAGGTTCTAAGCACAAGCGTTTCTTTGCTGGGTTTGGAGCCTATGTGTTTATGCCCATGCGTAGAATCCTCTATCTTTCCTTTGGTGCATTGCAGATTGTTTCTCAATTAATATACCTACAGTATAGATTCGGATCGCGGCAGTGTGGGGTCTTATTCCTTGGCCTCCTAGTCGAAATAGCCCTAGCCGTGCTGTCTGATCTTTTCTGGACGACCTGTTCAGTGTGCATTGGATTGTGCCCATGGTTGGGAGTGGTATTCTTAGCGTAGGGTTCGGTTCCAACCGCTTTGATACCTAGTACAGTACAAAAGCCAAGGATATCCGGCCCTGACTCAAAACATCCAATATCTAGGGCTGTTTTCGTGAATCGGACCGATTTGAAAGGATGGCACAAAATCTAGGTACTGAGGTATTCGTTGGAATTCGGTGTATGGAATTGTGGCCGCGGTAAATCATCGCCTCGCTCAGGCCAGAATAATCGATCATCAACATAAATGATCTTCATGTGGAAATGATCTATCAAACTTTGATCTTCCATTTCGAAGCTCCAGAGATTGCATAAATATGGGCTTCATAACGTCGCTAGGAAAACAAGACCTTTAATCGATTCGGTGGAGATCATGTATCTCACAAACGAGCGGCCACCTGTGTATTCCCATGGAAAATGTCTACTTTATAGACTTGAATAACATAATCATAATATAACCCTAAAATCCATTCAAGTAGTACCGGATTCTAGTATCAACGAGTGCCTACATCCTACACTTCCTTCTTTAATCAAAACTATCGTGTCATTGATATACACAGGCCAAGTTCATTCATATCGATGCGTACATTTTCACTCCGAGTCAGAGTCCGCGAACATGTCTTCGGCTTTGGGCCGCGGTTTCCGAACGGGAGGTTGCGACTCTGCTTGAGCTGGTGGCTCCGGATGTTTCGCGGGCGACTGCTCGGTCGCATCGCCTCCTTCTGTCGGGGGTTCGTCTTCTTCCATAGGTTCGCCATCCGGTTCTTCCAAATCACTATCCTCCATCGGCTCCCCGTCAATATCGCTCATTGACTCAACGTCCATGGCAACAGGAGCCTCGCGAGGATTGGTCGTCGTCTGGTTTTGATCGGCTTCAGACGGTCGAGAGGGATCAAATCGCTCAGCTGCAGAGTCCTCGTCCACGGTCTTCCACCGATTCTTGCTCTTAAAAGATGCACCGGCAGCCCGTTCGGCCTCGGCCTTCTCTTGTTCCTCCCGGAGCTCCTCTTCCGTAAGTGGCGGTTTCTCAAAGACCTGGAAGAATCGTTCTTGGCTCGACTGCGGAAAGACACACCAGCCCTCCCACAGATGTAGCAGGGAGCCTACGCTCCGTTTCCATTTTTCTGCTCTCAATCGACCCCAATTGAGTTCCTTCTCTAGTCGTCCAAGATGCTCAAAGACTTCATGTGCCTTCAATGCCGACTCAAAAAGCTGCCGATACCGCCATGCATGCCGCACACCACTGGTGGCAGACGATGAGAGAATGTCGGAGATAAGGAAAAGACCAACAAGTTTGGCGGGAGATGTATCCAAAGCTCCCTTAGAGGATGTACGTGTTTCATCGGCTGGACGGTTATCTTCTGTGGATTCTTCGCCCCGGGCAAGGCGCTTCTCTTCTTCGCGGTCGGGGTTCGCTCCGCTGTAAGCGAAGGGGTTGATGATATTCGAAACAATCATCTCCACCACTTCGTCAGCACCCGCTCCCGCATGTTCGATGGCAAAAGCCGTCACCCGCGCAACATCACCTTTCCGTAGCTTTGCATGAGTCGTGGGAAGTCGTGCTAGAAGGTGAGCTAGTTTGGCCTTCTGAAGAGGGTTCATGTAACCAAGTCCCTCATTGCTTGCGCTCAATCCGTCAGCTGGTGGTCGTTTGTCATCTTCCACATCTGACATCTCATCCTCCGAGGAGTCGTAGTCCTCATCGGCGACGAAATCCTCGATACGCGTGACATATTCAAATTTGAGATGTGTTGCCGGGGGGACCCAACTCGCGTTACCCTCAAAAATTAGTGACGAACTCTGAGGCCTGCCTCGTTGAGTCCCTTTATTACGCCCGTTAGTAAGTATCTCCCATAGCTTCCACCGGTAGTAGACGCCACCAGCACTCCTGGCATCCCAAAGCCAGGCCCACCTAATGTCCTTTTGAACGTCCGGTCTCGTCATGAGAAGAGCCTCGAATTCGGGGCCATAATCCAAGAGATTTTCCAACGTCTTATGGATCAGCCGGAGCTGTTTTAGATCAGACGGCGCTTTCACTTCGACCTGTGTTGCTCCACTTCTCCCTTGCGTAGGCATATAGGAGGCTGGAGGTGCAAACCCTCCCCGATGCCCGGGAGGCGGAGCTCGATTCAATCGCCCCCCGACTTCCGGCGCGATCGATTTGGCACCAAACGGGAGAGAAGCCGTGGAGGATAGACCGACATTGACGGGTAACGTCGAGCCGATGGCAGCAGAAGAAAGGTGTCTCGAGATCGAGAGGTAGTAACCCCAACCAAGGTATTTGTTCTGCAGCGCGCTCACGCTGGTGTCTATATCCGAGGCGGCAGTTTCATTTGCAAGGGTCACAATGGCAGCCACGGATTTACGGTCGGAGGGCTGGCCGGGTGGCCGGAGGATCTTCACGTTATCAACGCCCAGGATGGATGGTATGAGTGACTTGATCACGGACGGAGAAGTTCCGGGAGGCAAGGATGCTAGGTATAACGTAGGTTTCGCCGCCGCCCGCTCAGCATCCTTCGTATCGCCAGCGCCCTCATATTCGTCGTCCGACGTGCGAAACGCCGACGCAGCCGACGAGGTGACCGTACTATCAAATCCCAGCACGCCCTGCGTAGAGTCTCGATTGCGATTCAATGGCTGGAACCCTTCGTGGTTACGTTTCCGCGACAGCGATGGCGGCGGCGGTCCCAACGTTCCGGGGCCGCTCATGCGCGGACCCGAGTTGACGAAGTGTCGCTTCGCCGGGCCTCCTGCAAATCCAGCACCTCTGTTCCCAAGCCGATTCAGTCGTCCGTCGGCGGGCGGTCGGTCGTGTGCTGGGGCGTCATCTTCGAAAGACTTGACGAAGTCTTCGTAGACCGCAGCGGTTTCAGCTCGTTCGCGGGCACGCTTGGCTTCAGCTTCGGCTTTCTGGCGCTCGAACAGTGATTTTTTAGGGAGGGCGGAGAGCTTCGCGGACACGTCGGGGAAGCCCTTGGCTTTCGGATCGTCCGACATGGTAACGGGGCCGCAGAAGCAGCGGTGCTCTGAAGAGGGGGGATCTCAGTCCACGGGCAACAAGTTGGGAGGGCAGAACGAAAGTTGACATTATCACTGCGGCCGGGTGTTGGAGGCCATCAAGGCGGAGGCGGAGATAAATGGTGCCTCAGGCAACACGGCTGCAGACCCCTCAAGCTACTACATACTAGGAACAACTATCTTTCTACACTATCCGTCAGCAGATGACACAAATTAATCACTATTATTCCGATGTCCTAAATAATTAGAAGAATCCTCCAGCTATGGCGACAGCTCAGGTGCAGAATTTACTACGCTTCCTATCCCAGGATGCCAAAGTCCCACTGGCAACTGCTATGAGCAAAGTCATGGAGCTACAAAAGGCAAACCTCACAACGTATGACTATGGGCTGATACAGGCTATCAAGGCCCGTCCGAGACATAGTACTAATTAGTCCAAATACAGCGCCGAGCAAATCTCCAAGACAGAACTTAAGACACTTCAAGACACATTCAAGGACGATAAGCTGGCAAAGCAGGTGTTCAATGCCGCAAAGCGAGTATCCAAAAAGCGGGCAGCTCCAACTGAGGGCGCACCATCACCCCAGAAGAAGACGAAAGGTCCAATCAAAACAGAAGGCGCAGTACCATTCGAAACGGAGCGCATGCTGTCCCTTCCAGTCTCATCGGCAGCCGAGGATGAGCTGTCGAACGTTGTCATACTTACCAACAGGGCTCCTCTGGTACTTGCCTTTGCCGTTAGTGTCTTGAGACATACGATGCCCGAGCAGCCAGTTTCTAGCAGGCTCAGTCTAGCCCAGGCGGTGGTCAGTGCGAATAGTCGCTCGAAAGCCGTCAGTATAGGTATTGCAGATGGAGATTCGGCCGAGCAAGAAGGATGGGGGGAAGGGCAACCGGTGATCAAAGTACTAGGGAGAGAAGTCAAGGTCTTGAAAAGATGGGATTACAACCCCAGAGAAGGCCAACCTACAGAGGAGGATTACACAAACAAAGATGCATCGTTGCCAGGTAATCCAGACGATGTTTTCGGACAAACCGTATCCGGTGAATCAGAAGCTACGCCACCGCTTTGGGGTATCGACCTTGAAACCTTGCGGAGTGCTCACGAAACTACATCGAAAAGGTCCTCCAAGACTGATAGCAGTCTTCCTATCTTCACGCCGAATTCTGCCCGTTCTTATTTATACCGATCGTTCATGAAGCCCCGCAGTCAAAATAGCGAACCGGCGGGCAAGTCCAAGCAGAAAAGCATGTCGGAGGTAGAGGGAGAAAAAGAGGCATGTCTGGGGCATCTCTTACGCAGCATTGATATGGTCTGTCGGTCCTGGGTGCCTTTCCTCGACAAGGACGAACTAGATCGGCGAGCGTGGGCTTGGTATTTACACGTCAGACCTCCAGTTCAAGGTGGAGTCGAGGGTTGGGGAGAGAAAGGACTGGTGAAATTGTCAGATATCCTGGCTCTGAGAAGGCCACCATAAATGCCCGCTTGAGAGGTTTTGCTGCGTTCACAACCAGATTAACCTATTCAGCCGACATCACTATAAGAACCGGACCAGGTGAAAGCTGAAGTGTTGAGGAGAATTATGGCTCCCCAGAGTTACCATATTTGTTTGACTTCAGGCTAAAGTTGATGGCAGTAGGGCTCGTCGGCTATCTTCCAACAATGCAGTACTTGAATCGATTGATGGTTCAGCAAGAGCTGCTATGTGGGTCGCTGGACCTCATGGTCGCAACCTAACCGCCTAAGGCCGAAGAAATGACAAGTTTGGCTTAACGGTGTACGGTGGATAGCGGTTTGTACGGAGTAGAGGTAACGGTCCATGATCAGTTCGATTGTTCGAATAGTCCCAAGTCCAATCAGAAACCCAATACCATAAAACTATTCCCTGAACCAACGCACGTTCAGAGTCTGGACCATCTATAGTTTGGCTGCACGATTGCAAGAATTGCATCAACGGTGGTTAAGAGGGATATCGCAACAATGGATAACCAAGCATAGTCAAATCAGCGGTGGGCCTCAATGAGCCAAACATCCATTGGCAGAGTTCCTGGCTACATTAACCATTAAGCAGCGATTCTCATTGTCTAGAACAGTGAGAACGGCGTCGATCAACCCGAGGAACCGGGCAGGTTCCGCCTTCGGTACCGGATGATTGAACCAACTATTGTCTGCATTATTGCCGGAGAGATGTTGCTCTTTGCTGGCAATTCTGCTATCCTAGCTAGTACGGAATTACCTGCGCAATACCAGCCAACAGTCCAAGCACTCGTTCATACGCACAGGCCTACTGATTCCCACCACGGCAGAAATAATCAAATTGAACCGAGGTACTCATACATTTCTACGCTGGCAGAATTTCTCGTAACATTCCGGACATACGTAATTTCTTTGGCTTCATAGCGGCGCTGATCCTCGAACACATCAAGATTTCCGGATTCGGGCAGATAGAGTTTTCGCAGTCCAGGCACTGCAGGGCTCCACCAGACGAATCCGCTGTTAACAAATCCCTTCTTTTAGTGTTAGACGAATGATAATTAGAACCCGCTAGTCGGTGGTTAGTTGCCTCTTTTCTTTTTTCTTTTTCCTTTTTTTTTTTTTTTCCTAATTCTTTCCTGTCGGGTGGCCTCCGCAGTCAAACTCGTCAAGGGTGGAAGAAGTCCGTGTGGGCAACAATGTTGGGTTTAGTGTTTACCGGTGTCCTCTGGATGAATTTTGAAAAGAAGGAAGGGATCCTTGGATTGACCTCATGCGTCGCCAATCGAATTAATTGCTTCTTGCCAAGAGTGGTACGGATTAACCGGCCGTCCAACGACGGGGGCATTTCCGAATCTACTCCGTTCCCCGGCGATGATAGGTGGTGACCATGTCGTGTTTCAGCCCAGACTGAGTTCGCGTGGAATTTAGCCCAGTCCATCTTGGATCATGACCGAGGATAGCCCGGCATCAGATGTGTTTCAATCGATCAAGCGAGGGAGCGACCGTCGTGTCGTACTTTCGTCCCAGTATGTCGATACAGGGACAGTCAGGATTGTCCGACTCAGGAGAAGAGCAGATGAGCAACTCAGAATTTGGATTAATTAGTCTGAATTAATTTAGCCCTTGCTATTAATATGATTGGGGGATGAAGAGTAACAGGAATAGGATTTAGGAGAGAGTCCATAGTGGCGAAGCTCTGCGGGCGATCTGATGTTCAGGAATAGAACAATCGATGGAGAGAGAGCGTGAAGAGGGTCGGACAAAAATAGTCGGCAATGTCAACCTCGAATGGCCTCCCGTGTTCAGAAGGATTCCCACTGGAAGTCGTACTTATGATGAACAGGATAATGCAATCAAAGTCATTATACGACTGTCATCATCATTGTCCAGGGAACTCCTCCACTTCCGACCGACGCCCCAAAAATCCCAATTAGTCCCGAGGGCCGCTAGTCCTTTCTCGGGCCCCCTTCAGGCTCCCAGGCCGCCCACTCTTGACCCTTCTCTTCCCTCTTTCTCTCTCTCTCTCTCTCTCCCTTCCTCTTCTTCTTCTTCCCTCTTCTCCCCCTTCCAGAATCCTTCGCTTCGTTCTTCCTCCACCTCCACACCTCTCTTCGTCTCCCCTCCTCTACACTTGATCTATTCTCATTTCATCTAAATTACCCTCCTCAATCACCATCTTATTCGGTCAAGTCGCGTCTAGTCGCCATCGCCTCCTCTTATTCGCCCCTTTCTTTTCACCGCTTCCCCTCTTTCAACGTCCCCTTCCGTCCCTCTCGATCTCAGTCGACTCAGGTGACTGATCCGCTCCCTTTTGACGGATTGATCGATCAAAACAGGTAGCCCGCCAGGGCTGTGCAACGCCATGCCTGGGCGTTTCTCATCCGATCATTCTCGCTCCCTCTCCCAATCCTCACGGTCGCCATCTCAAAACTATCCTCCTAATACCGAAACCGAATCAATGCATCGCCGTTCGACGTCCGGTCGCTCCTCCAACAACCCCAATGTCTTTTCCGATGAATACTCGCTGGAACCGATAGATTCGGAACAATCGACCCTCACTCCTCGAAGTCCCTCTGTCTCGTCCATCGCATCCTCCAATACCCTACGGTCGTCGGTACCCCAACAGAAACCGTACAACACTGTCCCCACTGAGCCGGAAACGACGGAGAACCCCTTCGGTGATGAGGCTCGCCTCTCTTTCGATGACCAACACCGATCGAGTCTCCCCCAGAAGGGGCTGGACCTCAATCGGAACTCGGTTGCATCTACCAATACCGCTCCTTCGATCACGCAGCGCAGCCAGAGCACGTCATCGCGGTTCTCCATGCCCCCTCGGGCCCTCAGTCCTTACACGGGCGCTACCGGACCCAGCCATCCTTATGCAATGTATCCGCAGGTCGGTGTCAGCCGCTCCCCTAGTGTAACCACCACCTCGACCGTACGACCGATGGACCGACCGTTGGGAGACGCGAACGCTCCTCAGCATCCCTACGCCATGTACCCGCAGAACGTTGTGCCGGAAGAGGGAATCGATGCTCCGGTGATTCCCCTTGGCTTTCCCGGACACCCCCAAGCTTACCAGCGACCGCCTAATCGTGCCGATGATGATGTGGGGGATCTGATTGGACCCGACGGCCACACTGAACAGCTTCCGCCATATTCACGATACCCTGAAAACGCCGTCCCCAAGGTCGAAGAGCAGCCACCTCAGCCAGTCACCGATGCTCCGACGGCCCCTCCGCCCGAAGCTCCCCGGAGTGAACCGGCAGCTATCCCCATTGCCGAAGTGGCTGCCGCGGGAATGGTCGCCGGGAATCAGGCCTCACCAGTTCCCGTCCAGCATCCCGAGCCACCAGAGGAGCCTCCGGCGACCGGGATCATGGCATTCGAGGAAAAGTTGAAGACGAAGGGCAAGAAGAAAGCTTGCTGCGGGCTGCCAGTGTGGACCTTGGTTCTAGTCGGTGTGGTCATGCTTGTGGGAGGCTGTATTGGTGGAGTTATCGGTGGAGTTTTGGGAGCCAAAAAAGCGGCGAGTGAGGAGAAGGAGAAGGGCCATGGCCCGCAGATTGTCACCACGACGGCCACACCCCGAATGGACGCGACGCCCATCTCGACAATCCCTTCCAACCTGATGACACTTCCGACGGGTAATTACGTGATCCCCGCTTACGCGAAGAATCAGTCGAAATTCTGCATCGCCGATTCGGACTACACTCGCTCCTGGAGCTGCATGACGTCAGGGAACGTTCCCATCTCGATTTCGGGGACCCAGTCGCAGCCTAATGTTTCGTTCAAACATGAACCCTTCACCTCTTCGTTCACCTACGGTGCTCAGGCACCTTTCTTCGCTAGTCCGACACAGTCCTTGAGTCTAATGATGGACTCTAGCGATCTCAGCCTGGGTCCGGCGTGGACTTTCTTTTCCCTCTTCGATAAGCTTGTGATCGTTCCGCAGGATACGTTCCCATCCAATGCCGCATCGAAACGGTCGATTCCTGAGGATGAAGTGCTGGCCACCTCTTATTATCGCAAGAAGGCAGCTCAGTCCGGGGACAAGCCGTGGTTCTGCTGGTGGAATAGTACGGTGATGGAATTCTTCTTGTACGCCAACGAAACCACGAAGGAATCCCGGGACAGTTCGGGCGCAACCCTTTTGGAGGCCGAACCATCGGCAACCTCGAAAAGCAAGGCTACGCCTGACTATCCCCGTCGTATCAAAATGGAGGAGAAGCGAGACTATCCCGAAGCGCAGGCACCCTATTGCCAACAAATGCAAGTGATGGATAACGGCTCAATTCAAACTGTGTCGCCCGCGACGATCCAGATCAAGGAGATGGAACCGACCCCAACGACGACAATGAAAGGTGTTGGCAGTATGACCCAAACCTACACGGCCAAGGCGCAGTATGCTAGCGTTTGCTACTGTGTCTCCTTGACTGACTAGCCTTTGGCACCACCACCGAAAAGTGAAATCAAACTGATAGAGGAAACCGCAAGGGACGATTTATTTTTTATTTTGTATCCCGGTTGTTCCCTTGCGGCCAAGGCGTTGGCGTTACCGAAGTGGTGGACACTATATATTTTCCATGGTCCTTAATGTGCATACGAACGATGATCCTTCTCTTGTGTGATCTACTTGGGGTCTTAGGTGTGATGGGTTGTTGGGCTCCTGGGTTATTTATTATCTGCTGGTCATGACATGCATCCTATATATTTGCGAGTGCGATCTTTTTTTGTGATTTGAGCCAATCTGGGCTTTTGGACTATTGTCTCCAGTATTTTGTCTTGCATTGTTTTGTTCTGTGTGCTAGCAGTTTATTGGCGTTGCGGGCGGATATGGTGCACAAGGCCACCATACATCTTGGACCACCGGTCTCTTGTTCGATTTTTGGTTTTCCATTTTTCTTTTTCAATCCCCCTTTCTGTTCTATCTTTTTTGGTCATTGTTCTAGGGATTCATAACAATATCTTGGTGTTTGACCGTCACATTATTTGGTCAAAGGTTTTTATTTTTGATACTACGATGTATGAGATTCGCCATCAAAGCGTGATCCAATCAGTCGAAATGTAATACTTTTTGGTTTCGAGTTCATTTTCCTCGCCTCTGCGTCTTGGCACCCTGGAAATCGTCATATCATGGGGAATGCCCGGTGTTGGTCGATGATCAACGAGACATGACACAGCGGCGACGTCATTGGATGTTTTCAGCAACCACTCAGTCGCCCCCGGCTGCGACGGTTAAAAAGGAAATCCATGAACGGAATTGGAATTCGGATGCACTCTAGAATTCTCAACTACATCACCGGATTCCACTTCTTCCCTGATCGAACAAAATGAACTCCATCTTTCGCAGCAGGGTCCCCGCGCGCGTGGCCCGCCCTTCAATGGGCCTCAGTTCTCGACTGCAGAGTATCGTTCCATTCTCGCGGCGAACATATGCCCAGGGTTCGTACGGCGACGAAGGAGAATACCAGGGGGAGCACCCAGAAAGCCATCGTAACAGCCCTACACGAGATATCGAACACCCAGGTGAGTATACTCCGTGGTAGTCATCTGGCACGATTCCTGCCCCTAGCATAACTAGTATGCTAATTGATGGCAAATAGGACCACCCCCACCCAACGTCAGCAAGGACGCATCGTCTTCGTCCGGTAATAAGTCCGAATCCAATTCCTCAGAAGCCAATGGGGGTTCTATCAGCACCAAGCCGAGCAACAATGCCAGTCCGACAATCACCGACGGCCAACAGTCCCCTAATATCGACTCCAAAGGCAATCCTCGGGAGGATGTCCCGCCAGATGTGAAGCAGCATAATGAGGAAATGGAGCACCGGCATGATCGAGCATACAATCAGATTGCCGACGAGGGCGAGTATCGGAAGGGTTTCTAAAGGTGGTAGATCGAAGGGATGGCTGGCGCTCTCTTGTCTACATCTCTGTGGCGTTCGCGGCGCGCTTAGTTGAGGGTCTTATTCGATACAATTGGTCTATTATGTGCACAAATTATGAAACTTTTGACTATTGTTATTCTACCATAGGCTATGAGTTCGTCCGATTCTACGGAATACCCCGTACACTATACCCCACTACTTAGCCCAATATCGTGATGTCGATGATTGATAAATCTCCAGAAGAATCGATGGTATTGGCAACCATAGCGTAGGTGCGACCATGTTTGCACGATGTCAACTTCCAGAAAACAGGTTGACAGCCACTAAAATGACTCAGAATATAGAATTGGCCCCCATCCCAACTCGTATCACGTGTACCCACAACCCACCGACTGACTCCGCAATGTCCCGCCATGTACAGCGAAGAGACTATATAAACCGTAAACAATCCCATGTAATTGACACCAATAAACGGTTCACACACAGAGAAAAAGACAGGAACGCAAACCAAACCAAAACCATGGCCCCCTACACCTTCTACGACGGCACCATCCCCGTCGCCATCTCCGTCCTCAAAACCCTCTCCCACATCCTAACCGTCGCCTCCCAGCAACGTCCCACCGAGACAACCACCCTCCTGCACACCCCGCGCCTCCATGAAACCATGTACCCCCTCGCCGACCAGGTCCGCATCGCAACGCAATGGTCTGAGGACCTCGTCGCGCGCCTCACCGGCCGCGAAGCAACCAAGTTCACCGGCAACCCCGGCGACTTCTCGGAGTGTTTTGAGCGCATCGACACGGTGTTGAAGGCGCTCGACGAGGCGGATAAGGATCGCGTCAATGAGGAGGGCGATAGGGAGAAGTTGACTACCTTGGCGCCTGGGTTGGAGGTGCCGATGAAGGGTGCGACGTGGGCGCATACGGTCATCTTGCCGAATCTTTATTTTCATGTTACGACGGCGTTTGGGATCTTGAGGAAGGAGGGGTTGGAGATTGGGAAGAGGGATTTCTATGCGGGGTTTTTTCCTATGTGACCTGTTGGATTGGAGGGGTGGTGGTGTTTGGTTCAGTTCTTGTTTATTGAGGAACTAGATGGATAGATGGATCGGTTGGGTCGTTGTATATGCATATGGTTTTGAGCCTACTTATGTGTTAGGTCGATTATGAAATCTCATCTCTGAACATGCTAAGCGCAATGGCAGTAAATGTTCTGCAAAGTGTTAGAATCGACGTGGTGTTGCAGAGCTATGACGAAATTGACCAAGGATGTAGTTCGCGGGTGATTTAGCAAAGGCCCCAATATTCATGTTGCTATGGATTGTGCCATGTGCAATCAACGGCAGGTCATTGAATTTTAGAAGGTGGAGTAGTTTTTGTTATGCCTCTGGATGAGCTGCCCAATAGTACTATTGTCTCAATACTCGTTAATCGCTAGATCATCGTTCGATTTGAAGTTTGGATGGATGTGTATTTCTGCGGCATCTTGGTTAGTCTATATATCCGAGATTGGCTACTTAGAAGGGCCTTAGAACGATAGTATTTGCTATGAGCCGGGCGCTACAAACATCAATTTCGCTGACCGAAGGAAAGAGCGATATTTAGTTGTGGCATGAATAAGCTAATAGACAGGCCAGAAGTCTCGACATCGACAAGAAAAGTACCGGATACCTCGCGGCCCACATAAACCTCCGTACTAGACCGAAGTAACGAATACATGAACGGTACCTGGCGCTAAGTCTGGCCACGTTCCTCTCCCGACCGCCCAGTCCAGCATCGTCCCGACTTTCCAATCCCCTCAACTTCGACCCTTGTCGACACCATTGCTTTGATTTCTCATTCTCATTTCCGTTCTCTTTACTCCGATCGTGACTTTTCCCTCCTTAGGCGATCAACATGGGTCCCGTCAAGAACAAGTACTCGGTCATTCTGCCGACCTACAACGAGCGGAAGAACCTCCCTATTATCTGCTGGTTGATCGAAAAGACATTCCGTGAGAAGTAAGTCCTCCTCCACGTCCAATTCCATCCTCTTCGTATCAATTCATGCGCTATTCCATACCCTCGATTCCCCCTGTACTAACATCTCCATCGATAACCACAGCAACCTCGACTGGGAAGTTGTGATCGTCGACGACGGCTCCCCCGACGGCACCCTCGAAGTCGCCAAACAACTGCAAAAGCTCTGGGGCCCCGAACACGTGAACCTGAAGCCCCGAGCGGGCAAGCTCGGACTGGGAACGGCATACGTGCACGGCCTGCAGTACGCGACAGGCAACTACGTGATCATCATGGACGCGGACTTCAGCCACCACCCGAAGTTCATCCCGACGATGATCGCCATCCAGAAGGAGACGGACGCCGATATCGTCACGGGCACGCGCTACGCCAGCCGCGGCGACATCAAGGGCGGCGTCTACGGATGGGACCTCTTCCGCAAGTTCACGTCGCGTACGGCGAACCTGATCGCTGATGTTATGCTCATGCCCGGGGTTAGTGACCTGACGGGTAGTTTCCGGTTGTATAAGAAGAGTGTGCTGGAGAAGGTTATCTCGAGTACTCAGAGTAAGGGGTATAGTTTCCAGATGGAGATGATGGTGCGCGCGAAGGCGATGGGGTTCAAGGTTGCTGAGTGTCCGATTACCTTTGTGGATCGGTTGTATGGCGAGAGCAAGCTGGGTGGAAGTGAGATTGTGGAGTACCTGAAGGGAGTGTTGACTTTGTGGTTGAAGGTTTGAGGTTCTGGAGGTTGTTTTGCCTATGATGGGGGGGAAGGATGGTCGGTGGTCTTTCTAATACTATACCCTCCGTTTTCTTTTTCTTTCTGTGTTCTCGACGATTTATTTGAAACGCGTTGACCATTCCCCTCCCATCAGAGAGATCGGGGACGGCTTGTTGGTTTGTCGAATTGTTGCCGGATGTTTGTTACAATATGGGTTCTGATATTTCTGCCCATATGTTTTTGTATATTAGAGCTAGGTTTGGATTCATGATGCGTGCATTCAGTCTATGTAAAATCCCCATCGACTGGACATCAGGGCATTCAGACCGTGCCCAAGTAGCGAAGAACCCGCTCAATCAGCTCCGCCTGTCCGTCAGCCTTGACATTATGACTGGCACCCTTCACCACAGCACTGTTCTCATCCCACTTCTCCTCCCCTCCGGTATTCGTCGCCTTCTCCCACCGCTTCATCAACGCCTCCTTATCCACCCACGGCGCCGCATACTCATCACTCCCCGAATACAACGCCATCAGCTTCGCCCCCAGCAGCCCCCTCTCCCGCACCACGCCAAACGTCTCCGCAAGGCGCTGATCCGTCAAATCCGAGCTGAAGAGATCATCCAGCGCCGGGTTCGCCGGACTATCAGGGCTCGTGAGACTCAGGAACCGGCGCGCATTCAACGGCGTATCCCCAGGGAAGCCCACCTTGCCGGTCAACTTCAGCGGCAAGATCTCGGTGGGCTCCTGCAGCCGCGCAAAGTTCACCAGCTGGTCGTAGGCGCCGCGGAACTCGTTCGGCTCCGCGCTCGTCTGCCCCAGGTGCTGCACCGCCTCGCGGTCCGACATGGGTGCCTGCATGATCGCCCCGTCCAGCGGCGGCCGGGTTAGATGCTTCAGGTCCAGACCGACCTCTTGGTCCGGGGAGCGCTGTGGCAGCGGGTTCGCGGAGTACAGGTAATGCAACACATCCTGGCTGCCGGTGGAATGGCCCATGACCACGACCTTTGGGGTCGAGGCGATCCCCGAGGTGGTGCGGGCTTTGTGGGCGCGCACGAACTCCACGCACTGTGCGATCTCCTCGACGTCTTGGTCGAGACTGCCGATGCCCCAGCCGAGGTAAGATGAGGAGAGCACGAGCGAGAAGAGCGACCAGTCGGTGGGTTCGAGGGCTTTGGCGATCTCGGCCACGTAGGGGACGGTGCCGAGGCCGTCGGTTAGGCCGCCGACGAAGAGCAGGCTGTTGGGCTTGGGGGTGGTTTGGTTGGGGGAGATGAATTCAAAGGCTACGAGACGGGGTGCCTGACAGTTCTGGTCAGTTTGTTTACATTAAGGAGGTTTCTATTGGGTGGGAGGTGGATGAGAGGGGAGGAGCGGGGAGAGGAGGGGAAAGAATACATATTGGTGTAGGACACCAGGGTATGACGGAGTAGCCATGGCTATTGGTGGAGATCGAATATGTGTGTGTTGATGAGAGTGATGATAGGAAGAAGAAGGTTCAGAGGAGTGTGGCTGTTGACAGAATCACGGAGATGGAGAGACCATGGCGAGCGATGACGCTGGCTGTTGGGCTGATAACCGCGATCCACCGCAGGAAGTGGGGTTCTGCGAGCACATGCGAGGCCCTCCAACCTTCCGTGGATGTTGTAGGTTATGTTGTCCAGTCCGATCCATGCGGAGATTGTCGCAGAACTTCGTCTCGCAGGGACCGAAAAGACTCCCTCCAAGTCTCTTCTAGAAGTAGATTCAGGCCAACTTTTCAGGCCAACCTCATCCGACCAGCGACCGTCCGAATGGGGACTAGCGCCGTATGGTAGCAGACGATGCCAAGACCCGCGGGAGGCCGTCCCTTGCAAATCCTCTCCAACTTCTTCGGCTTCCACGGTTGTCTCCTCGGAATTATCCCTCTCTCCGTGAGCTTAATTACACCTGGCTCCTATGTCATCCTGCTGATTGAGCTCTGGTCAAACCATCCTGACAACTGGGAAAACCCCCATTGGATACATCCTATGCGATGCCTCGCACTCGCAGGTCGAATCGCCAATCAGGCCCTCGGACCAAATACACTAATGATCCCTTCGAGATCGCCGGGGTCAGTGACGAGTCCAAGGCGGAAGATTCCAACCCCTCTCGGAAAAAGGGAAAGGGCGTAGCCACCTCGCCGCAAGATTCCTCGTCTGATGAGGACTTCAAAGATGACGGCAATGGCCAGGAAGAAAACTCCGATGAAAATGAGGACGACGACGATGAGGAGATGATTCCAGACGAAGAAGATGATGACGAGGATGATGAAGATGCCATGTCAGTTGACAGCGAAGGCGGCCGTACCGGTCCTGGCAAGAAGAACCTGAAGAAACCCCTTGCTCAGCCAAACCGCGCCAAACAGCGGAATCGGGGTCCCGCAATGCCTGCTCCCGGAGACACGCATTCGCGGGGAGTCTGGAATCCTACCGAGCACGTGGGTAAGGTGGAGCATCTTCGAGTGACGTTCGGCACAGACGAGAGGGATCTTTTAGCCGTTGTGCATGCGCGAGATCAGTGGTCTGGGGGTGCGGACTCGACCTTGCCCACTCGCTCATCGTTGAATCGCGCCCAGAAAGCGTCCGGGTACAAGTATGGACTGACCTTTGGAACTGAACCGGAAGATTTGAAGAGGGAGAGCACTAGGGGCTGGGACTGGTATTATGCCGATGAGATCCAGGAGAGGTTTAGGAAGCGACAGCGGATTGAGGAGATCGAGGAGGACGAGGCGAGGAGGGTTTACATGCCCCTCCCGAAGGAGCAGGACCACACGGTGCTCATTGGACCGGTTGATGATGATCAGACTCGGTTTCAGTTGGCTCAACATGAATCGGCCAACTTTGGGGATGCGTGGGATGAGGGCAAAGGTTCCGCGCGACCCAAGAAAAAGAAAAGGCAGGGCTGGATTATCAATATGGGGCAGAGGGTTAAGAACATGGCCTGGGTGCCCAATCAACCGGGCCTGACGCAGTATCTGGCCATGGCTGCTCCGATCCGGGAAGAACAGAAGAAACCGTATGGCGATCCATCAAAGTCCAGCGCGCCTGCATTCACCCCCTCGCCCCCCTATCCGTGTGCTTTGCAGCTCTGGATGTTCAAGGCTGCGAAACAGGAGAGCTTCACAAAAACATTAGATATGACTTTTAAACCGAGATTACGGCTAGCCCTATGTACCGATTGGGGGGATCTGAAAAAGATGGCCTGGTGCCCCATGGCTCGGGATCCACGGGATGAAGACGAGGAAGATGACTTGAGGAACGTCGGGCTTTTGGCGGGTATATGGGGAGACGGATACCTCCGAGTTATTGACGTCAAATTAAGTCGGAATCCAAACAAGACGAAATTCCGTGGGTCTCCCTGGATTTGATTTAGAATATGGCCGAATCGAGCTCTTACTGACATGCGATTTAGTCAAGGTGCAATCCCCCGTATTCGAAGCCAAGGCTCCCTCGACTGTGGGCACCGCTTTGACATGGCTCTCCCCCAGCGACATCGCCGTTGGATGTGCCAATGGCTTCGTGGCTGCCTGGAGTATAGCGCCTACTCAAGCATCTCAGGCATCCCCGTCAAACCCCCTTCCTTTCTTCTACCAACCTGTTCATTCGACCTATGTTCTCACTGTAGCATCGGCATATCCAACACACCCCCACTTACTAGCCACTACAGCCATGGATGGTGAGACGCGTCTATGGTCGCTCATTGACCATAACAAGAACACGGTTGAAACGAACCGCATGAGAGTTGGATCGGCCCACCTATCATACTCGCCCATGCTGCAGGCATTCGTCTCCGGCGATGAAAACGATTTTGCCCGGCTACTGGCGGTGCGTCGCTTCTTCACCACAAGCGCCATAGCCAGGCTTCCAAGCACCATTACTGCCCTCGCACCCTGCAGCTCCTGGCACCCAAGCATCCTCTACGGAAGTGCTGGCGGTTCCGTGGTTGCGACCAACCCTCTGAAGCGAGTTCTACATCCCAAGGAGAAACAATTGCAGCAGACCTGGTTCACGCACGAATGGGCGCGAGGCACAGAGGCCGACAGCCCCGGAAACAGTCGCTTCTTCGACGGATTTCGCGCCGAATCCGCCAGCTTGCTGCGCAACATGTCTGGAGATCGCAAGATGGTGGACGGAACCATGATCATCACGCTCTACGACGAAGAAACGCACGTTACGGCGGTCTCGTGGAACCCCAACCAGGCGTGCGCGGGATGGGCCAGTGCCGCCGTCGGTTGCGGTCTGATTCGAATCGAAGACTTAGCTATGTAATTCTCTTTGGACGATTCGCCTTTGCCATAGTCAATTCGTGGATTCGTCATCTTTCCCTGGAGAGTGATATCCTTGTTCATTGGTTCCGTCCCATGACCGCTCAAGCTGTTACGTATACCTCTGTCCGGGGTCCTGCCTAGGTTCGATAATTTCATGCGATCGCGCATGGTATTCGACAGCCGTTTGACTGCGGACGATCGATTTCATTCACCTGCTTCGATAGCCGATATCTCGCATTGCCAAGTCTGTAGATCTGGGCAGGGCGGGAATCGCCGCTGTGGGATATCAATAGTTGGATGCTCCTAAAAGTAGCGACCCGGAAAACGCAATGCGATAAGAGCGGTCAAGGAACATGTTCAGCATCACGATAACGCTATCACGGAACAAGAAGAAAAAATTTGTAGAGGCAAAGAAACACCTCTAGCCGCGAAAGAGAGATCGAGCAGGTTGCATGCAGCGGGACCTCCTAGTTTGGACGGGACTCGTCACCTGTCACGTCAAATCTGCGATTTGGATCATCTGAGAGGTGTCGTTGAGATTTTCAACGGGGCGACTTTGACGGTAAACTTGACGTTTTCACCAACATGCCTTACTAGAATTCGTGTTGCTGTGGTCAACATGGAGGAAGCTCAAGGTAGAATAGGGCAAAGTATGTATGTACTTCGGTCAACGGGCAACGTAATGTCTACCTGTTCATGCAATATCAACGCATGGCTAAACACTCGGGTGGCACATGTGGTCGGTCGCAGCATTTATATTTTCAGAATAAGCCAGGAAACCAAGAACATCCACCAAGCAGCTCATGTACTCGGCCGTCGAAGGAAGAGGTTCGGAGATATACAATGGAGGTTGACGTCGACACCACACGTACCACACGTAACACCACCACACGCACACAGTGGATCTCTCTATCCCTTGCGTTACTGACAGCATGTAGCACAGCTTACCAGTCCTCGACTCGGAATCACAGCGTAACCCACGCAGTCCAAAAATATCGAGGCGACCGTTAAGACGCCACAATGAGTGGATCCTGCGATGCCCCCAGCCACGGATTTCTTGGCAGTCACAGGGTCTGCGTGCCCTACAAACGAAGCATCTTTCACGTCTGCCTGGCTGCATCACACAGCCTACCCAATCTCCCGATGATAGGCAAAGAGATTGCGTGGATGTTCATCTATTTCTGAACATACTTTGTGCCGCTCTGTGTTTCTTCCCTCACCGTGTGGGCAAAAAACCAGAATGAACGTGGCTGGCAGTCAGTCCCATGTGGGTGCTGATCGACTTTCCCAGCCTCCTTTGACGGCTGCCGGCCCAGACCCATTGGCGATGCGCTGCCATGCAATGCACCAGCCTGCACTTTTCGCCGTGATATGGGTCTGTTGTGCCGTCCGATGATGGCATTTATCGATCATATTTTTTTTTCTCTTTCTCTGTTCTTGGTTTTGGCGTTTCTAGATTGGTCCAGCGTCGAGTCGTCGCCTTTAGTGGCTGATCATAAATTAAGGTCCCTTCGTCCTCTTTCCAGTTCTCTCGATCTATAGTATTTCATCGTCTGAGCTTGTCTCTACTCTATCTACTATTTTTTAGTACACCGGCTTCTCTTAGCATTAAATTAGTTGACTTCGCACTTAAAGCCTTAAAGGCCTTTTCTTTACTTCCATCAAAATTCTTGGTTTCTTTCTCTCTCTTCTCGCCTCATCAACAAATATGCATACCACCGCTCTTCTCCTTCTCCTCTCCTCCATCGGCGCTCAAGCCGTGCCTCTATTCCATGCCCGCTCCAACGACACTCTGGCACGCAGAGATGAGCAGCCCTACAGCGTCGTCAACGTCGGCGACGAAACCACCACCAGCCAGACTCCCACGGTTGAGACCATCACCGTCGCCAACAACCCCCCTCAGCCTCCGGTGACTCTCACCGTGACCAAAACGCCCTCGTCGACGCCAGCTTCGTCTGCATCTGCATCTGCCACTGCGTCCAACCACTTTGTGCCCCCTGGCTGGACCATCCCTTCTGTGCCGACTGAAGACCCCGAAGAGTCCGACGAGGACTCCAAGATCGCTGCTCGGGGTTTCAACCAGACCGAGAGAGCCGCGCGCAACTTCAGACGGTCTGCCGTGGCCAACAGCACCTTGACTCGGGATCTTCACGCTCGCAGTGAGAACACGACTACGACCTCTGAGTTGCACGCTCGCAGCAACAACACCCTGACTAGAGGCCTCCACGCTCGCGGTGAGAACACGACTATTACTTCTGAGTTGCACGCCCGCAGCAACAACACCCTGGCCCGTGGTATCCACGCCCGGAGCGAAAACACTACTCTTCCTGAGTTGCACGCTCGCAGCAATGGCACCGGACTTGAGGCTCGATCTCTCTTTTCCCGCGGCAACAACACCGAGTCTAGTCTGCATGCCCGCAGCGCCAACGTCACTGGCGGTACCGGTCTGTTCAGCCGTGGTGCCCTGAATGCCACCACCCTCGTTGGTCGATCGAACAGCACCGTTGTCTAAACGGCGCAATTTGACGGTCTCTAAAAAAAGAAAAGACAAGAAAAGAACAAGCGATGGATAGTTCCTATTTTTTTTCTTTCTTTTTTTTTTTCACTTTCTTCTTTTCGGGTTTATTGTCTTATGAGAAACGGTTTGCGATGTGAATGACCACACTCTATGATGGATGATGGATGGATGCCTTTCCTTTTGATTTTCGGGGTTTTTATTTCTTTTTCTTCTATCTGGGAATTCCTGGATTCTGGCTATAATGATGCGATGTGATCATGGACCTGCATTCGGCGTTTTTGTCCTTGCTTCAGCGCGGTTGCGATGGTGTACTCGATAGATTGGCCGTTATCTAGACTGCATTGAAATACATTGAAAACCAATAATACGGTGACAGTACGAGTACGACGGGGAGATTACATAATCCACGTGCCCGTTGATGGATTCACCTTCCATCATCAACTTCCCTCCTCTTCCTCCTCTTCCTCTACACTTGCATTTTCCTGTTGTTCAATCTTTCTGCTTTTCCCGTCTATGGACTGGGAGCTATCTCAATTACCCCTGACTCCGTACCTTCCCTCCGACCGCCTCTCCCGCCCTTGATCACCCACCTCATACTCCATTGCGACCAGCTGTTTACCGCCTCCCCTCCATCCCCATAAACCACCATGGCCTCCCCCGTGACGGCTCCCGAGGACCAAAGCCGCCTCCTCGAGGAGGCATTGGGAGTGGTCCGACAGCAGTCGCAGATGATGCGAAAATGCCTAGAGACGCCGGGGAAATTAATGGATGCGCTGAAATGCGGGTGAGCTGAAAGCCTTCCCTCCCCTCCTCAAGGCAACCGTGGAATGGCAGAGCTGACGGGACCCGGTGCCCCCCAATTGCGTCCAGATCGACTTTTGTGTCCGAACTACGAACTCCCAGCCTAGGTCCGAAGCAATATTATGAACTCTACATGGCCGTGTTCGACGCCCTGCGACACCTCTCCGTCTACCTGAAAGAGAACCACCCCGTCAACCACCTGGCCGATCTGTACGAATTGGTCCAGTATGCCGGCAATATCATCCCGAGATTGTACCTCATGGTCACCGTGGGGACTGTGTATATGTCGGTGGAGGATGCCCCTGTTAAGGAGATCATGAAGGATATGATGGAGATGAGCCGAGGCGTGCAGCACCCCATCCGCGGCCTGTTCCTACGATACTACTTGTCCGGTCAGGCGAGGGACTATCTACCTACGGGGTCGGGCGACGGCCCCGAGGGCAACATGCAAGATTCGATTAACTTCGTGTTGACCAACTTCGTCGAGATGAACAAGCTGTGGGTGCGACTGCAACATCAGGGCCCGTCTCGGGAGCGGGAAAAGAGGATGCAGGAGCGCCGGGAGCTGGAGCTGCTGGTCGGAAGTAATGTCGTTCGCCTCAGTCAATTGGTGGACTTGGAAGGTTATAAGTCGGGAATTTTGCAGGCACTGCTGGAACAGGTCGTTCAATGCCGGGATGTCCTGGCGCAGGAATACTTACTTGAAGGTAGGAGAGACGGTGACAGGCTTGCGGATAATGGCTTGGGAGCTAATGCCGTTTCACAGTGATTACCAAGGTCTTCCCCGACGAATTCCATCTCCATACCCTCGACCTCTTGCTCTCCGCGATCGCCCGACTCAATCCGCACGTGGACCTGAAGAAGATCGTCATCGGCCTGATGGACCGATTGTCGGCATATGCGGCGCGCGAGACCGAATTGTCCACCGATCCGGAGACAAGACAGCAGACTGAGGAGGAAGCGGTGACAAAACTCCTCGAGAATATCAAGATTGCCGAAGAGACCAAGAAACAGGCGCCTGCGGAGAATGCGGAGAGTGCGGAGACTGCCCCCGTTCAGGAGAACGGCGTGGAGCAAGAGTCGAAGGAAACAGAAGAGAAGCCCGCGGCTGCCCCAGAGGAGGAGACCACGGAGAAAAACACCAACGGCGACAGTAACCAAAAGCCTGGCGTCCCTGCCAATGTCAAGCTCTATGCCATCTTCTACGAGCAGGTGGTCAATCTGATCAAGTCTCGCGGACTTCCCATTCAAGACACGATGGCCCTGCTCGTCTCTCTGGTCAATCTGGCCCTGAACACATACCCCGACAAGCTCGAATACGTGGACCAGGTCCTTGACTTTGCCACCAAATCCACTGCCGAGTACACGGATCATGCGGATCTGCACTCCGCTCCCACGCAACAGAATCTCTTGCACCTCCTTGTTGCTCCTCTTCGCTCCTACGTTTCTATCTTCACGGCCTTGGCCCTACCCAACTACCTTCCACTCTTGACCGCGCAATCGTATCCTACCCGGCGCTCCGTTGCCGGCGAGATCGCCCGCAGCCTTCTCAAGAACCGCACACCCATCGCTACCACGGATAACCTTGACCGTGTTCTACAGGTTCTCCGGGTGTTGATCAAAGAAGGCACGCAGCAATCTATGGGGTACCCGGGCGTGCAATCGCAACGTCGGGGCGAAACGGACGAAACCATCGAAGAGCAAGGTTGGCTCGCACGATTGGTCCATCTGATCCAGGCACCGGAGAACGATGTTCAACTCAAGGTAATGGCGGCTCCGATAAGCGTGGTATGAGCTAGCTAACTCATGATTCCAGCTGCTGCAATCAACTCGCAAGGCCTATGCAGATGGCAACGAGCGAATTCGATACACGACGCCGGCGCTTATCAGCGCCTCGATACGATTGGCGCGCAAGCTCAAATCCCGTGAGCATTACGATGACAACTGGCAGTCGCAGTCGTCTGCCCTGTACCGATTCATGCATCAATGCGTCAACAACCTGTACCAGCGAGTAAACCCTGGATGCGCCGATCTGTCTCTCCGGCTATTTGTGATGTGCGGTGAGGTAGCCGACCAGACTGGATTCGAAGAATTCAGTTACGAATTCTTTGCACAGGCATTCACCATCTATGAAGACTCTATCAGTGATTCGCGGGCCCAGTTCCAGGCTGTCTGCATCATTGCGGGGGCTCTCCACGGCTCCCGAGGATTCTCCAAGGAGAACTACGACACGCTCATCACCAAAGCAGCGCTACACGGCAGCAAGCTGCTCAAGAAGCCCGACCAGTGTCGTGCAGTGTATCTCGCTAGTCACCTCTGGTGGGTTGTCGAGAACCCGCAACGTGGGGAGGAAGACGCCAAGAACGTACGTAACCCTCTATCATTTCTTGCTCATATCCCAAAGATGATGTCGTTTCTAACCGCAATCCTTTAGCTCTACCGCGATGGCAAGCGCGTCCTCGAATGTCTCCAGCGGGCTCTCCGTGTCGCTGACGCTTGCATGGACACCGCTGTCTCCGTTGAACTCTTCGTTGAGATCCTCAACCGCTATGTCTACTACTTCGACCAACAGAACGAAACTGTCACGACCAAATACCTCAACGGGCTGATCGAGCTCATCCACTCCAACTTGCAGACCAACCAGGACGAACCCAACCCGAGCCTGGAGGGCCCGAAGCGCCATTTCGAGCGCACACTAGAGTACATCCGATCAAGAGACTACGAAGGCGTCGTCACGGACCCTAGACAGTGAGCCACAGGTATGATTTGTACGAGATGATGAGTGTATTTATTGATTGATTTATTTACCTATCTTATTTTCCCCCCCCCCCGTCTTCCTATTCGCTGTTTGAGCTTATCTGATCTGCTGCCTACCTCGCTCGTGTTCCCCTCTGACTCAATCCAAAATTTCGAGTTGTAAAATTGGTTTGATTTTATCTGAATTGTTTTGCTTTGATTTCTGATTCCCTTCTTCTCTGATTCCTCTTTTCCCCTTTCCTGTGCCTATGTGATTTCCATACATAGGTATATCATCATCCTTGTGCTGTTGTCGATGCTGCTGCTGCTATTGTCTGTCAACTTATCATCATACCCATTCTATTCTTTCTTTCCTTCTTTGATCTTGTCATAATAGAACTTATTATCTTTTTAATACCTAGTTATCTGGTAGATTTTGGTAGTTTCCAAATTGATGTGTAGGTTTGAATGATCTGAATGATTTGTGTTATTTGTTTGTTTGTGTTGCGGTGATATAACTGGACCTGCTAATCCTTGATTTTGAATAACTCAACAATCAAGTCTAGCCAAAGAAACCTCCAATATAAGATGGACAATCCGGCTCAGATCCTTTATTTAGATATTTACTTCAACTTTGACATGCGAAACAGAATGTCCAGGTAGTCGGGGTCCAGTCTGAAGGAATCGAGGGGTTCGAAGACCTGGATGACCTTTTCCGTCCGCCCTTGAGATTGCTCTTCAACAGGCTAGAAAGGCAGGGGTTAATATTCGTACGCTTTTGATTTCGAAGTAAGTTGTGTCCTTCCAAATCAACCGGAGATCGTAGATCCTAGAGATATGTCTAGGTATAGGTTAAAAGTAGATAAATACCCAACCAATCAAACCAGATCAAACCAAGTGACACAACTCTCACCTAGAACTACCATCTCATGCTCCACTACACTTCTACACTACACACTACATCATCCATAATCCACCCATGACTCCTGAAACCCTACGAGTTCAGGATCAGAAGGCGAGATAAGAGGAAGAGAGAGAATCGGAAAGAAGGCATCAATCATTGACTGGTGAATGAAAGGCCCCAATCGGATCATGCAATTGGTTCTTGATGCAGAGACCGGAGATTTGTGCCTCGAGGGAATCGCTACATGGTTAAAAATGGGACGTACAAGACATGACAAAGGAGGAGGTCCGGTTTATGAACGCGGGACCTGACTCGAACAAGAAAGAGACAGAGACCAGGAAGATGGAAAGGAGAATGGGAGGAAAGGAAGAAGTAGAAGCGTGAGAGACACATGATCGCGAGAGAGCATGAAGAAGAAAAAAAAAAAGCAACAGAAAGACACTCATGACATGACGCTTGGACAAAAGAAGCACTTCGAGAAATCAATCATCCCAAAAAAGAAGACACTGAACGACCAAAAAGAAGAAAGAAAAAAAAGACACGGACATGAAACCAGGGTAACGAAAAGAAAGAAACGGAAAGTGTGCATAGAAGACTCCCCCATTTCCACTGAGAGAATGCCGTAAATAGAAGGAAAAAAGCCAAACGCCTTAGAAACCCGTCGGTGGAGAAGAATACTGCCGAAGCACCGATGGTGTAGTACCAATCCCGCCAAACGCCGGTATGCTGCTACTCGGAATCGGACTTCCAATTTCACCAGGAACAATGCTGCCTCTATGTCCTGAGGTAGCGCTGTTAGTATCGGGCTCGAACTTGACGAACTCGCCCATTGAGTCGCTCTTGATGGAGAATGAACCACCCCCGTTTTGCGAGTTGCCTTCCGTGTCGCAGATGTCGAGCATCTCCTTGAGCGAGATGGAGGGCTCATTGGATGGCCGCAGTTGATCAACTTGGCGAAGCAACTTCTTGGCATCATGATGACTGCTGGCTCCTTTGGAAGGGCTTAGGGTGTTCAGTTGCTTCCACGCTTCAATCACCAGCAACCGAATGGCAACTGGTCGAGATGTATGCGCACGATGGTGACCACCCGACCCGAATGCATTGTTGGACCAGCCGCTCCCTAGTCATGATTGTCAGTAAAGCAACACAGATACAAATCACACAGGGTACTGACCATGTGCAGTTCCCCAGGTTGGAGTTCCGGGGAAAGCAGAGGCCCCAAATCCCACGTGTCCACCCCAGGGATTGCTTCCTACACCAGTGTTCATGGAGAAGCTAGAGTGTTTGGATGCTATTGGGACAAACGTTAACGCTGGACTTGAAAACTCGCCAAAGTATTTGGCTGGGATATTGGCTAATAAATACTTACCTCCGAGAGGGTCCGGGAACAACGAAGGTGCGGCAAAGCTGGCTCGAGTCGGACCCGGTAAAGAGCCTGGAACGGTGGCGCCAGGAAGCGATTGAGAAAGATTCGAAGAAAAAGGAGCGTCACTGTCATCAAGAAGGGCACTGCTTCCAAATCGAGCACTTAGATTGTCCATGTCTCGCTGTGTAGTGCGGTTGATATCGCCATGCTGATCCTGCTGGGTACTGGATGGACGCTTTATCGGACTAGGACGAGAGATGGGGAACGGTTGGGCATGCGTGTCAAGAGGAGATCGCTCGAACGAGTTGGAGGGCTTTCGGGAATGGCCATGGGAGAGTCCGCTCTGCTGCGCAGAGAACGCGCTCGAGAGCGGTGCTGGGGCATGGAATGGAAGACCGTGTCCTGGGTCAAGCGGGAAACCACGTCCAGGTGGCATTTGACGGGTGCCATTAATACCGGGCGGCATAGGGATCCCGTTTGGTGCAGGGAACCCTCGCAGTTGACTCATGAGAGGGCCAGTATGCGGCGGATACGTGGGTAGTTCATGGCCCATGGGCGGTCGAGGAACCATTCCAGTTAACCCGGGAGGATTTGAGGGCAGGCCGTTAGGACTCGGAAACCCGGGTGGGTGAGATCTGCCCATCGCACCGAGGGGGGAAAGGGGGGTAGACGGTTGAGGGTGATGCAACATGGGATATCCTTGGCTTTGTTTCGAGGTCACGCTCGAGGCTCCCGACGATTGGGACGGGCCCATGGATCGAGGAGAGATGGAAGTCTGCGAAGGTTCTGCGCTGGCCGCCTGGGACCGTGGGGACGAAGTGTGCGAGCCCTGTTGAGACGGCTGGCGGGCCCGGGCAGGTGTCGGAGCTTTGGGGACAATCGGCGTTGCACCTGACAGGTGTGGCGACTGTAGGTGTCCAGAAGGTCCTTGGACATGCTGCTGCAGGCTAGTTGACATCGGCATCGGTCCTGGCTGCGACGCTCGGCTGCCGAGAGCATCGGATTGATCATATTCGACTCTTCCTGTGCTATCCCGATGCCTTCGTACCTGCCCATCGCGTGCTTTGCGCTCTCGTTCTTCCCGAGCTTTGTTTTCCTTCGATTCTCGGTCTTCCCGCTCCTCCTGTTCTCTGCGTCGCGCTTCCTCCCGCCGTCGCTTTTCCTGCTCTTTTTGCTCACGATGTTTGCGCTCTAGCTCCGCTTGTCGTTCGCGCTCTTCACGCAGCCTTCGCTGCTTATCAGCTTCTCGACGAGCCTTTTCTTCTTCCTGAGCTTTCCTCTCAGCTTCGCGCTTCTTCCGCTGCTCCTCTCGTTTCCTCTTCTGCTCCTCTAGCTTCTTCGCTTGCTCGGCTTTGAGTGCTGCTTCCTCGGCTGCCTTCTCGGCGTCTCGGCGAGCTTTCTCTTCTTCCTTCGCCTGCTTCTGAAGCTTCTTCTTATCTTTCCGTTTCTGGGCTTCGCGAGCCTTCTTAGCGTTCCGCTGCTCGGTCCGAGATTCTTCCTCCAAGAGTTCTTCAATCAGCTTTTTCTGGCGTTGCTCGGCGACTTTTTCCCGGTAAGCTGTTAAGACGCGCTGTTCAAACATCCGGGCGGCAAATATCTGGAACATTCGTCGGCCTTCCTCCATGCGTTGCTCCTCGGTCATAGCATCCTAGAAATGAAGTCAGTTAGTATGCACCGTAGCATAGGATTGGAAGCAGAAGAAGTAGCGATTCGCTACTGACCATTTCATCCTCCTCGTATTCTTCATCCTCTTGGCTGTCATATTCATCCTCCTCTTCCTCATCGTAATCCTCCTCATCGTATGGACCATGATTATGACCGGCATGAAGGGACTGGTGAGCGGCGGTGATTCCGAATTGGGTATCCTCCTCACGCTGCATCCTGCGTTCGGCTAGTTGCTCCATCATGTCGATGAAATGTTTCCCATCATTTTTGAGAAGATCGTCTGCAACTGTAAGAATACCATCTGGAAGGAGCGAGAAGAGAACGAGGGGGGTAATAAGATCAGCCCGAGTTTCAAGAGATAATAGAGGGGTAAACAGATTTTTTTTTTCGGAACCCGGGGTCTTGCTCTTACCTTTAACAGTCAAACTATTCCCAAAAGCGAAGAAATCTGCGCGAGCGGCACGCGTGTCGTCATCTTCATATTCTTCATCACTGTAGGGCTCATCGTCCTCGTCATCTTCATCGTAGTCTTCCTCCAAATCTTCGTCGTCCTCGGGCAACTCATGAATTCTACCTCGCGAGGGATGAAATTGGCCTTGCGTCCGCGTGTGTTGGCCGGGAGAACGCAGGGGTGGATGATATAGGCGGGGAGGCGGCATGATGGGCGGGCCCTTCTCGAAGGAGCCTTGGTTATTATTTGCGTACTGTTCAAGTTCTTCATAATAAGCGTCGTAAAGTACTTCGAGTTCCTCTTCGATAGCGGTTCGTTTCCTCCCGCAGACTGTACAACTGCACGAATGCTTTTGCTGTTCTTTCATCTTCTTCAGGACCGCGTCTTTCTCTACCTTGACGAGCTGTCGTCGTTCCTCCTCGCCCAGCTCGAGCCAAAAGGCCTTGATATTTTCGCGCTCCTCCTGGGTCGACGTGTTCCATATGCTGCGATCTTTTGCCGACTTCAGGATTGTGCGGGCACCGAAATGCGGCGGGAGAGGGGGGACGAGAGGGTGGGACATCGAGACCGAAGGGGTAGACAAGGGAGTCGAACTTTCGTCACCGAGGGTTTGGGAGCCGCTGCGACCTTTCTTGCCCTTCTTCTTCTTCGACTTTCGGCCCGGCGTTTTCGAGTGATCGTCGCGCGCATCGACGGTCGACGGGGCGGACATGGCAGGATGCGCGCCGAGTATTCGGGGTTCTTCGTCGTAGTACACGTCGCCGTCAACGGAGTCGTCGAAGTCGTGGTCGTCGGATGGGTGGCTTTCGGGTCCGACGGGGCTCAGACTGTTCTCTTCTGCGGCGTCCGGGTGGTGGACATGGCCATTCTCAAACTGACGTTCCGCGGCCATGCGGGCAGCTTGCTTTTGCCGGCGTTTCTGCTTTTTGCGGTTCACGGTGGTCGGTTGGGGGTCTGGCGACGTGTGTTCGGTCTTCGAGTAGGGTTCGCCGTTGGCGGGGCGGGTCGAAGCCGCCGACACATGGGCGGACATGGTGGAGAGACTAGGGTTCGAACCGGACGTCCGAGAGGATGGCATGGAGGGGTCGTATGACGGTTTCGAGGGGGGAGAGATCAAATATCGCGGATCTCCAAGAAATTCCGAAGGCTGACCACCATGCTAATATCAGGTGCCGATCCAACAGTCAGAGAGGGAAGCGCCGAGTCGAGCCGCGTTATACCAAACCCAGGCTAGAGAGAAGAGGAGAGAAAGAGAGAGAAAAAAGTATAGCTCACCAGTGAAGCTCGGAATAATGTGAATTAGCCGCGGCCAGTCGGATTGGGTAAAAGGGTTGAAGGGGAGAAGAGGCTTCGAAGCTCCGTGGACCCCGCGAGTGGCAGGGTGGAGAGAGGAGAAGAGGAGGGCCAAGGTCAAACAAAGGTAGTCAGATCCTAGGCGACAAATAGGGAATGAGGGCGGAGAGGGGTGGAAAGGACCCGGGGCCGCGCGACGAGGAGGTCCAGGCGTCAAGGGCGACCGGGCCAAATTGGCCAGGAAACGCAGGGAGGATGTAAAGGAGCGAAGGGCGAAGCAGACAGCGACGGTCTGAAGGTTCGGCGCATCCAACTGGGGGGGGGAACTGGTGAAAGGGCTGGAGATGATGGATCTTGACGCCGGGCGTTGGGCTCTGGATGGTTGCCGTGCCGCCGGCCGCAATGGGATTAGCCGCCGCAAGCGAGATGGCTGCCTGGTTGCCTGACAGCCTGACAGCCTGGATGCCTGAGTAGCCAGGCTATCTACATGATTATGTCATCCGGTCATCCCGGCGAACGGAATCGGGATTACCAGTCCGTCCGGGATGCCTTGCCTATTCTAGAGTCTAGAACCCCTACTGAGTACTTCCCACGAGGTTATCCTATCCGCACATGGACGTTGAGAATGAGGCTATCAACATGGTTGTTTACTGCCTGTTGACCCCGGTGATCATCCCCTCTAGACGGTTCCCGGTGGAGCATACTACTACTACAATGGACGTCGACTCCGTTACCCCATCGGCATTCGCTCTCTCCGGGGCACAAGGGTCGCAGTGGTTCAAATAACTCAGACTCTCCGTAGGTACTATTAATATCCCCATGAGGATGACGAGATGAATGCTGTATGTCCCATATGATTCTCTGCGCTTGGCTCTCGTCTTTTCTCCCCCTCCTGTCGCACCTCGCAACTCCACTTAAGTAATAATAACAACAACTAGTCAGGAATCATAACCGCCTAGTGGAAAACGGCTGAGACATCTCTCTAACCTTAGTAACGAGTGGATGTGCTTGTGCTTCTCTTCAGCTGTGCCATCTACCGGTCGATCCCGTCCTTCGTTTTGATTAGAAAGAGGGATCCCCATTTATTATTTGGGGTCTCAAGTCTCAACCTCTCAGTCTCGGTCTCTTGGGGCGCTCTGGAATCTTCCTTTCTGATCTTCCCACCCGTGTTGCTGCAAGCATAGCCTACAATTGATTATTTATTGGTGGATTATCCCTCGCTTTTACTTCTAAAAATTTTTGGCTTTCCGTTCGTTCTTTCGTTTGCCTCCCCCAGAGTCTGTTGACTTATACTTTATAGAGACAAGGACTACAGCTATTCTGCCCGTCTAAGCCACCACCCGCCACTCAACACTGCATAGTAGTGATTGTTAGTTGTTACTACTTACTTACTAGTCTCACGTTACCCAGTGACCTGAACAGTTAACACTTAGTTAACACTGACCCAACAACTTACGATACCAACTTACAACTGGTCGATCCCAGTTAAGCCTCAGCCTCAACTCGACCGCCTTCCCAGAACCACGAGTTCGTTGGATGATTTCCACCCCCCAGAAAAAAAAAAAAGTTGGCTTTGTTTCTCTCGTCGTCCAGCTGTTAGGGGGAGGGGACACGCATCGTCCATTACTGGCTTCCCCTTCCTTGTCTTCGTTTGTCGATTCCTCGAGGCCATTCCCCCCGTTTTCGACCTGACCTAGGCCTTCCCTGGCGCCTAATTTCACTTGCCCCCGATCTCTCCGACAAGGCCAAACCGACCAGCGTTCACTCGCCATCCCTACCTGGGTCGCATTCCTTTTCCGTCCGTGGCATCTCCCTCCTAGATCGCTTCAAGGGTTTATCTTATTTTATTTTATTTTATATTATATTTTTTTCTTATTCTCTCCTTCTGTTACTATTATTGTTCTCTTAACTAGTGGTCTCCATCCCCACTTCCTGGTCCTTTAAAAATGGCTCAACAACAACAACAGCAACAGCAGCAACAACAACAACAACAACAGAACGACAATGTGATGCGAAGGTACGTGTTGTGCCCGTGATGCCTAGCCGGGGGAAGTAAGCCCGACCGTTTTGACGTGCACCTGTCATTCGATTTTTCTTTTTCACTCCCACCCTTCCATTTCCCCCCTGTCGTGACGTCTGGTTGGTTCATGGGAGGGAACAGTCCGGGATAAAACGTCTTTGTCTTCTTGTGTCGTGTGTCATGTCATCCGTACTGATCTTGGGTGTGGTGTAATGTAGAAAGCTGGTAATCATTGGGGACGGTGCTTGCGGAAAGACTAGTTTGTTGAGTGTCTTCACCCTCGGGTATTTCCCAACAGTAAGTCTGCCTGTTCTGTTCAGGACGTGCTAGATCGAAAGACAGTGCCGGCTAATGATTGATTCTCTTGATAGCATTACGTGCGTGCCCTCGGCCTCTCCTATCTACCCTTCCTTCCCTCCGCGAACCCCGAACAGATCGTCTGACTTGTCGTCGTGAAATCTAGGTGCCGACGGTGTTCGAGAACTACGTGACGGATTGCCGAGTCGATGGCCGATCGGTGCAATTGGCGTTGTGGGATACCGCCGGTCAAGAGGACTACGAGCGATTACGTCCGCTGGCATATTCCAAGGCACATGTGATTCTGATTGGATTTGCCGTGGATACGCCCGATTCGTTGGAGAACGTGAAACACAAGGTTTGTCACGCTATTTCCATTGCATATCGGAACAAAGAGAAGAGAAGACGGCGGTTAACAGGTACTTCCAGTGGATCGAAGAAGCCAACGAACGATGCCCCGGCGTGCCCATCATCATGGTCGGATTGAAGAAAGATCTCCGCGAAGACACGCAGGCGGTGGAGGAGATGCGAAAGAAGTCGCTACGGTTCGTGACGCCCAAGGAAGGAAGCGAGACCGCCACCCAGATCGGCGCCCGGAAATACCTCGAATGTTCGTCCTTGACGGGTGAGGGCGTCGACGACGTGTTTGAAGCGGCTACTCGAGCGGCGCTTCTCACCTTCGACAAGCGGAAAAGCTCGTGCTGTATTGTGCTATAAGGGGACGCGAATTATCAAGTCGAACTACGTACCGACGATGGAATCGTGCCCGGCTCTTCCGTGTGTGCTCGCGCTCAACGTCCGTCCTGCGAGTCTGTCAAATTGAATCTACCAAAAATCGGTGAATAGGTGAAGGTGAATATGCAAGTGGAGGATCGTCGACGATATGTTGAACCAGTATATTCTTTGCATTGCCGGCGTTTGGGTGGATATTCGATCGCAATTACGTTTATTCCTGTCTGTCTCATTCTGGCTTGGGGGTGTGGTCCCGTGTGAAAAGAAGAAACCCGCAAAAAAACTCCAATCTGTTGGTCGGCACGGGACTGATTCGCTTGCAAGCCGTTGCATTATTACTTGACTCCCTTCCCTCCTTCTGCCGCTATCTGCAAGTTCTCTCCTTTGGTCTGGGTTATTTGTTTTTTTTTTTTTTTTGTGCTTGTACTTGTGTTTTGGAGCGAGTGGTTTTATTCGTTTTCGCCTTTATGAATTCCGTCTCTCCTTTTCTATACCGCTTGATCTCTACATGTTTCTAGCTCATTCCCTATCTGCTCTGTCTAGCGACTGATCTATGTTATTTTGTTTGCGAGTTGCTATTCAATATATGCTATACTTGTGTACTGCTATATGTATACTGCCTATATCCCAGCCAGTAAACTTGAGAATTTAGAATTACAATAAAGTTCAGCATCTATCATGAGAGCAATTATCCAAGAAACACAAACACAAAAAACTTCAATACTGTACAGTACATACATACAAAATATCTAAACAAGCAAAATCTAGGTACCTAGACAGACAGGTAACAGCACAAACCCATCCCATCTCCCCACCCAACTCAGCTAGATAACCAGCCTTATACCCCCCCAAATCAACCCCAGCCAGTCAAGAAAAAAAAAGGAGCCTACCTCCTCTCCACCCTCTTCCACTCATGATTCCACCCCTCCTTACTCGGCGCCTCCGTCTGCAACCGCCCATACTCAATAGGAAACAAATCCCGAAACACGCCCGTCTTGATCATACTCTTGCGGAACAGACGGCCGCCGTCGCCCGCGCCCGTGCGGAGCTCTTCGCACGCGGCCCCCATCGCCTGGTACTGGCGCTGCAGCTCGAGCTGGTGTGCGCGGCGCTGCTGGCCCTGGAAGAGTTGCCAGGCGCGGTGGATCGTCCAGTGTCGGAGGTAGCGGGTTCGGGAGAAGCGGAGGGGGCGGGGGGTGAGCGGGTGCCAGAGGAAGTAGCGGATTAGGGCTAGTTTTGCGTTAGCATTGAGTTGCGTTGGGGTTTGTAGAAGAGGGTAGAGTAGGATAGAGAGGAGGTAAAGGTGTAGGTAGTCCAGAAAGCCAATTGGAGGCCCTTAACACTCCCCAAAACCCGAGACAGAAAAGAAAAAAAAAATATACATACTAACTCGCTTATCCGGTCCGGGACCCTTCGAGCGCTTCAACAGGGCATTCGTCGTCGAGAACGACCGCGCGGTCATGCCCTGCACGGCCGACGTAACGGGTTTGTTGACGAGAGCGTCATTGCAGATTCGACCGATGGCGGGACGCGACGGGGTCTGGGAAATCGGAATGCGGAAGACATTCGCCAAGGAGGCGAGGACTGGCGAGAGGGGACGCATGGCGTGTTGTAGAGGTGGTTTTTTGGGGGGTGGTTGATTGCTTTGCTCGGAATCCCGTCTTGAGTTCTTTTCGGAGACGCTGAAGTTGCGATTATGTAAGGTGTCTTAACTTACCTAGTTAGTGTGGTTGGCGCGCGCTAGTTGGGCCAATTAGCGTGGAGGTGGGTGACCTACCATAAAGGTAAAGCTGGGACTATAAGTATAATGATCGATCGATTATGTTGGAGATAGTTTGGTATATTACAATTTAGAGATCCTCAAATAAATTAGACGATCCATGTAACTTCACGAAAGGTGCGGTTCCAGCTCTTTCTCCGTCCACTCCCACAACTCCCTCGCTTTTCCCTCGTCATACGCCAATTTGCTGCCTTTACCTTCCACCCCCACCGGCCAGTAGAACGTTCCCTCCTTAGGCTCCCCCAGTTGCTCCGTCTGCTTGCCAACCGGCCAGGTCGCCGCCCATAGTTGGCCCCAGGCGCCCCGTTCGACGGGCACCATACCGAGTACTAGGGCGGCCACCTTGCGCATGATCTTCTCGGTGCGCGGCCACCCGCGCATCAGATCCCCCAGGTTTGTAATGACGGCGCCGGGATGTAGGGAGACGAAGCGCACGCCTGTCTCGGCCTCGGGGTACCTATGGGCCAGCTGCGCCGCGTAGTGCAGGTTCGCCAGCTTGCTGATGCCGTAGCGCGTAAAGGCCGAGAGGTCATCGCAGGGGCCGCGCAGCTTCTCGAACGGATAGGGGTCCGTCCGAGGAGCGAACTTCTCCGCTTCGGAGGCCAGCACCACGCAGCGTGTTTCGCCAGGTGCGGCGTCCTCGCGCGCTGCGGTTTTCTGGAGCAGCGGCTGGAGCAGCCGGATGAATAGCGCGTGGCCGACGTGGTTGACCCCGAATTGCATCTCATATCCGTCTTGTGTGACGCCCTTGGCGCCCATGATGCCGGCGTTCGTGATCAGGATGTCGAGTCGGGTTTCTTGGGCAAGCACCTCCGCCGCCGCGGCTTTGACCGAGTTCAGCGAGGCGAGGTCCAGCGTGAGCAGAGAGACTGGGGCACAGTCGGGTCCTACGTTAGATTGGATTTCTTGCAGGGCCAATTCGGCTTTCGTCGGGTTGCGTGCGGCGAGGTAGATCCTTGCGGGCGAGTGCTGGGCCAGCTGCTGGATGGTCTGTTTGCCGAGACCCTCGCTGCCGCCAGTGACGACGATGACTTTATTAGTGAGGGCGGGGATGTCGTTTGAAGGGTCAAATGCCATTTTGATGGCTGCTGGCTTAGAAAGTTGAGTGTAACTGGTGGTAGTAGTGATGATGGGGTGCTTGTAGAAGGTTGGAGGAGAGAGTTTGGTATGACGCAAATCGAAAAGATCGACACGAGTTCTAATCAAGAATGCCAGAATATTCTTCGTGACCGCCCTTTAGGAACCCTCGCTTTTTCAGTCACGTTTGAAAGGTCCTCGATCGCCATGAACGATGGACATGAAGCTAGCAGGGTGGGAGGATGAAGAATTCGGCGTGTTCATCGAGGCCACCGTAGAAATGATCGATTTTCGAATTTCAGTGGCTGTGGTTCCTGCTGTCGCCATGATACGTGTTTTGAACCGATATTCTCATTTTGATTCAAGCATCGGTCAGAAGCATTGTGTCCTAGGAAAGAGATCATCTGTATAGAACGACATTTATAAAACCGACGATATAGCCCCGGTGGGGCTGCGCCACACGCTTTTCCGGTTCCTGGGAGATCCTGTGGCTGGTCGGTCATTCAAGAAGGCCCATGTTGGCCTCCTGCGGTTCGATCTTACGACTCAACGATTAAATATTGACAAATCAAACCGCGATCCCACTCATTACGATAGCATCCTCTGTATTCAAATTCATTTCCCTATCTGCGGCACTTCGAGTTGGTTAGAGTGGGGATATCAGAAAGACGAAGAGTAGAGTGTAGAGGCAGAAAGTACACAAACATCCTGTGTCCCAAACTCCAGAAGAAAGAAAAACGCCGTGGAGATGCATCGTCACACTTAGGTTAAGTCGTAAAAGAGAAGCGGAACCCACCAAGCTCAAGAGGTCGATCGTTGCCGGGCCGCTCGCTTCTTGGCCCGATCGTAATTAAGCACTTTTCGCCGTCGATGTGTCTGAGCCAATTTCCATCGATAGTAGAGAACCAATGCATCTTTCAGCAGCACGAAAACGCAGCCGCCAATCACGCTGCGGCCCCATCGGCTCTGCAGCAGGCCCGGGCGACCACGCTCAAGAGTCGAGGGCGCCGTCGTCCAAGTCTTCGGCAGAACGTATTTCAAAAGTCCACCGACGGAGGCAGATATGGCGGGGAACGCAAGTGCTCCGAGGACGAAGTCGGCGAGGTTGGTGGTCTCGTGGATGAGGCCATCGCGCCGAACCAGACCCATGGCCTGTTCATTTCCCATGGCACCCGCGCCTTGCTCCTCCCCTGGTGGCCCTCCTTGCGCCTCTGCGCCGCCCCCATGGATTCCCTCGCCACCATTTCCCATGCCAACCATATCAACCTGTAACGCAAAATCAAATTCCATGATTCGCCCACCATCATCGTTTCTTACCAAGTCTGCCGGTCCCTGTGCTTCGGGGGGCGCATTATCATCAAACTCGTTGACATCGGACAGGCGTGGTTGCACTTCGAGAATCCATTTCCTTTCCAATTTGCCGAAGAATCGCTCGTAGATTGCGCTGTAGAAGCTCTTGATATAAGGAAGGGCCGCAAAGGTCATGGCCGGGCTAGGGGGCCAAAAGTCAAGCTCCGGCTCATGACCGGGGTTGTGCGTGGCGAACAATAGGACGGGAATGGCAGGGAGTAAGCCTTCGGCGAACCGGGTTCGCGAGAATATCAATACCAACGGGATGAGCGGTAATCCGAGGTTGAGGCCCGAATTCCACGAGCCATCTGCGGTCTCTTCCAGAATCTGCCGCGCCTCTTCTGTCCCGAAAACAAAGTACATGGAATATACACCGTGCGCGCAGCATCCCGCCCAAACTGTCCCCGCCAGTGTGAAAACCATACCGGGTACGACCAGCCGACCGGCGAACCGCTCAAGTAATCGAACAATGTCCACAATATAACTGCGCGGGCGCGAGACCACGATCTCGGATTTGCACTGGGGGCACATCATCTTGGCATTGCGGCCGTTGCGTTTGCGGGATTGGGGGTTTTCTAGGTCAGCAAGCCAGTCTAGAAGGCAAGCTTCGTGGGCCGTCAAGGTACAGGGACACGGCGAGCGCCATTCGGGATTTATAGGCGAATCTTCCGTCTCGTCGGTATAACAGATCCAGCATTTGCGGGGTTCGTCATTTGATGAGTCAACGGCACTCAGGGTTGAGATCGGGGACTCGCTGATAGATTCGCCTTCCTCGGGCTGATTGGGGGAAACGGTCTCGGTATCGCCGGTCGATTCGGTGGACGAAGGACTATCCCTATCCGATCTCGAGATCTCCTCGTCCCGGGCGGTGGACATAGGGCTATCGGATGATTGCATTTGATCCGAGGTGGTCGAATCGTCCGGGAGAGACGCCATGGTTATTAAATGTTGCAGAAAGCGATCAGAAAGATGAGAAAGCGAGGGCCAACTGTTCTAATGGCAAAGGACGGAAGGTGGCATCCTTGAGAGGACGAAGGAATGGTCGAGGTGATTGAAGGTCATGAGAGGGAAAGGGGGGAGAAGGAGGAGAGGAGAGAGAGCGGAGAGAGAAGCGGGCAGCTGTGTAACGTTGGAACAAAGGAACGATAGACCCCCAGCACCGCTAAGCCTTCCTCGGATGCGAACCGCGGCTTTGGCTTTGGCCTTTCCTGCTGCCTGTTCGGTCACGTGGGGCTGTGGGGCCGCGGAGCCGGAAAGGGCCCTTGACTCGGCCAGCTTGGGATTCATGTAACTATAGTGAAGATTACGATCGACACTGTAAGGCAGAGTATGCGGCATGCACTATGTATGGATTCCGGTGGACGCTAGCCAGAGAGCAGGCATTATGAACAATTGACATCCTATTACAGACCCGATGTTCCGATATACTAGAAACAAAAACACAGAGATTATATACAGAAAAGGAGATCTCGAGGACAGGCAGAACACGTCGGCTGATGGGTTTGGCTGTCTGCTCTTCCTTGCCTTTCTTTTTCCTTCTCTCCCGCGTCCTTTCCCTTAGTTTTCCGAATCAACAATCAGTGTTTCTCGACCAATTGATCCCGGGAAAGGGAACTGGCGGATATGCATCTTATTAAGACAAGAAAGAAATAGAAAAGGATCAAAAACAGCGGAAACCTTCACACGAGAACTCGGACCCAGCAAGACCTACTGAATAGATAGATTGCAATCACACTGACGGGAAACGCTGCTTCAAATGCCCTGCATCATATCGGGCCGAGTCCTCGCACCGAGCAAGGCGGTCCAACGTGGTGATGCAGCGTTTTCAGAACCTGCCAGAAACGCCGTGGATATCAACAGGAGAATGACCAAAGAGGCACTTTTAAAAACTACAAATCATCGGCATATAATTTCGTCGTTGAAGCGGTTGCTTTAAAATTTCACGTTGCGCTTCTTCATCAGAGCCTTTCTTTCTTGCTCCTTGGCTGTAAGAGAAACAACGAGGTCAGCTTTCATTCGGGGAAACCCACAAAAAGAAATAATCAGGGGGACATACCTTCGTCGTACACAAGGAACTCGTGCAGGGCACTTCCGGCAGGAACCATAGGAAGCACGGGCACCTTGCGGTCGGTGAAGACCTCAAGCAGGGCGGGGCCATCGCTCTCGATCAGCCACTTCAGCTTCTCCTCCATTTCCGCGGGGTTGCTGCAACGCTGGGCGGCCACGCCCATGGACTCGGCAAGGGGAACGAAGTCGGGGTTCTTCTGGTGGGTGTGCGAGTAACGGTCCTCGTAAAAAAGGTTCTGCCATTGAGTGACCATGCCCTGCTCCTCGTTGTTCAGCAAGAGGACCTTGACGCCAATGTTGAACTGGGCAGCGGTGGACAGCTCGGTCAAAGTCATGTTGAACGAAGCATCACCGTCAATGTCAATGACAAGAGCATCAGGGCGAGCAACCTTGGCGCCAATGGCGGCAGGAAGTCCGTAACCCATGGTGCCCAAGCCACCGGAAGTAATCATGGTACGGGGGTGACGCCAGCGGAAGTGTTGGGCGGCCCACATTTGATGCTGACCAACACCGGTAGTGATCACGGTGCGGTCCTTAATATGAGCAGTCAGGTCGCTGAGTTTCTCGATCAAAGCCTGGGGCTTGATCGGGCCGTTCTCCACCTGCCTCTCGTACAGAGAGAAGGGGAATCGGGCCTTCCAGTCATTGATCTGAGCAAACCATTCCGGGCGCTCAGACACCGACTTGAGGTGGGGAAGAAGGTGACGGATGTTCTCGGCGCAGTCACCCTCGACGGCCTCGTTGGCCTCAACAACCTTGTTGATGTTCTTCGGCATGATTTCGAAGTGAACGATACCGCCACGGTTCTCGGTCGCAGCGAGCTTGGCCTGGGGGGCGAACTTGGAGATGTTACCGGTCACACGGTCATCGAAACGAGCGCCGATGGCGATGATAAGATCGGCCTCCTGCATGGCCATGTTGGCGTAGGCAGATCCGTGCATTCCCAGCATGTGCAAGGCCTTAGGATCGAGCTCGTCGAAGCCTCCGAGACCCTGCAGAGTAGTCGTCACGGGAATGCAGGCCTTGTCGGACAATTCCTTCAGAATCTGAGGGCCGTCCGGGCGGGCGAGGAGACCCGCACCGACGTACAGGACGGGTTTCTTGGCAACGTTGACGAGACGAGCAACGCGGCCGATGGTGCTTTCAAGCTGCTTCATGCTGACTTCGCGGGCCGCCATCGTTGCGGCGCTCGGCAGGGAAGGAATGGTGCTGCTCATCGGGATGGGCTTGCGAAGGATACCCGCGGTGATATCCTTGGGAAGGTCGACCAAGACGGGACCGGGACGGCCGCTGGTGGCGATCTCAAACGCCTCCTGGATGCGGCGAGGAAGTTCGGCAACGGACTTGACCATGACGTTCCATTTCGTGCAAGCCCGGGAAATTCCAATGACATCTGCCTCTTGGAACGAATCGGTGCCAATCAGGCTGGTGGGCACCTGACCGCAGAAAACAACCATCGGGGTGCCGTCGGACAGGGCGTCCTGCATGGGGGTGATAACGTTGGTGGCACCAGGGCCGGAAGTAACGAGAACAACGCCTGGGAGACCTGAGGCGCGGGCGTAACCTTCCGCCATGTGTCCGGCACCCTGTTCATGTCGGGGAAGAACAAAGTCGAAATGTTTGGAGTTGTAGATGGCATCGAAAACGGGAAGGATGGCGCCTCCAGGGTAACCGACTAGGTAAATTATTAGTATTACAATGCCCAGTAAACCATCTAACAGCGGGCTAAATAGTAGAAACATGAAAAAATAATAAGAAAAACATAAAAAATAGAGATGTAAGAATGACTCACAGACGTGCTTGACACCGAGTCTGAGCATCATTTCGTGGAAGATTTCTCCACCACTCAGTCCGACGAACCTGTCCGTCCACCCAGGTTAATCAAGCTTGTTCTAGTTACTTTTTCGAGGTGAATTGCACGGGGTCAACGTACGAGTCGTCCAACTCGGGGACCTGTCGGTTTTGCAGCGGCGACACTCCATTGCGCTGGGGTTCCTGGTTGAAGGCAGGGCTGGGGACGGGTCTAGCCTCGCTGTACGACAAAGCCAAGTTAGCCAAAGCGATACCAATTGACATTGGGATCTGCTCCAAGGTGGTTGACTCACCTGGCGGGAGCAGCAGCGGTGCTCTGGACTCGTTTCTGAGCAGAAAAGCGGTGGGGCGAGATGGCCGTGAACGGTCTTCTGGCAGAGGCAAAACATCTCTGCGAGTGCAGAGCGCGCATGGCGCTTTTCGATGGTCTTAGAGGCATCATCTTTACGGCGGATGACTGCCAGGCCAGGAAAGGAGCAGACTGTAGAGGAAGAGGGTTGGCAAGGGGAAGAAGAGTCGACGGATCTAGTGTGAGTAAGAGGTGCCTTAAGGCCGGACGAGAAAAGACTCAAACTTCTGGAGAGCACCTGGACGCTCTAACCGTCCTCGGCCTAGTGGCGTCGGGGTCGAATAATCTCGGGAGTTTGATTGGTCCGGGACCCCCAGCGTCTCCGATCATCGGCGACCGTACGCGGCCAGATCAGCTGATCTAGCCTGGAAGGGTTCCAGGTGTGTCTTCTGCACGGTACCTACCCTCGGTCCCCAACAACTACTCCGGCATAGCAGCTTGACGACCATCTCCGCGAGAATGATCTCAGGAGCCGGAGTCTGTGCAAATTATTTATGCTGGCTTACTGAAAGAGTAATCACGACGAGGTCATGTCATGTCATGTCATCTCCGCTTTCTGCATTATGCAGAGTGATTTACGACTCCCCGATTCCGGAGCCCCAAGCATCGCAGGGTAGGAGTACTTTGTGAGGAGATTGCTCTTACCGAAAAACACAAGGGGAATCAAGGATTCCTACAGAGTATAATGGTGATGAAGGGCATCCTTTTGGAGATTTATTTCTGAACCGCGTCATGGAGGAGCAATGCAATCCTCTCATTTGGTCACAGTCGCCGACATTGCTTTCTGCAACACGTCTTGACACGCAAGGGTTCCATGCATGAATGCACAGGGCCCAAATACATTAAGACCTAAGTTTCTTTGCTTGGATCTTTGAGGGCCTGTTTGCGGCATGCCGACCGTCTATACAGGATAGTTCTATATCTGACCAACGCTCTATATGAGCATGAGAAATGAATGGTCAGACCCAAGGAACGAGGCAAGAAAGTATCTTTCTCGTCGGAAGGATGATCGTATACGGTTTCATAATACAGCTATCTGCAACAATGGCTTGCGGTGAGCAAGAATTATCGCTGTAGCAAGCCTTCCCGGTTTTCATATGTACAACGTGGTGCATCAAGCTTGCCTTGGCTTTTCACGCTTGCTCTTGAAACTTGATCTTGGCTTCAGCCACGACCAGACTAATTCCAGCTAGTTATGTCGACCAGGATCCTGGTCAATCATAGGAGTGGGCGGGATTAATATCTCATACTAAATTCTAGTATTATTGCCCCAATATACACTGAGTTTGATACTGAGGGGGAGGAATTGAAATCCACCGAGGAACCGGAAGATGGAGTCCACCGGTGAGAACTAGGATGGAATTTGCACGGTTTGGCTTCGGTTAATTTCCAAGGATCATTCGGGATTTCGGTCTAATTGTTTCCACGGAAATTACCCCGTGCCAGTCAGTCAGGGTCGACCGTCTCCGTCGCAATTGCAGGCAGGGAGCAGGCAGGATGCAGACTGCAGGCATCGCAACCAATTAACCCCAATCCCGAGAGATCGGGATCATGCAGGCAGGAAAGAGCGACGATGCCGAGCACACGAGGGCTACACGGGGGACGGAGGAAAGCCGTAGCGAACCGAGAAAGCGAAATCGTGGGGTCACTCCAGGCCAGCCCGACCACTCAGGCTGCCAGGCCACCAGGCTCCCAGGCACTATCGTTCGGGGTCCGTCATTTCCGACTTTCCCCCACTTCCGAAGTGCTTTCATTCAATCCCAGATTGCGGGGCTCCCAGGAACGTCGTAAGACCCTGCCCTTCCTCGCTTTTCGTTTTTCTCTTCCTCTCTCTTTTTCTGTTGATCTTGTGTTCGCGGCTCTTCACTTCCTGATACCCAGTCGGCTTCTTCGATTTCTCTTCCTGTTCCTCCTTACTTTTTTCTTATCATACTTCTGACCCCGCCATGGCCACCCCACAAGAACTCGTTCCCCAGACGGAATCCATCGCTGAGGTCTACGCAACGGACGACGCCTCCGCCAACTCGGTGGCCCCAGAGCATCAGGCACGTTTCGAGGGACTGGTCTCTCAGTTTGCCAAATCCTACGGTCACCGACCTGAGTTTGTCGCCCGTAGCCCGGGTCGCGTGAACATCATCGGAGAGCATATCGACTACAACCTCTACGATGTCCTTCCCACCGCCGTGAGCGTCGACGTCATCATGGCCGTCAAGGTTGTCCCCTCAGCCTCGGAGCCCACCGTGAAGATTGCCAACGTGAACCCAGAGAAGTTCCCCTCGCGCGAATTCACCGTGCCTCGGGACACGGATATTGAAATCGATCCTAAGAAACACGAATGGGTTAACTATTTCAAGGCGGGCCTTTTGGGAGCGCTGAAAACCCTGCGCAACAAGAAGCAGGATGGCACATTCGTTCCCGCGAGCGTGGAAGTTTTGGTGGATGGAAACGTGCCTCCCGGTGGCGGAATCTCCAGCAGCGCGGCCTTCGTCTGTGCGAGTGCCCTTGCAGTCATGAAGGCAAACAACCACAACGTCTCTAAGCAAGATCTTTTGGACTTGGCTGTGGTTTCGGAACGTGCGGTCGGTGTCTACTCCGGAGGGTAAGTTGAACAGTGCTTCTTCAGATTAGGATCCTTTTGTTTCATTCCCTAATCTTCCATAGTATGGACCAAGCTGCCTCCATCTTCTCTCGTCGCGGATACCTGCTGTACACTCAGTTCTTCCCGAACTTCTCCGTGCAGCACGTCCCTATTCCTAAGGCTGCGGAGGAGATTACCTTCCTCATGGCCCAGAGTTTTGTTACCTCTAACAAGGCCGAGACGGCCCCTCGTCACTATAACCTGCGTGTGGCTGAGTGCACCCTGGCCGCTGTGGTTCTCGCCGCTCAGCACGGTCTGACCCTGCCCAAGGATAACAGCTCGCTCGGATACAGCCTGCGAAACTTCCACGAGGAATTCATGCGCAAGGAGGGCCGCCTGGGCGACCCTCTCGAGTACCAGATCGACTCTGTCATCCAGACCACCATGGAGCTGCTTTCCCAGGAGCAAGGATACACCCGGGAGGAGATTGCCAAACTACTCGGCACCACTGTGCCCGAGGTCGAAGCCAAGTACCTTTCCTCGTTCCCCGTGCAGGCCGATCGATTCCTCCTGCGTCAGCGCGCTCTGCACTGCTTCACCGAGGCCCGTCGCGTGCTGGACTTCAAGGCCTGCCTCGCTAAGGCGTCAACTCTCGACGACAGACGCATCCAGTATCTCGGCCAGCTGCTGAACGAATCGCAGGATTCCTGCCGCACAACGTACGAGTGCAGTGCTCCGGCGGTGGATGACATTTGCGCCATTGCTCGTCGCGCTGGCACCTGGGGCAGCCGTCTGACCGGTGCGGGATGGGGTGGCTGCACCGTCCACATGCTGCCGCAGTCCAAGGTCGAGGCGGTAACCAAGGCCCTGAAGGAGGAGTACTACCTCAAGCAGTTCCCGGACATTAGCGAGGAGAAATTGGCTCAGGCCATGGTTATTAGCAAGCCTTCGAACGGATCCTTCATGTACGTGCTACGATAGACTGACCCTCTTTCCCATCCCTAACTGCCATTCACTAACTGTTTTGACAGGGTCACGGGGGCTGCCATTGATCAGGTCAAGATCTAAATTGCAAAAAAAAACAACAAAGAAAACATAAAAGGGAAAAAAATATCATAATGAACATTTGCATTAGTTTGAATAGGCTCCAAATTGATTTGGAATCCAGCCTTTTGGTTGAGCGTCCACGAAGGATATTCATAGCCCAACATGACTCATACCGTTTCTATCCAACAGTATTGTACACAGTATACAGATGGACTCCACTTCTAGATGATGGTCGTGGGGAGTCTCGTATCTATGACGCCCTTCCTCCAAGATGTCTTTAGATCGGCCGAGCTACTATGGGCTTGGCGAGGAGGCGAGCGTTGAAACCCTGGTTTACGGTCCAAGCCAGAGATAGCCTGCGTGGGTAAGCGTCTCTGTGTATAGACAAGATGTATTATCATAGTCGTACTGAGCAAGTGCTCAACGCCCCGTTAAATGCCGTCTAAATCGAGCAGCAATGCTCTTCAGTCACAAAACGTTGTCAATATGACCGCTGCTAAGACTTCTTCTTGGCAGCAGCCTTGGTGAAAAAGTCACTCATCTTCTTCATCCCTGTAGTATTGACTTTCTTCAGGTCCTTGACTCCCCGAGACTCTCCCGCTTTCTTCTTCTTCTCCTCTTCTTCCTTACGGCGTTTCTTTTCTGCGCGAATCTCGGCAGCATCATCGTCCTCGGCGGTGCGTTTACGGCTGAAGTCACCCAGGGATCGGGACGCTAATGCCTCGGCGCGAAGATCGGCGATATGCTTCAGGTGGTCGGTTAAGGGCTTGAAATCAATCGGGGTGTCTGGGCTGGCGAGCAGTTCGTCGATCTTGGCGCACAGGGCAGGAGAAAGGTAGGATTCTTTCATGAAAGCCAGCGCCGTGGATATCCGCAGGAGATGAGTTACATCTTCTGGTGTCGTCGGCTCGTCAGGCGGCGACTCCGTGGCCGGGGTCGATTCATCCGAGACTGGATTCGAACTCGAGTTTGAGTTGGTCGTCGACGGGGTCTCCCTCTGTTGTTCGGAGTCGTCATCCTCCCCTGCCTCGTTTTCCTTGTTTTCCGACGAGACTCCCTTGGCCACCGGATTCTCGCGCTTCACAGCCATCAGCGGAGTCGCTAGTGCCTGACGAACGAACCGCTCCTCCAGACTCTTTGGCAGACCTTGCGCGACCATGCGCTCGGCCTTGGCGATCAATTCTCCGAGAAGCTTCTTCTCATTGAACCGGAACATCTTCTGATCGCCTGCCTCCACGAAATCGCAAACAGCTTCCGCGCGCGCCTGCAACGTCGGCTCGAACGTTTCGTCGAAAAGCGCATGGCGCATGTGCTTGGGGAGCTCGTCCTGCGAGTCCAGGATGTCATCCAGGGGCTGGAAGAGACCCTTGGAAGAAGTCGATAGAATGGGTATCATGAAGAACATCGCATCGATCGGGGTGGCGACGAGTAATTGCGCCGCCTTCGAGATACTCCCCCTTGTGGGCGCGACATGTTTCTCTGGGCTGTGGGAGAATAGGATACTGCGCGGAACGTGCGAGGGAGCGGCGACGGCCGTGAATTCGTGGATCCCGAGTTTCGGACAGAAAAGGTACCGGGTCAGTTCGCCTGTTCTCGGGTTGGGAAGTCGGAGGAGCCGCGCATTGTCGGTGGCTGCTGAAGGGAGGATAAAGGTCTTGCTGGGTCGCTCGGCTGTCGGGGGCGAAGGGAGAAGTTGTTCTGGTTCTGAATCGGGGGTAGGCTGCTCCGCGGGAGCTGTCGAGCGAGTGCGCATGGTCAGTTGAGGGTAGATGGGAGGAACAGGACGTGGATAGGGAACAATTGAAGCCGGTCCAGAGGGTCTGAAAGAGATCGAACGACGAGACAGGCGCACTTGACGCGTTCCGCCCGACGCGACACGCGCTTCCCCGCGGCCAATCACCGAGAACTTGTCGCCCTTGCCTGAAGAGCGCCGAGACTCATCCAATCCATAAGGACCGGATTCCCCATAACAACAATCATTTTGTTGGTTGTTGAATCTCCCTTCCCCGCATCCCTGCGATCATGGCCCGCCCTGTATAACACTCCGATTCAAGTTGAAACTACGAAAAAGGTGGCATTGGCATTAACATAACCAACGAGCGATGGTCAGCAGTGAGTACGGAGATCCCCGATTTCCCTGGCCCGACCGTGGACTGACCCCAATCTCATCGCATCGCAGTGGTCGAGACCTCATGGCCGCCCAAATCCCCTCGGGAGGCTCTTCTCAGCTCCCCGAGCGGTCGCAGGAAGTTTCAGGACATGCAACGCCGCGGAGAAGTCTTCGGGTCGCCGTTGAAACATTCAAGCACGACGCCAAACCTCCGAAGCAAGACAGACCGCCTCCTAGAGGATGGAGTAGAAGACCTCGACGAGGATGAGGACGAGGAGACTTTACAATTAAAACTAGCGGCCATTAAAGCGCGATTAAAGCTGAAACAACTTCAGAAGAGCCGCGGAAAGTCTTCTGCGCCGGGACTAGTTGCACACGAGGATGACGAACCTTTTCCCCGACCAGCTTCGAGCTTCTCATCACGGACCCACGAGCAAAATTCGAAGAGTCAGAACCCGAGATTACCACCAGATGAGGTTCAGGTCCCGCTATCCCCAACAAGACGACTAGCTCCAGCGGCTGATCCTGTGTCCCCCCGGCGAGTTATTCTCGGAATCGATAAAGGTCGGAAGGGCAGCGACGTGTCTCTCAAGCGACCCCCTCCATTGACGGCCACAAGCCGGCCGACCAGTCGTCTAGGCAGTCGAGATGGCCCCGTATCCCAGACACAATCCTTTCCAGGCGCAGACGGAAACAGACCCAAGAGCTTTAGCGAACGTATGGCTGAAAGCAGGTCGGCTGATAAACTGCGGAAGGAACGGGCTGAAAGGCTGCAGATCAACCGCAGCACGGCGTTTCAATTCGACAAGACGGAGGTAGAAGGATTCAAGGCAGCCGCCGCCGAGGCTCGAGCAAAATCCCCTCTCCGGTCGCCAACGAGAAATCGACAGGCCGAAAGTTTTAGCCGCGAGGATATTCTACGATCATATCATGAGCGCAAACCGCCAGCCCTGAAAAGGAGCCTCACTGCGCCCAGTGCACACAAAACCGGCGGAGGCGCCGATTCCACGGCTTCAAGGACTCAATTCCATAGGCGTAACCACAATTCCGAATCTGGCGCCTTGGCCCTACCCGAAGGCTCATCACAGGCTACCTCTTCTGAGCATGGAAACGGGAAAGACTCGCTTGAGAAGGCGCCCGATGCGTCGAAATTTGAGGCATTCTCCTCCCTACATCTCTCCAACCGCATTCTACCTCATTCATTCCTGTCTCGAACACTTGCCGACAAAACAGTTCTACAAATTCCAGACCTACTTCGGAAGGTGAAAGGACCAGCCTTTGAGTTACCAGAAGATATCGACGGCGACTTCGTTGTATTTGGCATTGTGGCTTCCAAATCAGATCCTAAAGAGAAGAAAGAGTCGAAAAATGTCTCTGCGAAGGAGGTTGATCCCTTCGATGACGGACTGAATAATTCACAGCGTTACATGGTCATCACGCTGACCGACCTCAAATGGAGCATCGATCTTTTCCTTTTCGATACTGCGTTTCCGCGTTATTACAGACTCTCAGAGGGCATCGTTGTGGCCATTCTGAACCCTACTATCATGCCACCCCCTCGAAGCAAACTTGACACAAACAAGTTCAGTCTTGCGCTTTCATCTTCTGATGACACAGTATTAGAGGTAGGCTATGCGCAGGACATCGGGTTCTGTAAGGCTGTCAGGAAGGACGGTAAAACCTGTCATTCGTGGGTGGACGGCCGGAAAACCGAGTTCTGCGACTTTCACGTTGATATTCAGGTGCGCCGCACGCAGTCCCAACGCATGGGTGTCAATGGTGCAACCGGCATGTTCGGCCCCGGGGGGAGCTCGGGCCCGCGGACTGGCTTCTGGGGTGGAGGAAAACGAGGAGGAGCGGCTGCAGGTGCCGGCAACAGGAACGGATTGAAGCCTAATGGCGCCCAATATGACTTCCAAACGCAGTCAACATATTACGTCGCGCCGGCGCCCAAGTCGAGAAACGATAATAGTCATGCCTTTGCCCATAGACATCCTGGACAATCTGCGGCTAGTCTGATCGATGCTGACTACGATGATCCTTTCCTGGCCGCGGGCATGATGGGCCGTGGCGCAGAGAGCAAAGAAGAGAAATTCCGCAAACGCCTCGTGGAACAGAGACGAGAACGAGAAATTGCAAAGAAGCTGTCCACTTCTCGTGGCCCCGGAATAGGAGCCGAATACATGCGTGTCCGTAACGCGGAAAACAACCCAACACAGCAGCCAGAAAAGTCCTCACAGGACAAGGCTAAGTCGACCGGTCAACAAGCCTACAATCTCGGTCTGTTGGGGATGCGCAGAGCAGACAATGTGAAACTGACACCGTTGAAACGCACCCACGATGGCGATCGGCCGCATGGCAGTGGTGTGAAAAAGACCCGGTTTATAACGGCCAAGGGCATCAAAGAGGCTGGCAGAGACAGCCTGGGAGGCCAGTCCGAAGCCATGACCCAACGTACTTATGACGACGATGACGATGACGAGCTAGAAATCATCTAGAAACATGTGGCATTGAAGTGGAGTTGACACGCTGCCACAATTGCATCTTCGAAAACTCTTTCCTTCTTTCATAATCCAATCATTCCCTCTCTTTCTTTATCTTCCTACCATTGATCACTCCTTCCCAGCTGGTGTTGCGATTTTGATTTCATATGATATGCATTGGAAATGAAATGTGGCATGGTCACGATACAAAGAAAGCCAGAGAAGCAAAAAAGAGCTGGTAATTTCACCTTTTGGACAAACCAAGACAGAAAAGAACTTGTTAAAACAGAGACAAACCACCATTATGTTGTTACGAAAATACCCTTTTCTCGTGCACGACCGAGACTCACACTCACTACCTATCTCCCTATTGAAATTTCATTCATTTCCCATTACCTCTGAAACGGTGAGCTTTCTTGTGATTCATTATATGTATTATTGACTATATTTTATGGAGCTTCTGGCGTCTTTTGATCAATTCTTTGTATTGTTCCTCATTCTTCGACAGAGAAGGGACGGGGGGAGAGATTGAATTCTCCTTTTGCGTGTATGCATAAACTGATGTATTTGCTTCTAGCCGGACTATGGAGTATAGTTTATCTGTACTTGATTTTCCCTCATAATCCTATCAACTCCCTAATCCGTAGTCATGCCTAGGTATCGCCTCCAAGGCTGATAAATAAGAGAGAAGAACATCAAGACAGACTCCGTGGTGAACTAGTACTAGAAGACATGCGCATGTGATTGAGTAAGCTTTTCCCACCCTGTCATCATTCCAATACTGGAAGTAGACTACAAAACGAAAAGTGAAACGGGCGCTGGGAGGAGGAGAGGGAACTAACTTGGCGGATTAGTTTATGGACCGAGTCGGACCGTCGATATATTTCAATCTTGATATCAGAAGAACGGACATAAGCTACCCCTTTCGAAGATACCACAAAGACAGGTCAAGGCCGGAATAGCCAAGAGACTAGATAGCCAACTAACCGCCACCAAGAAGACAATCATTATGATGATCTCGATTTCATTTGGAGTTGGATATCTAGACTTAAGCTAAAAACTAAAGGGGAACTGAACCAATTTGACCGAAGGAAACAGAAAACCCCGAAGGAAACAAACAAGGTAGGAAGAAGGCCCGATGATTCCAGACCAGGAAAAAAGAAGGGAACGCCTCAGCAAAAAAATGGGCCGAAGAAAAGAGAAAAGAAAAGAAAGAGACATAAAGAAACTCCGACCTTGCCATCCGGTCATTGCTGTGCCAGCCAAACTCAGTGAATAGAATAAACCCAATTGAAAGCCCACCCTTCGACCAGTACCCATCGCCGTTGCCATCGCCTTTGCCATATATCCGATTGAAGTTTTGTTGAGTTGAACGAGGTGCACTAGGAATGCTTCCTCGATTATGTACGCTATCCGGGCGGCTCGCTTTTCCATGGTTCCTTTAGGAAAGCCGATCTTCTGTTTCCTCCGGATGAGCAGAAGCAGGGTGGGAAAGACAGATCGTATTGAGCACCCGGACATATTAAGATCGAATACCGATAGCGCTGGCTTTCCAGAACAGTGGAAAGAGAAGCAAAAAATAAACCAAAGAGGGGATTGAAACCGAATAAAGTGAGAGAAATAAAAAAGATTCCAGGACGCAGAACGCCGCGTATTGACACCGCCGGAGAAAACCACAAGCTTGCTTCATGACCCGTTGCAGCAGGTAGGTGTAGGAATGCCACGTCAGATTCATTATGAGACAGTGGTTCTGTTGCCTCTTGTCTTTTTGGTAGCTGGGCCACCGGGGCTGTTTGCAGCTTCTGCATCTCGCTTTTTGGGCTTGGCCGCGGCAGCGGCAGGAGTTTGCTTTTTGCGCAACCAACCATCGAATGGGCTAGCTCGCTTTTTCTTGGCCTCGGGAATTGCAGGCGTCTGAGTTTGCTCGGTATCTTCTCGCTTGGCTCGAGAACGCAGTGAGCGAATCGTCCCTACGCGAGGCGAGGTGGTTTGCGAAGCGGGGTTCAGATCCGGGGTAGTCGGTCGCTGATCCATTTTCACGTCGTCGTTGTCCAGGTCGTCTGCTACATCAGAGGCAAACGCTTGGTCCTCGATATCGGTGGCTGCTTCTTCATCATCCAGTTCTTCGGCGGGCTCTTCTCGAGGGGCGCGGTCATTCGCATTGGGGAATAGCACACGAGGTTTGATGGAGGAGCGAGTCAGAGGCCGAACGCGAGGGGAAGAAGATGGGTCGATGAGATCGGGGCGAGCCGAAAGTAGACCCAGACCGTCATCGGTATCATCGTCTTCTCCATCACTGTCGAGTGTATCATTGAATTTCCGAAACATTTTTTTGCCGCGGCTGTGACCATCATTAGCCTTGATTGGTAGGGAAAGGAGAGGTGGAGAAAGGAGTGAAGAGGAACTTACAAGACGTAGACCATGCCATCGCTTCGTTTAACAGACTCGTTGATATCTTTATCGCGCTCCATGCGACCTTCCCGACGTCTTGAAGTTCGTGTGTGAGGATCACTTTTGACGGGCTTGTTGTTGAAAGGATTCTCCTCGCTTGCGTCCAGTTCCGGTATGCGGTCACGAGAGTCGGTGTATATTTGAATCTGGGATCCGTTTTGGTCATTGTCTTCATTGAAGCTGTCTAGAGAAAATCCGGTATGTTTCTTGCCTTTCCTGCCACGCGTAGAACTCGGCGGGGGGTGTGGAGGGAAAAGCGTTCGTGCGATCGAGCCGGCATCACCAACCGCTTTTTTCCGAGGCGTTTTGGCGGGCGTGGGTAGCATTCCTTCAGTCATGATTGTTCGAGATGACTGACGATGATTGTTGGTGGAAGACGACTCGGTGGTATTGAAAGGATCCGATTTGTCCAGTTCGGAGACTTCGCGTAGTGAATGCGCCGTGGTGAACTCAGCGACTCGGTCCGACTTCGATTTTCGGGGAGAGCCGGAAATGGATCGTGGCGGAGACAATGCGTCAAGGTCATCATTTTGTTCCCTGGTCTTTCTTGGTCTCGAGTAGGCGTGCGATGATGGAAAGCAGGGAGGCGGCGGCGTGGAGCGGGTCTCTCTTGAAGCTCGTTGACTAGCCAGTCTGGCAGAGTGTCGTGTGGAGTATGGTTCATACTGATCATAACCGGCCCCATGTCGAGGAGTGGGAGGCATTCGCAATGTTGAAGGGGGCGGCGTTGTCGCCATGACGCCTGTCGACGGTGTCTGTTCGTCGTAGGGGGAGAAGAAGAGCGCCAACGAAGGGAGATATAGAGACGCTTTCACTAAGCCGAATAAGGAGACACACCAGACACAGATATCCAGCGAGGTGAAGTCAAACAAGGAGATTGGGGAAGTTGAGGAAGAGAAAGGAAGGGCGGCTGGACAAGGGGATGGGGATAGCAAAAGGAACGGTTTGCTGGACGTTGTTGTCGTTGGACCAGCCACGACATTTTTTACATAAGCCACATCCCCAGCCCCGCCTCGTGCCTTACAGTGCCCTAAGAGATCTAGGCTTACATGTCATGTCCCAGGTTTCAACAACAGATGCATAGTACGGAGTACGTTGATAGTAACGACGAATAAAGACTTGAGTCACACTAGCCAATCTCCCCAATTCCAAGTACCAGACATCGACCCTTCCTTCCCCGCGAGGCTCGTCTTTCCTGGAGGACTTCCAACACTCCCAAAGCATTCCCGGACAAAAGCTGCTGTGTTCTATCGGCCCTCCTACTTTCCTATATCACGACCATCCTGGTAATTCCAATTGATAACGAATGTTCCTGGTGAGATGAGCACCTCATCGTTGGGTGAGCGGAACGTCCCTTGTCGATAAATAGCGGGCTGCCTGATTCCCAGCACTTTCTTCCCGTGCAATGGCGAGTCATCGTCTCCCTTGAAGTAATGTTTGTATTCGGTCCGCACGCGCTCGGGAAGATCGACATAATTGGACGGCAGCTCAATGCCTTCAAACCTGATAGCGTAAGGGTAGGAATACATCAGAGCTGCATTCTCTGCCTGCGTTTCAAGCCCTTCCTGCAGCCTATCCGAAACGGCAGGCGACTTGGCGTCTTTCAGCAAGAGCTGCATTGTCTTCTTGGAGAGGAGATCAGGAATGATGGTAGATCGAATAAGAGACCGTCGGCGCTCATCCATAGACTTTCCAAAGGTGTAGTCTCTGCCTCGCTCCATGTCGGTAATGGTGGATAGGCGGATGGTCATCATTGCCCAAACATAAGCAAAATGCCTGTGAGCTACGCGATACGGTTTAGCTACTCATCCACGCGAGAGTGTCAGGGAAGAGAGTAAATACCTTTGACAAACTCTTGGTACAGGCTGTTGAGCTGTCCTCCAAATGCAGATGGCACATTTTGTGTGTCTTTGGCCCGCGTGTCAGACTCCAACCACCAAAACCGACCGTTGCCCCCCCAAAGTGCTCTAAGGACATAGTCCGAGAGAAACGCGGACAGCAAACATTCAGAAAATGTATCATACGTGTTTTCTGAGAACTGCGCGGCTACTTCGTCCACGTCTCCTTGAATCACATACCCCTTTACGCTCTCGAGGATCGCTTGTCTGTCCTCCTTGGGCAATTTGTTGAAATCCTCCATTTCAATCCCGAATGACAGTGGAAATCCTGACGTAAAGGCGTACAGGTTGTTGAACATACTGGGCCAGTTACCGGGCACGCCATCGATCCAGCCTGCGGGGCCGCCTTCCAGAAACGAATTCACCCGCGTGTGGTATCCAAGCTGTTCCATGACCGGTTCTTCTCTATCCAAGCCAGTGATTCCTTCCTCCAAATCTGGTGTATGATTTGCTTCTGGCTCAGAAGTAGCAGGGGCACTTTCTGAGCATGTCTTTCCATGGGCCGTGAGCTCATCCTCGGTAATCTCAGGTCGAGGAGACTTCTCCGACCCAGAGGGTTCCTTTTGAACGCAGACTTTCCGTTTCGAGCGGGTTTGCTAATCGAACAATTCTTCAGCGTTTGTTCCATGAGCTTGTCGACGGGATTTTTTCTGGATTGCTTTCATACCCTGGTGGTCCTTTCCTCTGCGGGTTGCCTGATTGCTTTTTTCTTTGCGGGCTGCTTGCGTTTGGAGCCTTTCATTTTGTGTAGACAATCGAGAGCAAAGGTTTTCGGGGAAAATTGGGGAGTTTGGTGAGAGAGTGGAAACGCAGAGAATATGTGAAGAGTCAGGAGTCAGACAATAATGATTTGAGACAAAGGTGGCAAAAGTACCTGCTGAACTTCCCATACCCTCCATGAGGTCGGTTTCTTTGTCCAGTTACACCAAGCCTCCCCCCTCCTTCTTACGGAAACCAGCATTTCTTTCTCACCGTCTTTGTAGCTGTAGGCAAATCAGCATGTCAGGATTCCTCTCGGTTTCATTTGCCTTCCCGTTCTCATGATGGCTTTAGGTTTGCTCAATAAACAACGGGTGGAGGGCGGGAAAATAAAAAGAAAGAAAAAAAGAAATAAGACAGCGAGGGAAAAAGGGAAAAAAAAATTACGGGTAAAGCGCAAAAGGAAAGCTGCAGATACTGGACCCTCCTTTCTCAGAAAGCACTTGCGCAGTCCGTGTTTGTTGTAGGATGAGAAGTCCCTCTGAGACATGCATTACCTATGGCTCAGAAGGTTGGGACCCAAACGGGGCGGGGCGAAGGTATTCATATTCATATAGCAGGGGATCTCTCCAAATGACAAAGGGAGAGTGCAATTCATAGAAAAATTTTCTAGAATCAGGGAAACGTCCTGTCGGCCTTCTTTTTCAGACAGGAATCATGGAATATCAAGCGAGTTACGAGATCGTTGTGGGTGTCGATTACGGGACCACAACCACAAGTACGTTTTTACCTTCATGTCTTCCTTAATCATCTCGGTCGTACTAAGCAAATTTTGGCAGGCGTTGCCTGGGCCCTCTCCACCGTCCCTGAGGGCGCAGATTTCGATGTTATCTCAACGTACCCACCAAGCAAACGATCGAAGCAGGCACCATCTCGGCTTTCTTTACCGGAAGATAATCTTCAACAAAACCAGAGAGATACAAAATGGGGGTATGAAGTGGGCCCAGACTAGGTGTCCTGTGCGTGGACCAAACTCCTGTTATTCCCACGCGATGCGAAGCATGCAATGGACGATCAGGAGCTGGAAAAATTTTCGGCTACTGGGATATTTCACCTTCCTTCCAGCATGAGCGCAGAGGATGTTGTGAGGCGATTCCTGAAGTTGCTCCACAGGCACGTCATGGACCATTTGCGCACGAAAATACCGATCAGCTTGAACAATATACCGATAAGATTCTATTTTGGCCGCCCTGCGATGTGGTCCAGAAAAGACAGTAACTCATTCGAGAACCGTATTCTCTGCAAAGCCGGGTTTGGAGCACGACATGCAGACAAGATAATCACAATCCCAGAGCCCCAGGCGGCGGCCTACACCGTATTCAAGAGGCATCAGTCGGAATTCAAGGTAAGCCAGCCTTCGTACAGCATATCCTAGCTTGCACGAGTCTCTAAGTATAGTATCATACCAGGTTCACGATAGAGTCCTGATATGTGATCTGGGCGGAGGCACGGCGGTAGGCCTGTTTCTCTCTCAGATTGATTGTTTCTTGCCAACGTGAAGAAGTCTAACAATCGCATTCCAGGGCCTCTCCAGCTACTATGTTACCAGCTTGAAGCCCGTCTCCTTGCGTAGCATTAGAGATGGAACGGGTTGGTCATCTCATTCTCTTGTCCGGAATCGGCTAGGAACAGCGAGTACTGACCATGAATTTCTAGGTTTCATGTGTGGCGGAACTGCAGTTGATAGGCAATTCTACTTGGAGATGTCACAAATTTCTGGCTCTGATTGGGATTCAATTCCTGCCACTCTCAAGGGACAAGGCAGTCGGCTCATGCAGGATTTCGAGGAGGTGAAGACCAAATTTGACGGAGAAAACGAAATCAGCGAAATCAAGCTCCTTGGTCGTCGAATCAACCAAATACTCGGAAAACCCAGGAGTCTTGTCGTTCTTACTCCCGAGACCATCCGTCGCTTTTTTGATCCCGTTGTCACTCAAATAACCCTTCTGATTGAAAGGCAGCTGGAAAAAGCCAAGGGATATCGCTTCATGAATGTACGGCGTTCGTGATACCATCCAGCAAAATATCCTAACTAACAGAAGTCCAGAAAATCGTTCTTGTAGGGGGGCTCAGTTCTTCCCCTTATGTCCAACACAAATTGTTTGGCACCTTCAATGAGCCAGACAAGCTGAAGGTTATCACGACATTGAATCCGTGAGATCTACCCCTATTCACATGGGCTCACATCTGACTAACGGGTACTTCATCGTCATTTCAGTGAGTTAGCTGTGGTGCGCGGCCTTGTATATCGTGGTCTTGAGACGCGACCTACAGGAGTCCAAAAGAGTCCCCAGTTCTACGGTATTGGATTAGGGCCTCTTGGTGAAGCTACCACTCCAGACCAGCAAAATAAGGTTGACTCTGAGGATGACACTATGGAAGTTCGTGAAAGAGTGGAATGGGTCTTAAGCAAGGTAGGTCTGAGCTCCTCCCTCTAAGGAATGCCATGATTCATTATTGACTGGGACGGCCATTCCAAAGCACGGCGAATATCTGCCGGAATTCTGCCACAAAATGGAGGAAACCATATTCCATACCTTTCCTACGGACCCGTTGCTCAAAACAGTGAAAATATACTCCTGCGACTAGTCGATTGGCCCGGAACATGTCGATGACCATGGTGAGCAGATCTGCCTTTCGTGGGTCGTGCACTGGCCTTGTATACTGACCGCAGCAGACATTGACATCGCCGGACTGACCTTGGTAAATTTAGCAGAACTACCTCCCAGGTACCTTTCCTCCAGGCAAAATATCATACCAGCTGTCATTTGCACAACTCCGGGTCGAGAGCCGGACACCTTGGAGTTCACTGTGGAAGTGGAAGGGTGCGTGATAGGAAAACGCACAATCAAGATGGAAGAATAGGGCTTGAGGATGGAAAGATAGCTGAACATGTCCCCATCAAGTTCTCTGGCTCTTCAATGTTATACGAGTAGATGTATGTAGATCCTAACCGGATCAGGAATCCGCACTAGCAATTGTCGAGCTTACCCATTAACTACTATTGTTGCTCATTCGCCTCACGTCGTTCCAACCATCCTCGAAGACATGGTGGCCATGTCTGAAGGCTCTAGAAACAAGTCCTGCTGGGAGCAAGTACGCCACTACGCCGACCACCAGGGTCGTCCGGTGGTCCTCGAGCAATACGTGGAGCCCGACTGGACTCCCGATCCCAGCCATCTGGTGCCCATCCAAGTCTACAGTGTCGAGCTCTTGGACCCAGACCATGAGTATCTGCGAGACTACCTTCTGCATACCTTCTGTAATGACGAATTCTTGCCCTTGTTCGAAGTTCACTCATACTGTCCGCCCGATGCATTTGACTGCATGGAGCACAACCGCCGTGAAATTGCCCATCGAAAGCAGCAACACCGGTCGGAAGTTTCTAACCCGCCGGGTCTTTGCAGTTGTGCTAGATCGCGCAAGATTTGTGAAAGAAGCCGGCGTTTACTTTTACATGACCGACTATGATGGCTTGGAAAGTATTTCATCCTATTATCATCCTCATCCTGCAAACACCGAGATCCGGCGGTGCTCTGGGATGCGTGAGATGGCGAGGCGATTGGCCATGCTTGTGAATTGAGGAGGAATAGATAATTGCTCTAGGACCCAGTCACTGTCAATCGTAAGATCAGAGCCAAGAGAATTGATGAACTCCTTGGTCTTTGTTCCAAGGTCCAGGATTGTTGCTGCGTACTTCTGGCGTCCGTCATGTGACGAGGCGTCGGACTAAACCACTCTCGGAGTTCCCCGTGCCCCGCCGACTTTCTCTCTTTCTCTCGTCTCGCTTTCTGGTCCATCTCCGACCATCAACCCCCTCCCACTAACTAGGGTCGACATGGCGTTTCGCAGCACCCCAGAAGAAATGGACAGCCTTCAGCTCTCCGACAACGAGTCAGATGACCTTTGGAATTCGCCGTCCCAACGCACGCGCCGGGAAATCTTCCCGAAACCCGCGAACGAAACCAGCACTACTCCCCCAGCCCGGTCTTCTCACGATGGAGAGACGCTGTTTGGCCGGGAAGAGGCACGGGAGGCTGCATTGCGAAATGAGCTACAAAGTGTCCGAAACATCAACCAAGTGATTGAGGGCCTGCTTGGCAGCCTTGATCGTGCCAAGGGAAACATGGATGTACGTCAATCCTGTTTTTTCTCCCCTCCCCTTCTTGATCTTTTTCCTCTCTCTTGTTTTCTTATGGCTATGGAAATGGTGGCGCTAACGAATGCATGCAACCAGACTGTTTCTCGTACCGTTGACTCCGCATCCACCCTACTGAACACTTGGACTCGCATCCTGGCGCAAACCGAGCACAACCAGCGTTTGATCCTCAACCCAAACTGGCAAGGCGCTGTCCAGGATGTCGCCGACATGGAAAATGAGGAAATTATCCGGCAGCAAGCAGCCGAGCGACGTGAACGAGAACTGCAACAGCAGCGAGAGGCCGCTACCCGTCGGGCGGAGGAGGAAAGGAAAAGAGCGCAGTCGACGACCACTAGAGGGGCGCGAGGAACAACTCGGGGAAGGGTACGGACAGGGGGCTTGGGGAGAACACCTAGCGTTTCTTACTCTGGCACCAGCTCCAGTAATGTGTCGAGAACTACGTCATCCGCTGCGAAGGGATCCAGCACGACATCTACGCGGAGACCAGCCAGTGGGATTGCCAGAGGACCGGGAGTGGCGCGCGGTCGCGGTCGAGCCTAGACAGCTCTCCGACACGTCAGCCCGCCGTTCTGGCCTGTACAGTACGATGTCATTTGTGAAACGAACCTGAATGCAAATCATGATACCCTATTCGATGCCGAGAGCGAAGTGAAGCTGTAATGGTCGTAGAGTTTGTTCCATAAACCCCGGAATGGAAGTGTAAACACGATACTCCAAAGGGGGGTTCGGGTGTTCTGCCTCAGGCGCCAAGACGTCACCGCCATCGCGCGATAAGTCGCGGCGGGCCGATAAGCATATGCTGCAAGCAACATCCCCGTCCCGCGTCCCCTGACCTTCTCTCTCCCTCTGACCTGCCGACAAATCATGAATTTTGCGCCGTACCAGGACGAATCGCCAGAGGTCGAGCGAGCCTTCTCGCCCGACCCCCATCGCTCCAAATCACCCAATGTCGGGTCTCCGCGCGGCTCGCCCCCGATCTCCGGTTTCTCGCCAAACGGACTTCCCTCTCCCACCCATTTCGCCGGCGGAGGTCCTATCGCGACCACTGGGCATGGAAACACAGGTTTTGGGCCGGATGTGGAGGGGGGGCGCTGGAATTTGGGTGCTTTCGAGACAAGTCTTCCCATCCGTATGGACTTCGAGGCTATGCTGGCATATCTGCTTCTTCCTCCGGCCGGGGGCGTCTTTCTTCTCCTGGTAGAGCACAAGAGTGATTACGTACGGTACGTAGATCTGCGTCCGGCGGCGATTGTGCCAAATGAGCTTTTCCATATGCATTGTATATTGACGTCCTGTAGCTTCCACGCGTGGCAATCGAGTATGCTCTTCACAGTTATGTTTGTAAGTCGCATCGCAGCCTCACGAGGCCCCCAGAACAGCTATCTTACTCATTGCACCCACGCTCCAGATCATCCATTTAATATTCTCCTGGTCGACTTTCCTGTCATGGACGTTGCTCGTCTGCGACCTGGCTCTCATCGGCTTTCTTAGTATGCGTGCCTACCGCGATGGTAAGTTTGGCCTCCAGAGGAGCTGTTCCGCAAGAAGATCTAATCAAGATACAGTGGACACGCTCGATCATTACGAGGTTCCCATCTTTGGACGGCTGGCCAATTCCTTTGTGGACGACGAATAATCTCATCGCTCTCCGTGCATCTTCTTCGGCGCATTTCCTATGTTGACCTCGGTCTGGTTTACCTTCCTTTCATTTTGCCTAATAAAGCAGGCCTTGACTAGGCGGAGAGATATCCCACCAAGTGGCAAGCTCGAAGAGCATATTTTGTGTGGATGCATATCAACGCATGCCCATCATTGCTGTCCCTTGATCGATCCAGGCATTCAACTCGTCTTTTTCGTTGCTATTGTGCTGTATCTTAGCAGTTTCTGTTTCGACCCTACTCTGCTTCGTCTGCGATCCAGCTATTTGATTGATGTATATACACAGTGTATTCTACAGCTACTGAACTCTGTACTAATTTTCAAGACTCGCACTGGTGCCATCAGGCACGTTCCACACTTGCCGAGAATTTGCAGTGCCGTCCATTCACTCTTCGGTTCATATTCCGGCTTTCTGATCTAGGCTGATATTTCTCTTCTTCATGATTCACATCCTCCCTATTGTTCGTTATTGTCTCTCACCAATGGCCATTGCTACATTATACAATCCGGAACCAAGCCTCCCTCATGATACTCTTTCTTCAATACCATCCCATCAATGAACAGGTTCCTTCCTTCTTTCCACCTAGCCTAGCCTACTAGACATACCCCCCAGAACCTCCCCACACGCACACCATACTTCCCTCGACCAACCCCCTCCTCCAGCCTAAGACCTATCCCATATCTCACCTACAACCACCACCACCACCACCCCCCATTCAACCAAGCAAAAAAGAGATGTGCCAAGTCCAACGCGTCCTCAACACCTGCGGTCACAGAAACGACCACGTCCTCTTATCCTGCCATCTCGCTCGTCTCGTCCTACCCCAGCCCGAACCCATCAGCCACCGACAACCCGCAACTGCAACAACCCAGCAAAGCCTGGGGACAGCGCAGCAACAGCAGCAGCAGCAGCAGCAGCAGCAGCCGACATTCATCCTATCCGTCACGAATGTCGAGATCGCTATTGCCAAGACGGGGTTCCAGGCTTGCAGCCAGCCGTACTGTATCTTTGCGAGGGTTAGGGAGCTTGCGTCGCCGGTGGGGTTTAAGTGTATGGTGGAGGGGTGTGGGAGGGCGGATTGATTGATCGATTGATTGATTGGTTTCTTGGTTGGTTGGTTGACTACCTAGGTGATTGAGGGATGGATTGATTGGGTTCCATTTGGGGGGTGTATACGGGTATGTGGGTTAGTATAGAGAGTTCAGCTCGATGCTGGTTGATGGGGGGGGAACTGCTTACCTCCCTTACCCGATTGCCCGCTTTATTTTCCATTTTGAGATGTGCTTGCTCACTTGATTTTGGAGTAGGGACGGTTTACTTCGACCTTGTCATCATGAGAGGATGTCTATGCGTGAGAACATGTGGTACTGGGTCATAATGGATCATTGTCTGCCAGGGAGCATAACATGTTACTTGCCATCTATCTGCGTGAACGCAACTGGCCTTGCTACGTTATGACTACAGTGTTTCCATGTGCTATAGCGACGCTCAAAACAATTTGGTATTAATCGGATTAATCACAAAGGACAGACTGGTGGCGAACCAGATGGTCAGGCAAGAAATTATTCCAGGTTCAGCCAGGGGTCATAATTCAGGGAAGATCAACAATCTCGGAGACAGCGTAAGGAGAGTATCGGCTGGACAAACATGACGGGGAAATTAAACAACCAAATAAGGTGTGGGAAACGACAGAATGGACAGAACTTGGCTCATGAGGCATAAGGAAAGAACATGGGCAGAATAACCTTAAGTCATTAAACACTTGGCGTGGGCAATGGACAGGGAATGAATGATATGGGAAACACGCGAGACATAAATTCCAAGAGCGTCAACGTAAATGGTATCTACATCATGAACAACGTAAATTAGCGCAGAATCTCTTCTGATTATGGGCATTTGTTCATGAGATGATAGAGGGGTATAGTTTAAATAATTTGCAGATAGTTGCTGGGCACCAAGCCAGTGCGGCTGCGGGTGGTGGTGATTTCGGCTTCCCACCAGCCATCATCTTGAAGTCGGATGACTGACAGGACGTCACCTTTGGTGAAGCCCAGTTCTTCCGGGATCGCGGCGGTATAACTGTACATGGCTCGAGCTGCAGCGGGCAACCTATTAGCCTGAGATTGTTCCAATGAACGTGTATAGGAAGTGGTTTGTACTTACCGAAATGCAAGATCGGACGACCGTCACGGCTGAACTGTCTTCCAGGATCGGCGACAGCCATAGCCCTGCTCCGGGACCGACTCCTTTGGCTTCCACCATCGCCATAATAGGACATCGGTCTGCTGGGCTCCCGCCGGGGGGAAGCGTATCCATCGTGGCTGCCACCGTACATGTCAACGGGGCTTCCGGACAGCTGCAGTTCCATTCCACCGGAGCTGGATGGCCGAGTTTGCTGTCTGAACTGGGGCTGGGGGGATGCGGCTCGTGACATTGTGCTGGGGGATGCCCGTGGCTTGCTGTACTCATGTGGGGAGTAGGTCGTATCGGCAGGGCGTTGAGGTGGCGTTGAGACCGTAGGGGACTGACTATAGCGATTCTTCATACTGGACTGGTGCGAGCGCGAACTGGGTGCCGGGCTCGCGCCTCTGCTGTACTGGCTCATGCGCGTGTCAACTCGAATGCTCGGCTGAGGGCTGGCGCTTCGTCTAGGTGTCGGTGATCTTGCACGGGGAGCCTCTTGAGACTGTCTGCTGAGAGGATTCGAGGCGCCGGCATTGTTGTTAGATCCGCGGAGCATGCCCTGCGTCTGCCCAGTGTATCGTTTGGTTGTCTTTTGCATCTGTGCCGAAGTGAAAGCTGGTTGCGGGGCATCAAGACGTTTCACCGTGGGATCATTATACGCCGGGGGTGGCGTGGCCACGGAGGCACTGGTATAATTGGCCGCAGGCGCGGATGGCACCGGTGTGGCAATTCCGTGATATCTATCAGCAGACACGCGAGTGCTCGCAGGCTTACCGGTGGTCTTGAGGTCTGCTAAAGCGCGCGCAATGGGATCCAGTTCGGCTTCCGTGCTCTTGGATGTGGCCTGTGAAGCCTTCTTGGACCCGCTCTTGTCCGGGGATTCCACATCAAATACATTGTTCCCGACGTTCAGCTGGAAGTTAGCCCGAGGGTCTACTGGTTCCGGACTTCCAGATGACCGGACATTGTCAGGCACAATGATCGGTTGCGTTGGCTGCGGTTGTGGTTGTGGCTGCGACTGCGGCTGCGGCTGCGGTTGCGGCGCCTTCACGGGACTCGACGGCTTGGAATCCCATGTGCCACCGCGTGAAGGCGGCTGTGCTGAACCAGAGTTCCGATCTTTATCGTGACGGCTCTTGCGGCGGAACGGACTGTTGCTGAAGAATGCACTTCTCTTCTTCTGAACTTGCTTCTCGTTGCTAATACCCGGAAGGGCCACGCCATTAACAGGCTTGGTTGGAGACTGTCTGGCACTTGGCGGCTCTTGACTGGACATCGAAGTTGGGTTTGAAACCTCGCTTTGGGAATCGCGACTCGAGGGGCGATATCCACTGCTCGTTCCTGAACTACGTTCTGAAGGAGGTCCAGTTCTGCAAAACATCGTCATGCCATCTGTCGGGTAGGCATTATGAGGTACTTTTCCGATTTCACCGTGCTGGCTCGGGTCATAGTTGGGAGGCGGATGGCCACCGCGACGAAGATCCAGCGGGGGCGGCTGCTGCGTTGGTGGTGGCTGCATTGGCCTTTGTGGAGTGACGGTGGTTTCTCTACTAGTGGGCGTCGGTGGCTCGTTGTGGCCCATCTTAGCAGCTAGATCGGACTGTGGGTCATGATGAGATTCATAAGTCGACGGCTGAGGCGAGGAGCTGCGGAACGCCGGATTGATTGTGCGTTGAAACTGGGCCACAGAATACCCATCTTCTTCAGACACTTCCGAGCTCGAGTCATTGATATCTCCGCGGCAGAAGTTAATAAAACGTGGAGGGTCCGGGATATCCTGGCCCGTTCCCTTTTCTTTGATGAAGTAGACAATGTCTTTTTCGACCTCGCAATTTTCCAACGAAAGCCGTACCTTCTCGCAGGACTAGGAAGGGGATTAGCACAAGCTTCCGCAGATCACAGATGTCAGAAATATCTGCTAACTCACAGCATCGTCGCTAACGCAAACTGTCGATGCAATATTTGCATATGTCCATAGGCTGCTCTTCGTAAAGTCAAGTCTTTCTTCCTCGAGATCTTGAAATTTCTGGTGACAAGTCAGTCTTACAGCCTCGCTGCATTTGTTAGATGAAGCTTACATCACAGGCAGACTTCCACTCCTTGTTCCAACGCCCGGTGGTCTCTTCGAGGATCTTGATGGCGGTTTCGTATTCGCTGCTACTAGAAGCAAGCTGTATCTGTGTTTTCTCGAGTTTGGCTTTGTTCTTGCGTTCTTCTTGTCCCATAACCATGTGTCCTTGTGCAAGATAACCCTTGATTCTTAGGCAGTCTTGCTCATATCGATCTCGAGTCTGTGTGGCAGTTAGTTTATGCTCCCTCCCATGCGGCATCCACTTCAACCAACTTGCCTTATTCACTGTTTGGGTTTGGCTAATCTTGGTTTTCAGCAACCGCTCAATTCCTGTCTGGATGATTTTCCTCCTCTCCTTCGATCCACCGGCAAATGCTATTAAAGGTTCTTCGAGTTCTCGCTTCATCTGCACGGCGATAGCAGCGTGGGACTTCGCAATGGCTTCGGTTTCGCCGCGGACCACGTCGAAGGACGAGCGGAGCGAGCCGGTTTCACAAGATCCAAGCGATTTGCGACAAAGCGCCAGGAGCTTCCGTGCATATTCTTCTTCGATAGCAGCCCGAACTGTCCATCCAGTCAGAGAAATTTCGTTGTCGCAGTGGGAATTATGAACGGAGTGAACGCACTGTTGTAGAATGTTTTTAACTCGTCGCAGGAGACTTTAGAACCGTGCATCCGATCTAGCATAGGTCCAACACCAGCATCGTCCTTCCCCCAAAAGTTATTGGCAACTAGTCGGGTTACAGCAGGTTAGCAATGTTTACATTTCTGAACACTGTGGGAAGACATCATACAGGACATGGCCACAGTTGGCCCATCCGCAACTGTTCCCGGCATGTGGGCAGATTATATTGTGTCAGTGTTGATCGAGCCTCGGCCAGCCTTTGCTCGTTTGGTCACAGCGAAAAGGGACAGTCGAAAAAGGAAATTCCAAGAAGCGAGCAGTAGGAGATAAGGAAAAGAAAGCAGAATTGAGGCTCAAAAAGCAAGGCTATTTCAACGTAACGTAGGCAGAACCCGATGCCCAAAATATCCCCGGGATATTGAAAAGAAAACCGCAAATTGCGGAAAGATTGGGCAGAACAGCACACTGGAGCTGGACTTGGTGGAGTTGAGCATATCTATCCTTGGGTCTGGAAGGAATGAAGGTTGATGTTTACGGCTCCACGTTTCTCGGGGCAACCGGGGTCTACATCACGGGGCAAGTCATGCCGGTCCACGACAACGTCCAGGTTCAGCTCGTGTCCTGTCAACGACGTGCATAATTCGACCCGAACTACATGTAATGCAGAGACCCTTGGTTGATCGTTCTTGGTATGGAATTTGGCAGCCTGAAACCTGATTTATTCAATTTTCATAACAGGATATTGCACTCCTATTTTGACGAGTACTTGGAACATAAATATCTACGCCTACCCCATTCATAATATCCTATACCCAAGTTGACGAACCGGTAACTTTCGAGACAATTACCAAGTCCAATAGGTACCTACTGAGCAGGATAAGCAACTATGGAACCACCTGTATGATAAGACATGGCAACATTGCGATCGTACTTGCCATGGATGGATGCCCAGAAGACGTACTGCTGCCTAGTAGGGTTGGAGCCCAGAGCGGCTGACTCAGTCCTTCCATAAGCAGAGCCCATCCGGCGGCTCTTATCACGTGCCATCGATTCGAGGAATACGCCATGGACTCGCCAATGCCTTTGCGAGTGGGACATGATGCAGGTGAAACCTTTATTGTAGACGGTCTTGAAGAATCGGTGAGGCCGATTTTCAGTCCCTCCCACCATCTCCATCCTCATCCCCCACTGGCAACAGATGG